ATTGAAAAAAAAAAGAGGAGTGAACTGGTGGAAATGTGTAAGACAAAAAGTGATAAATGAAAAAACAAAAGGAATGCATAGGAAGATATTGCGAAATAAATAATATAAGTTTGGAAGGAAATTGGATGAAAGATAGCTGATTGAATCGTATTGAAAATGAATTAGAAGTGAGTGCTACCCGTAATATAAATGAATTGAAAATGAAAGATGAATGGAAGAGAAAGGGACGGGTTTGGTTAGGGAATGGAGAAGTGACACGAGGGAAAGAAGTTTCCACAATAGAAAACAATACAATAGTAATGTTGATTTTCTAAAGGAGATGGGAGGAGAATACGGAATGAAGCTCGGGGGTTCCGGAATTGCAACTCTTAGTTCGTTTCTGCTAAGGATCTTAGCTTGTAGCGTCTGTTTCAAATACATTATTTATGCTTTGTAAATAAATTTCTTCAATTCATTTTCCTAAATTTTATTCGAGAAAGTGAAAACTTCTTTATTTTCTATTTCTTACTTCTTAAAGCTTCACCTGATGTTTTTTGTTTCTTTTAAATACCTTTCTTCCTATTCCATCCTCCTTTAATTCAGCAGTGGAACTAAAGCTATGCTTGATCTGTGTCGCATGTTGTGATGTTTTCAATTTGCTATATATTTTTAATGAAAAACGATGTCTTTTAAACAGCCTTTGATATCACTCAAAAAAAAACAATTAACTGTTGTCATGTCGCTCCTTGTTCTTATTCGAAAATTTTGTGGACAATCATCTTTAACAGTAACTGATAATTCACTTATCACTATAGCTATTACCATGAACATTTTGCGATTTATGTGTTTTCAGTTCAATTAATGTAATTCGTTTGCAGTGGATACTAAATAGCTGTCACGAACTTGTCAGCATCATCACCTTGCATGAAAAGAACGAATTCAAACCATTAGAGTTTTCCTATTATGAAAAATGCTACCTACTGATACTTATTACAAATACATTCATACATGCATGAATACTTTTGAGCCTCAGCATACTTACAATTTAAATTATAGTGATAATAACCGTTATCGTTATCATCTTGCTTTTTATCATTTGGGCAATCGCGTTGACAACGTCAGTGATAAGTTGTTATTTCTACAATAACATTATTTTCTTTTATAAAAAGTAAATATTCGATTCATTTTGAGTTGAACTAGTAATAGCATAAATTGATCATTCTAATGATAGCAGTAAAAAAAATCATTGTTTCTACTTGCAAAGGTCTTATTAGTTCGTTGGCAGATTAATGTTATTCATTATGATTCATCATTTAAATAAGGCAGGAAGAATTATAAAGAATTCGATGTGTCAAATTCTGTTGGTTTCTTAAACTTAATTCCATGGAATTTAAATTTAAAAATTTCATACCTTTTTGTTTTACCAGAAACAACTGGCATTTCTGTTCCCAATAACGTTTCAATTCCATTATTCTGCTTAACCTTTTAAATTCCTTTTTGCTGTGCATCTATAAAATAATTTTATTTCATTGCTATTTCATCAGTTGTTTTCTACAGTGTTCTTCCTCTCCTTTCCTTCTCCGTACTCATTATTAAAGGTATATTTCATCATTTTAGCTCATAACAATGAAATAATTCTTTTAATTGATTAAATCAGTGTTAAAATATGCAAGCAAAATTAAGCATTTCGGAATTAACATAACATCTCATTAATTTCACAGCAGATATGAAATATTTCGAGAAAGGATTAAGATACTGTATTCCCATCATACTTTTCCAGTTTCTTTTTCTTTTACTATGTCTCTTTTTTGATATTTCTCATTATTTTACAGTTTTTCATTGTGGAATTAATTTCATAGATGTAATTGTGGAATGATTATAATATGTAGTAGTTAGTGGATATAAGTATTACATCAAGAAAACTTTTACTAAAGTCCTACTATAATTTAATGAATGTCCCATTTCACTTCACTGCTGGAAACTGAGGACAAACTAGCAAATCCATCTCACACCTACACTTCTTCGAAAGTTCCCTTGATTTTATGTGAACAAGTTTTAACCACATTATAATGATAACCACATTATAATGACAGAGCAAGTTATTATATATTTTTCTATATCGCTCAAACTATACAGTCATTCCGGTAAAATTGATTTATAAAAAAAGTGGTCATACAAATTGAAATGAGTTTGCTTATTGAAGAGACAGAAATTTCATTTTGCAGACATGACGACACTACTATGACCTAGAAATGCTAACTAAATATAAGCGTAACTTTTGAACACATTTCATCAGATTAAGTGGTTATTAATAAACTACCTTTTAAAAGTTTCAAATAAATATGAACTTAGTTTAAATGATATTATCATCAATAGTTGCACTTTTCGACTTCAAGAAATTACTTACTTCTAATTTTCAATCCATGAATCATAAAGCCATATTTTAAAAACGGCGAATTCTTGTGCAATATTCTCGAACATCATGTTAATTAACTAAGATTTTTTACATTTAATTTTTGATTTACAGTTTTTTGGAAGAAAAAATAAAGGAATGGTTCAAACTCATGTATGCACAGATTCTTCGTTGAACTTCTATAATATAATTCCTAATTTCCACTTACTGATTTTGCAAAAAATTTTAGACGCATGCTTTACCTTTATTTATTTTTCAATCAACTGAAATTTATTCTTTTTCTTCAGAATCTTCCTTCTTTTTATTTAAATTCGTTTAGATAGCGGTGATGCTAGAGTTCTTCAAAAAGTGACGCTTAAAATAAAATGAAAATAGCAACAAATGTTTAAAATTTTTCTAAAATTTAACATTTGTAACAACAATTCATGATGGAATTTAATTTCTCGGAACAGTTATCATCTTTGATTTCTAAGCAACAATCAAATGATTTATTGTTTTTAAGCTTTATTTAGCCGCCCAAAAATTATTCCCATCAATCAGATGACAAGTGCAGATATGCTATTGTTTGATATTGTTCAAATATTTGCTTTGTAGTGATGGATGTACCTGAACAATAAAGTTAAGAGGATATGAATCCATCTTATTGCACAATTGAACAATGTATCACTTTCACAGAGTAATGTAATGCAGACGCAGCAAGTGGTTCCATTCGTAATGTGTGTGAAAATACCACAGGGGGTAGGACTTTCAAAAGGGGTCATCACCTTATCATTATGAATTAATATTATTGTGATACTGTTATAGTAATATGATTTACCATTACATTAAGTGTATTGCAATTATTAGATACACTTGTTTTCATGGCATTGTTAATTTATCTTTTTTTTTTATATCTTTTATTACCAGTACAGTTATACTAAAAGTTATAAGTATAATTGCAAATCACTTTATCATTTGCACGAGATAATGGATATTTTGTAATGTTTCAATGCTATATGGATATTGCTATTATGATTAATTATTATATCAATTTTTTGTGTCACAAAAGTCTTTTTTCAGATGACTCTTTTCAAAGTGTTATATTTTAGATGTGCTTTTTTTTTACTGATCAAAAATATTTACAAAAATATTTGCGAAAATTATTGCATTAAGAATTTATTGTCGAAGTTTAGAATCACTGGAGCTTTAAATGATATTTAAATAAATCAAATAATTTGGGGCATATTTTATTTGCATGGCAAAATCATTTTCCTTTGCTTGGGAACTTCGGTTGTAACAGTTTTGATGTGAAAATTACTTTCAGCTCTTAATTGAAGTTCTCAGTAATTAAGCTAGGAATGCTGAAAATAAGAGGTGTAATCAAAGATTTGTTTGGGAACTTTTAAGTAAACAAAGATGATTTATAGTCATGCATTCATTTATGGCCTTGATGAATTCTTTTAATTCAAGTATCAGTTCATTAAATGTCACTTCAATTCAGATTATGTAATTCTAGCAGTGTATTTTAAATTTCAACCCATATCCTTAGAATTTTGATTGAAAATGTCTAACTAAAAAAAAAAATATTTTCCGAATTAGAAGAAAGCATTGGTAACATTCAAGAAAAAAAAAATATTAGGTGGCGATATTTTGTATTGGTGCTGTAAGATGCTTGCCTGCTTACACATAACGATCGGTGACCGGTTGCTTGCTTGGTAGTATTTCTCCTTTAGGAAGATTTTTATTCATTCATTCACTTTCTTGGACACAGAATATCATTGGTGATTTATGTTCAATTGATATGTAAAATATTAGTGGTGGAACGGCGCGATCGGCTTCCGAACTGTTCAATAAATATTGCTTGGAACGACCACCAAAGCAATACACTTTTTTTTTTTTTGATATGGAAACAATATCTATTAGTATTTATTGATCATTTATTGTCACTTGATAATGTAATAATCGTTCAGCTACTGTTACTCAACACAAAATATATCTTTATCGCTTTCATTCCTATCAAAAAAAAAGGATTTATCTAATTATATTTTCTAGATCTACAACTATTCGACATATACTGTTTATTAATGGAGTTTTTAAAAGCATTTTTCTGAAGTTGCTGCGATTTCAACTGAAACTAAAAAACTTTTCATTTATTTTACTAATAAATATATTCTAATTCATATTGACTATTAATTGCCATTGCTTATTAATGGTTTTTTCCCTTCATCAATTAAACTTTGAATTTTCCTACAAATCATCTTATGACACTATTTTCAACTTTCACGAAAAATTTTATAGCTTCTGCATTTTTCAGTAAAATCTGTGGATATTATGAAATGTTATAAATAACAAAATCAGGTATTCATATTCAAAATATTCGAATGTTTTTGCTATCAAACATTATCAACTATTCTTCGCAAGCTAGAAATTTCATAGCAATCTTCTTCAATGCCATATCTTTTATAATACACAAAAATTACTACTGAAAGAAATCTGTTAAGTTATAATGATTACTGGACGGATTCGGTGAAATGGGTGGTTGGTTAAAATTTCTGCTCTAAGTTTTTTTTCTGAATTTCTAATAACTGAAAGAAATTAGCAGTTCATCCTAGAAATGTACCTAATTAACCTACCTACCGTAACCAACTGCTTCATCCGTGAGAACAGATGCATTTGTGGCCTGGTTGATGACATGTACCGACTGATCAATGTCATCTAACATGAGGTTATCGCTGATTGCATCTTTCTTCCACCGTACTGCTCCACTCATTCCTCATGCTCCTGCCCGAAACTTGTTTCCCTTTTGTTCCTGTAATTTCCCGCAAATATTTTTCCAGAAATTTATCCCAAAATAACAATAACAATGTTGGTACTGACGGGTACAGCAACAGGATAGGTTGTACCTTTTATCCGTGTGCTCGAGATACTATCAACACGATAACCATCGCCAACTGCCAACAACCAATCAGCTCATCGTCCAATCAACAACGAGCCATTCCACCCATTTTCGCATCTATCTCTGCCTACACACTACCTCAACGATTTCTCTGTTCGTTAACTTGCATTGAAATCCAAAAATTTGCGAGGACTTTATGGTGCTTAGAACGAAATTTCAAGGAAGTAATCGTTTGCTAGGAGTATTTTCTTAAAATATTAATGGCAGAAAAATGAAGGTAAGTATATCTGGAGAAATAGTCCAAAAGATTTGGAAAGGAAGGATTAGAACTGCATATATCTCATTTTCCTTTCTATCTTTTCCTTATCTTCTTTCGTGCCACTACCTGAACTCCACCCCCTTCTCACTGTACCCCAGTAACGGCTGGAAAAGGACGAGATGACTAGCTCTCTCTCCAGGTCGCTCCTCCCACTCTCCCATACCCATCCAATCTTATCCCACCTCCTTTCGTCATGTTCGGATGCCGCTGCTTTGCCCACTTGCTTGCTATACTACTTCTTTCTTTTATTCATTCATCGTAATCGGTCTTCACGCCCGGCGCACACATACATACAACCCATACTTCCTTCTCCACTGCAACTTACCACTTCTTTCTTGTAAAATTCTTTCGGAGTCATCTCTCTCTCTATTCAGTCCTATTCCATTCATTTCTATTCCATTCAATTCAATTCAATTCAATTCAGTTCCACTAACATTTTATCCAGTTCAATTTATTACCAACATCTCTTTATTACTAAAATTACTAACATCGTAGTGGTAGAAAGAGTATCCCAATGAAGAAAGGTCAAGATCAGGAAGAGGACAGATACAGCTATGAATGAATGAATGCATTATATTGCCATCCAGTAATAACAAAAGCCCAACCCAGGGACATCAAATAGTACCTTATTCATCCTCTTTTCATAACTATGTTCTGTGCAGTTGAGTTATTGGATTTGAAGCTGAGGAGCGGTAAAAAGAGGGGACTGTCACCTGTTGCCTTTGTTGAAGCTAGTTAGTCCGGTTGAAAAACCAAAACTTTGTATTATCAAGGAAGCGCTACGTCACTCTCATCTTCCTTTTTTATACGTCCTGCAAAGAATAGTAAAACGACAAGTTTTCCCGCTCCATCTCCTCCCTCCCTCCAAATTTCACTCAGTAGGACACTACATTACATTATTACTTAATGTCAGTACTGTTACCTACTACTATCACATCCCATACAGTTGTTGTCATCATTCATTCCCTACCTATCATCATTATTACTGTTATCATTATCATAACTATCATTCATCATCATCATCATCATACTCTTTTGAAAGCTATTTTCATTCATCTCTTGTTTATTTACACTATTAATTGATCTTTATTGATTCTCTCATTGCATTTTTTGTTACATTATTATCCTCATTCTCATTCATTCCATTCACCGCCCACTCTCACTTTCCAGGGTTTCCAAATGATGATGATGATGATGGAAAATGAGCTCAAAGCCGCACCTGGAACGGTGACAGCAGTAACGACAGCGGCAACCAGTGCTTCTGCAGCTGCAGCCCTTCAAGATGCATTCTCACTCTACAGTGCCATGCCGCCGGGTTTTTCTATGCCACCAACATCAACGTCATCTATTCCGACCGTCGAAGAATGCTGTGTTCCTAATTCACCTGGATCACCTTGTCTAAAGGAAAAAAAAGGTAAGATAATTGTAAAATTTTATATTTTCTTTGTTTTTGTTAAAACATTAAGATGAAAGATGCCTTGCAGAAAGAACAATGTATTTTTGCTAAAGAAATAATTTAGAGAATGGAAGAAGCATTGTTTTCTAGAATATATCGAAGCGAGAAATAAAATTTGATTACTAATTTTCTTTTTCATTTTTTCACATAAAAATTTTAATAATCTAAGCTAATGCATCAAAGTTTACTTCTTTAAAGGAATTTATTTTCGAGACATTTATTATCTTATTGGTGTTTTATTCATAAGCTTATGTTCAGAGCTTATGGATCATAGAGTCGAAGGACTTTTGCACTTTTCAAATTCCTTTCATCCCTAATTGCAGTTTTAGAATACACATAGGTTTTATTTCTGGTTTGGTTGCATAATATTTCTTATAATTTTTGGAAATTCTGGAATTTTAGGTGATGATCGAGTGAAACGTCCCATGAATGCATTTATGGTTTGGTCTCGCGGACAACGTCGTAAAATGGCACAAGAGAATCCAAAAATGCACAACTCAGAAATTTCTAAACGTTTGGGACAGGAATGGAAATTACTGAATGAATCAGAAAAACGGCCATTTATCGATGAAGCTAAACGTCTCCGAGCAATTCATATGAAAGAGCATCCAGATTACAAATATCGTCCAAGGAGAAAAACGAAAAATTTACCAAAAAAGAATGGTCTAGCAATGTCAGCTAGTACCTTCCTGGATCCAATCAAAACTCAAAATATTTACCAGCCAATGACAACCGGCTGGCAACAGCCGATCAACTCCGTTTCCAGCTCACCATACTTTGATTCCTATTCTTTATATGGCCGTACAGGTTACGAGAATATGATCGGAATGCCATATTCGTTAAGCAGTACAACATCACCAGCTTCACATTACTCGCAGTCACCTAGTTGTTCACTAGCTGCTGCAGCTGCACAGTATCAGCAAGCTGCAGCTGCTCAACAACAGCAACATTACAGCAGTGCTGCAGGTGTCTCGTTAGCAGTGAAACCTGAAACATCATCTGATGGTGCCACTAACACGGGAACAAGTAACGGTGAATCACCAGATTCTGGGGTAGCAGCTGCTGCAACAACTGAATCTCCCCTAACTTCACAATTTCGTGCCTTCTACGAACCTCACAAAGAATCTTCTTCAGCGTCTGCTTCAGCCGCAGCAGCAGCAGCGGCAACCATGAACATGTACATGCCACAGGACCCTCGGTTACAGTATGTCGCGCTTAATAGTACCATGGAAGAACATATGACATTGCCACTGCAACATATGCAATCCATGTGACACCTGCAGCAGTATTTGTTGCTATGTTCATTATCGTTGTTTCGTCATACACTATCACACCATATTATCATTACCATAATTATCACTATTTTGTCGATATTTCAACTTGTGATCTTTTAACGTACGCAATCGGAATAACCGATTTTTTCACTCAGGTACGAAAAATTTTCACTTATTAAAACTTTTGTAAGCTTGAAAAAATCTGTCGTAATATTCTCAGTCCCTATCTATATGTTTTGCATGCAAATTTTAAACTTGTTTGTTTTACTTTTTAAATACCTAAATTACATATTTTTGATATATGAGTTATACATAACAGTAATACGTACACTGTTTGTTTATCTTTTTTATGTCATCTCAGTTTTTAGACTTGTTATGGTCCATTAATTAAGTCTAGATCTAACTGAAGTGTAAAGTATTAGAATACTGGTTTAGAAAAAAAAAATATAAGTGCAAGAATTAATGATTGAAAATCTAAATAACTATTGATAAATTAAATAAATTAAATTCATGATTTTTCTAAACGATTTACCTTGGTAAAATAAATTTAGAATAAATGTTTACTAATTTTTGTAGGTTAAAATTATCACTTTATTTGTAATTTTATGTTATTAAAATATGCAAAAAAAGTATCAATATTAGGAATCATATCAAAGTAGGCGAAATAACTATTTTAAAATGTAAGTATTCCTTAATTTTCCATTTGTAAGTATAGAACTGTAAGCATATTCGATTTCAGGTTTCGAAACAAAAATTAACAGACAATGGGGTTAGCTATTGGAAATTGTTAGAAGAATGCATTCAGTTACATTGCAATTTATCAAATCTCTCTTCTTAAAATTAAGTTCTTTACTCATCATCTTATTGATATTTTCATTATTAAATATATTGCTGCTATTACTTATCTTATTCATAAAATTCGATCTAAAAAAAAAAAAAAAAAAAAGAAAAAAAAATTTCCTGTTCGTACATTAGCTTGTCATAAATTACATCCTTACATTTTCATTTATTTTAACTTTTATAAGAAATAAGAAAAGCATTCATAAATTTCGACCAATTTAGGCTATGAAAGAATAACTTAAATAGGATTAATAGAGCTTAATTAAGCCCGTTATCTCTCAGTGCTGGTATTACCTCAATGAGATTCATGATGCTAGCTGTCTTTTAACATATTTGTTGAACATGATATCAGTAGTTTGAATAACTTTTGTTGAAGAATTTCAATACCTTTAAAGTTGACATAAATGAATCTTTAAATTGAATGATAATAATTTTGACTTTTTTAAAAATATATTTAATATACAGTGCGAAACATCAAAACTGTTAGATCATTCTAGGAGGTAATTTTCATATGTTGATGAAATGTCTTCTGTTACTTTATAGGTTTGTGATTTTTTCTTTCAAAATATTCGTTTTGTTGCTTTTGTAGATATATCTCCTTCCTGTTAGTATTCAAATTTTCCATAAAATTTAAAATTCACAGACAGGATGAAATTACCAACAGATGATTGAGCTTAGTAACTCTATGAGTTTATTATGATGGAATATTTCACGTTACAGTTTTCTGTCATTACAGTTATACTCAAATAGTGATTGATGATAGTAAAGATTATTATCATTGATTGGGTATTACTTATCATTCTCGAAAAATTTCTGTAAAATTTCTGTACCTGTATTAACATAATGGCTAGTTAAAGAATACGCGGTTGTACCTGGACAGATGCAACTATGATGGCGGAGAGCTTCCTTTCTATACTTCTATGGCAGGGTAATCAGCAATAAACCATTAAAAATTCGAATTCAAATAGATTTTAAGATTTTGAAAGTTTATCTTTGGTGATAGCTTTATCATGTATATAGCGAAAATATTTTAAGCAAATTCAAATATTAACTAAATATTGTGAAAGATGTATAAATGATAATAAACTAATGAACACTAGATTTTTTTTTATTTTTTTTTAATTTGAAGATACTATTTGAAAATATCTGCAATATTTAGCTCTATCCCTTTTTTAAATTAAAGCTCTTCCTTTTTTTTTGGATTTTTATGTTAATGTTTATTTTATTTTTCACATATTTGAAAAAATATAATTTTCATTTTTTTAAAACAATACCGAAAAGTTTGATTCCTAAACTTTGTACGAGTAATAGTTTAATGTGAAATTTCAAAATTAACTATTTAATGGAAGTTCATATAACGGTGCTAGCGATTCTAATTTTGTTTTGAATATCTTTTTGTATCATTTTTTAGCATTCGTTTAGTCATTTTTACAAAATGTTTTTATATTCTTTTTTCATTCACTATAAGATGAAAACTATTCGTGAAATTTAGTTTAAAAAAAAAGAAATAATCGCTGCTATCGTTGTAACTTCCAGTAATATCTAATTTATAATCATTAAAGGGGCAAAAATATTTTGTCACATTTTATGGAGCAGCTCAGATAGTCCTGTTGTTGCCACTATTGACATATTGTAACAGATTATGTCTTTTGATTAAATATATTCTGCTTATGTTTTGATGTGTGTATTTCTTAAAATAGACTTTTTACTATATAATATGGCACTTTCTTTTTTTATTTTCGAAATGAATTTCAATAAAATTCTGTTACGGTAAAATGAATTTTCGTTCATGCATTCAATATCGTCGTGCTTCATGCAATAATGCCCCGTTGTAGTCACACAGTTATAAACTAAATACTAAACAAAAGTTAATTACGGCTTAAATTTTTTCTAAATAATTTTATAATCTGATTTGCATAATTCTGCATGTGTGATAGGATGAAAGTTTTGCGCTTACAAATGGATCAACTAAAGTCTTTTTATTATAAAATCGCTGTTGTAACAAATGCATATGCATTCAAACGCATCATTCATAGCTAAATTAAATTATGACAAATATTGTTATTGTTATCATTAACTATTATTATTATTATTAATTGCTATATTATTATTACAGTAATGTTTTTTATGATAAATCAAAATGTCTACAATTAAATTATCCAAACTTCCCTTATCTGTCTCATAAATTTTAATACTGAGAACAAACGAGTTTTTCTTATTCGTTCATCAAAAAATCACAACTATATTTAATTAAATCAATTTAAGAATGTCACATGCTGTATAAAAGCAGTTTCTGCCTCTTAAAACAGCTTACTTTTCATAAAAGTATTTATGGGACATTAAATATATCTCTTTCATTAATTTGTGATAGAAAGAAGATGAAACATCAATGAAGTTAATGACGTTTCAAGATTTTTCCTTTTTTTTTAACAAAATTTCATTTTCCATATAGAATTATAATTTACTTACGATGTGATAGTATTTTGAAATTTAGGATTGTATCAATGGCATATTTAGGTTAGTTTTTTTTTTTTTTTAAAAAGAAGAATTCTATTAACTCTAGCAATGTAAATCAAATGATTAAAGGAATGGTAACGTACCACTTCTCAAATATAAACTTTTTATTTATTTTTTTTTTAAATTTAAATTCGTCACTCGTGCAAATGTTTACCAAATGATTGATGCTACTGCTTTAAATCATATAAAACTTTAGACTGCTCTTTTGGATGAAATTATTGACATTTTCCACTATTCATATAATTTGTTTTAAAGCAATGAGTAGAAAGTTATATTAAATTTTTATTTTATACTTTTATAAAAAAAATTCATTAATATAATGAAAAAATGTTTTTTTTTTCTAGTTTCAAACTATAAACACCTGAAATTTTTATTTTAATTAAGTTCTGAGTAATGTTGAAACTTTGCATTATATCTGCTTGTATTAAATGAAAATTTATTGACATGAAATTATGATAAATTTTTAAATCCGTTCAACTTCAACATGTTCAGATCTCTGAAAGCTCTCTGGATGCTTTTTCTTGATGTTAATTTGATACATCATTCAACTTTTTAAAAATCCTTCAAAATTTATACTAACAATTCAACTTTTTGAAAATCTTTTTTTTTTTTTCAAACATTTTATTAATTTTTCTAGAAGAACTTAAATTTCCCTCAACAAATGACAATTATCAGCAATTCGTTCTTTTGATCTGCTTGCTATTTAAGGATGAAAGGTAAAGAAGGTCGAGAGAGTAGCGTTAATTGAAATGTAAATATTCAGATGTCAGAAAAAAAAAGACCAAATAAAAGTCAGCGGGAAGCACAACCGAGAGGATGTCTAACTTCTAATGCAATCAACACCCTTCTTTTGCTTTTTTTTTCGTTGGAATTTGACATTTTGATTTTTTTTTTTTGTAAAAAGAAGAAGTTTTGAAAATTAAAAGGAATAAAATCAAGGGAAGTTAAACCATCATTATTTTATAGTATTGAATAAAAAGTAAGTTTTTTATTGACTTCGACAAAGTTTTCGATTAATTCATTTTAGCATTGCTTTATATTTATATATTTGAGATTGTTCTAAAAGGCTAATTGATGAGAAAAAGAAACAATTTTATAAGTTTTTGATTTGTTCATACTTTAGTTTCACTTATAAATCTATCATTTAATGACACAGAATTCATTTCAGTTTGATAAAGAATTCCATATTTTGATATTCTATTGAGAAATATTTGAGTCAGATTAAAACTGTCAAATTCAAGTTTGTCAAATTTGGATTTAATATCTGAATTTAAAATGAGAAACATAAATAATGTTCAAGTGTACAATTCATTTAAATTCCAAATTTTTAATAAAACTTATTTTCAGTCTAAAAATACTAAATAAATTTGTAATAGAGAAGTAACTAATATAACGATCAATCTGAAAAAGGAGAATATGACGTGCAGATGATCATTGCAAGGTGAGTGCGACATTTTCTCAAAAAATAGGCTATGGATGGCATTTTCAATGCCCTGGCACTACCTTTGCTTGTTTCTATAAGGAAGTAACGAAAGTGTAACCTTTCATGGAGAAAAGGTTAAATTTTCCAGTCTATTGGTTTTTTTTTTCTTTTTTCAAAAAACTGACTTCATTTAAAACTTATTTGTAAGCATAGACTGCTTCATTCATAAATCCATGCACTCTTTGTTCTTAGCAATGAATTCTTTTTATGAAACATATTAATTGATTGATTATGAAAGCTTGACATCAGAAATAAGTAGACTTCGTCCTAGATTTTAAAATTTTTTGCATAAATTTAAAAAAGCTATAAATTTAGAAAAGTTATTGGATCAGTTGCCTTTGAAACGCTGACAGAATTATGGCAGAGAATTACAATTTTCTTATTGTTCATTGATCCACCCCTATGGATTTTTAACAGTAATATTATCACCACCTTTGTTATCTATCATTTCTATCATCAACATAGCTAGGTTAAGGTGCTCCTACTACTTTCTCAAATCAGGTTAAGCTTTGAAAGTACATTTTGTTTTGAAATTTAGAATGCTCTCAAATGTAAACAACAGTACCAACTAGCTTTTTTTCTCACCTGCGCTTAAGCTTTTGTGTAACCAGCTGTTCGGCGCTAGAACAATATTCTTATTTGTCTAAACTGGACAGCACTCAGTGCCTAGAAAAATAAAAACGATAGTGAATAAATCATAATTCGAAAAAAACAAAAAAAAAAAATAAACTGCAGAAATTTTAAGATTGAATTTAGATTTCAAAAAAGAAAAATTTTTACAAAAGTAAGATTTTCAAAAAATATTAATAAATAAGCGAGAAGAAAAATTTACAAATAGTTACGACAACGACGAAAATAGGTAATAACTTTTAGTAGAGTTAAATTTAATTTAGATTTATTCTGCTTTTTTTGTAAAATTTTCGTTTCACTTTTTTTGTTTTTTAACTGCATCTTTATATTTTAAAATTATTGCATCCGATAAATTTTATGTCTCAAATCAAAATGCAGTGATCTTAATAGCAATCATAATTCAGCATTAATATAAAATTGGGAACAATGAGAGGGATGGATATATACATCGCATCGGATACACAATTTGACTGATGAGCTATCATGCTGGAATAAATATTCTATAATAGCTATCATCTCCCTCTCTCTCTCTCTGTGTGTTACGTCACAATTGAAATCAGCGATTTTATGCCCTGTTTATTATTGCGAAATTTGATAAATTATCGTTTGATTCACAGCAATTCATTTAGTAATCATTTTTATTCACTAATCGTCATAGTGATGATCCACTTATATGCTGAAAGATGAATGCATTCTTAAAAAAGAAGTTATTATTATTATTTATTCAGATAACTTAAAAGTTCGTGTAAATTCAAATAGTTAGAAGTTATTATTATCTCTAAGCTAATGCTAATCTATGCAGTAGATGATAATTTTGAAATATCCATGAAAATAGTGCAAAAAAGAAATAAAAGATATATATGACCTATACGTGAAATGTTTGATTGCTTGAATGATAGGAGGTGAGAATTTATCTTGGTTTACGTATTATGCATTAATATTATATCATATGTATTGTATAAGTAAATTAACTGACCAAATCAGATTGAGTCGGATCGAACCGATTGGATGAATATTTCAAATATAGTTGATTTTGAGGGTTTTTTTTTTTTGTGAAACAGAGTAAAATGCAACCATAAAAATTATGTGTGTAATGGTAGATTGATGTTTTTCAAAGGTAGCAAAAGAAGAGGAGCAAAAAAAAAGCGGTGTTAGTTGTTGGCAATGCCATTTTGGACGCCGTAAGGTCTGTGCTACACAACACGGTTAACAGATCGGATCGTTCAAAGGTTACAGCTTCCAAAGAAGAGGAAGAGAAAAGCCGAAACTGCAAAAGTGAATATATTACATTCACCCATCGTGATGCGCCCAACCGCCACCCCCGCCAATAACCAACCGAGTTTTGCTCATTCCAAAAAATTTCAGACACAAAAAAAGGAATTTGTTTTTAGGGAGCAAATTGGATTGAATAAACGAGCGAAACATATTTATAAATTAGATGAAGGTAAATGTGAAGTTTAAGTGACAAATAGTTGAAAAAAAAAACAAAAAAGAAAAAGCAGGATAGAGCAAGATGACATGTTCATTAAGCTACCAAACAAATAGGAAATACTTTGGAAATCTTGACGACTAATTCTTTCAATCAAAAGTGATAAACGATGAAAATTTACCAATCAACGAATATGCTACTACTTTTATTCTTAAAGTCTTGTAAACTAAAATTAAAATTGGATTTTGCAAAGAGAGCAGCTTGATGACTTGCATTATCAACTTGTTTTCTGGAAAATTTATGCAAAACATTAAAATTAATAAATGTGATAGAGTAATGTAAGAAATTATAAGACTATACCGATATCTATGTTTTTATTAACAAAAGTGGATAAGCTACTGATAATTACTGACAAATTACTGATGATTTAACATTTACTACATATAATTTCTTTTTCATCAATTTCTTTCATCTTTCAGCAAGAAAAGAAAAACTTTTTACCAAAGAGGCTTAAATAATGGTGCAAATAGTATCGATGGCTAAAAGCATTTCCATCAGTTGAGCTGACTAAAGACGAAAAAAAACATCGGGAAATATGATATTTTTTGGTTATTTTTATGCTAGCCATAGTGGCGCCATGGTTTAACAATTGTTTATTTGTTTGTATCTCGTTGACTGATTTTTTTAAGGGAACAATAAAGTTTTTTCTCGTGATACAAAAAGCGTCCTCAACCATTAATGACCCTTCCTGAATTGCATTAAAAAAGAAAAAAGAACATTGTCGAGAATTATCCTAAACTGTTCTACTTTGATTACCGGCTACTATTAACCATTTAATGTGCACGTAAGCTATCAGCTTTAAGCATTTCAAATGAATACTTTGCACTTGTATGCGACACGTATGTAAATTTCATTTCACTTACATTTGTCAGCCATGAACAGTTGTAATAGAAATCATTTTCTGGAAATATTATTGAAGAAATTAAGCAATTTATATGAAGAGCTGGAAAACTTAGACGAATGGTATTTTTGGCTACGAAGTAAAAAATCTGACCAGCGCATAGTTTTCAATAAATTATCACTTTAAATATTCAAATATTTTTTGGTATACAAAAGATTGGCATACTTAAATCTAGTTTTACCAAATTAAGCTTTAGAAAATCCTTGATGGTTCAATCATATCTCAAGATTAACAAAAGTGTTCAGAATATTTGCTATATTTTTACAGATACATTTATAACTTTCAGATTCTGAAAACTTAAGATTATTTCGATGAATAATCTGTAGTAAAAATTACTATCGGTACTATTTAATTATCTGAAAGCATCGCAAGTGTTTTAGGTTTTTTTGAAAGAAATTAGAAATTTAACATTTTTGTTTTTACTATTACCTTCCAAAGTTTCAACTAAAACTTTCAACTCAAAAAAAGGTGGAAATATCAAGTTATCTAATTAACATTATTTATTTAAATTTGGTTTATGCATAATATGCCAATATGTAAGGAAAATATGTACCATTGAATTGTTTGCTTATAACGGATCGATATCAACTATATATTTATTTTCACCTTTTACACCTTTTGTATGCAAATATTTGCTTCTTTTCCATTCTTACTTGTAAAAGTTGTTGTGGTATCATTTTGGTAGCATTGTAAATTGTCTGTGAAGTACCGGTGATTGCGGTAAGCGGTCGTTCATCGATACTTAAGCAAACAACTCTTCACATCTTACTTTTCCTATCATAACTTTATGTAAATATTAATAAATAGAAACAGACATCTTTTTCTCTTTTTCCAACCACTTATGATTATTTCTCGCACTACTTATTACTGTAACTTCATCACAGTGTAAGGGTACCTGGAAACGTAACTATGAGTAATACTTGTTACTTTTATTACTGCTAAAAAATCTAAGCCAACATGACATCAAAATTCAAAAAAATCAACTCTTGCAATAGTGACAGAGCAGAGATGAAATAAAAATTTAATCACTTACAAATATCTTTAGCTTTTGTATTTAATAAGAATGATAATAGTATGTGGCAGGCTATTTCAGTTTAATTCATTCAAGTTACTTTAATCAGCACAGATATGAATATATCCTTTATTTATGATATAGGAACCGCAATGAAAACATAATGAAGTAATTGCTAATGACGTAATTGTGTTCATGCGCTAACAGTACTAAATCGATGCGCAGAATCTCACGAAAATTATTTTAGAGAAGTGTCATACAGTGTTAAATTCATAATGTTTGTATAGATTGATTGTGTTAAAAAATTAAAGTTTTCAAAATGAAAGTAAAATATCGATCAAAAATCACTTTGATGATTTTTTATAAAATGTATACATTTTTGAATCAGTGATTAATTGCATTGTTCCCAAATATTTTCGATGAGAATTTTATATGCAAAGCTGATTGCATATGCTAAATTAAAAGTTTGTGAGGGACAATATCGGACTTCATCGAACTACAGTATTCGATATTACTGAATATTTGCCAATAGCAGTAGTAATTATCATGGTAAGAAGAATGAAGGCGTTAATCGGATTTAGCGAGTGACATCAAATTGCCTTACGCAACTAGTTGGCTTCCTACCTAAATAAACAACAATTCTGTTATTCTCTTTACAATTGTTTAAAATTGCTTACATGTTTGTTTGAAATGATTGAGCATTATTGATAGTACATGCAGTTATGCATGCATGCGTGCACATTTTTGTTGCTAGCGAATTGCTATATTTGTGAATGTGCATGGTAAATATTTGCAAAGTTCTTCTGTGAATCAATAAGACTTGAATTTTCCTGAAAATAAAAATTAGATGTACACCTTTCTTAATCATCATGCAAATATTGCTGCAACTTGAAACTCTCTACTAGTTATAATGGTCGATATACAAACCGGATGGAATGTGAAGAGGTTTATGATGCATGCATGGCATGTAAGAACATGCAAAATAAATGAAAGATAGGGATAGTGCATGCAAAGACATGCAAAGTGTTTGAATGAATGAAAAGAGAGCACTAGGAGAGGGTAGGATACTAGAAGAGCTAATTACAGGGCGACACAGTTGTCAACTCCCTATTGTTCCCTTTTTCCGTTTCTCTTCGGTGAGGTAGACGTACCCCAATTAGCCACAGGTCAACCCAAGCAAACCATCATCCTCTCTCCGCGTCATCATCACGGCATCGACATACTAGGAGTATTGCGCAGCGTAAAATTGAGGGATTTCTTCAACAAATAAATTATGCTAAATATATTCGTGAATGTATTCCTATCATTAAATGTCATCCATTTTCTCTGCTACATTGAATCGGTACGCATTCACTTGGTCAAAAGCATTTCGATTGATGAAGAGGAAAAATCGAAATTTTGGCAAAAGAAAAATGACCAAATAGGTCAACAAACTTTAAAAATAAACCATATATATATTATTCTTCCCGCAAATGAAACTTGGAAAATCTAATCAACAAAGAAGAGAGTTCTTTGATCAGTACAAAAAATTTTTACTCTTCACCATAAAATAAAATTTAATTAGTTTTAACATATCAAGTTCCAGTGAATTGCTCATATGAACTGAAAAACCTATCATGTCAGAATATCTCTGGATAACTTCGAATATAGACTATTTTCAAATTTTTATGAAGTTTTTTGAGATTTTAAAAAGAACTTCATTTTCACATTCAAAATTTCAGATACAGCCATTGACATAATCAATAAAATATCAAAAGAACATTTCGAAATTCAAATTGGTAGAGGCCTAGGAAAAGTATTTCGATCATTCTTTATCCATTTTTGTTCATAACATATTTCTGGCCACCATATTTTCCTTGGCCCACACAGCATCCCCTTGTTTAAGTGTTTATCGTTTCTTGTTCAGAGCTCTTTCAATCAGTGCTAGGCTCAATTTGCAAATGAAAATTTTTAGGATGAAAATTATTTGGATCAAAGGAATTTTGAATCAAATTTCAAGACTAAAGTTGTAGTTCACATGCAAATTTCCACAGTTTATCGTTTGTTTACTTTAATGTTTATTTCTACCGACAATAAGTGGATTAAAGTCTGTGACAAGAAAATTAAACCTTCCATTGATGGAGATTTTTTGATTGGCAAATTTTAGCAACATAAAAAATCTTTCTATCAGATTATTGTAAACCAAATTGAATTATATTTAATGTTTGAGGACTGTAACGACATCACTGATATTCAGCAAAAATAAATATAGATGAACAAATAGTATGCAGTTTAACTTATTCGTTTAAAAAAATTGTATTAATAAAATTTAATTGAAACCAGCTGATCAATTCGTTGAAAATAATAGTGCATTAGCTTATTTATAAATGAATTTTACCAGTTCATAGCATTATTTTTTTCATTATCTCTTAAATAATTTTAATATAAAATTAATAAATTTAATGACAGAAGCAAAATTTTATGCTTTTCTTTCATAGCTAACTTTATACGATATTATGAAACTTTTCTTTTGAGCATTTTACATAACAACAGTTGCAATTTCTAGTGACGGATAAAAGGAAGAAGAAGAAGAAGGGAAAAAGGAAAGAAAATGGCAGAACAATAGGTGAGTTTTCGTGCTACCTTTTCTTTAGTTCAATACCTTGATGAATAATATCTAGTGCTTATTTCACAAGCTCACAAAGAAATTTCAGCTTTCTTCCTCTTTTCACTTCTCTCTCTCTCTCCCTATTTCTTATTCTTCGTCTTCGTTTTTTTTTTCTTTCTTTCTTTCTTTTGCAAAGTAGTAACGAAATTCGTCATTTTTTATTGAAATTTTGTCTTAAAAAAAGTATGAGACAAGGAGATGCTTTCAAATCTTTGATTACAATCATTGATCAAAGAAATGAGCACATGAAGAGAAGATGAAATGAGGGACTTAGAAAAGGAATTGGTTACTTATTTTTAATATCGTCAATATTATTAATGTAAACATAAAATAAGTAGTTTAATTAATAAGTGCTATATATTTAAAAAAATTCAATAAAAAAGTATAGAAATGAAAGAATTTTTCATCCTATTAAATTTTATAGTGATAAATTTTTGATTTATTTTCAAGAATGAATTAATGAATAGTACTTCTGCTAAGTTTTTATTATTGATAGTGTTGGCTGCAAACAAAGCCGTGCGATTTTACGTTTAATTCTCTGAATTTTTTGAATTCCGCGCACATATTTATTTAGAATTTGATAAAAATATAACCATAAAAGATTAACACTTCTATTTTAAGGAAATAAAAGTAAAAATACAGATAAGCAAAAGCAAATGACATTCTTTGATAACATTTAACCATCGAATAAATCACCCAGAAAATTCATACAGGTAGGAACATTAAAATTGAATAATTTTGGGTAAGAATGATTCATCAAAGTTCGACCGAGTAATTAGCTATGGTGTATGTATGTTTCAGTGAACAATTATAACTAAATACATCCCAGATAGCAGCAATATCAGAATTGCTCCATTATTCGTAATCATTGACCGTGATTTGAACATTCTTATTGCTTCTGCATTGATAGATCTGAATAAGTAATGATTAGTCTTGCTTTTTCTATTGGTATCATTGATTATTAGCATTACTGCTATTATTTATTTATTATTAATATATATTATTATTTATTCATTATTATTATTAATTAATATCATTGTCTCTCAAAATATCATGAGACAAAATAGACTGATTAAATTTAATTTATTCGATTTAAATGAACTTTGCAACAAATATTAACATCAAATTGCTCGGAATGATACACTTAAATGTTTTTCAATAATAACTTGCAGTGACTTCATCCAAAATTATTACAATAGATTTTTGATCGCTAATGTTTGGAACTGATCGGAATTAGTGCATTGAAACGTTTGAAAGGTGTTACGGCAATTCTAGTTTTTTAAGTTTTTTAAAAACTCTATTTCCGAATTTTATATTTCATCTTTAATGTCTTTAATATTGAACGAAAGTAATATCGAAATTAAAAAATCAGCATTATTAAATTAATAATATTGGGACTATTACTTACTATCAGCATCTGACTGTTTCATATAACAATGATATATAACAGAAAAGTGTAATCGGACAATAGAACCACCTGCTAAGCTGGACACAGTTTTGTCGAATACTTTCCCGTTCACTGAGGCAGTTACAATTCATCGGATAATCATACTATTTTCTACCTGTTTCATTTATTTTAACCTCAACAAAATACCCCTTTTATTAAGCTGGAAAGGACAATAATTATTTGTCAAAATTTCTGCATTATTCATCACATAATTCCTTTATAAAATTTTATCAAAAAAAAAAAAAAAAAAATGAAACGCTTCGATCAGAAATTTTCCAGTAGATTTCAGAAGAATTTGAGTCTTATCCCTGAAAATATGATATTGTAGTATTCCTCAGGTACATAATGTAGCAATCCAAGCAAAAGAATCCATTTATACAGTATACAGACAAACATTAATTTACAATAACGAATGTATTATCTATCTCACCTAGAGAGGATTTAACAGATTTTTCAAGCGATTGTTGTAAATTGAAGAGTAAAGGAGGAGTAGAAGTAGTAGTAGTAGAGTAACATATGTTTAATATCTCTCGAAATTAATGGTTGAAGAAAGATGGAACGAATATTAAGATGTGATTGAGGACGAAAATGGGATAGTAAAGTACTTCAATACCCTCTCCACCAATATGTCTTCACGTTTTGTTCATTAACAATGAAGAGAAAAGAGAGAAGGAGGATGAGAGAGAGAGAGAGAGGTTTAGTTGAGTGTTTTCAATTGGTCCATTTCTTGACATTTTTTCTTTTTTTTTTTTTTTTAAAGGTATAATTTGGAGGAAATTCTTCAATATTTAAATATGTGATTATTTCTTCTTAATCAGATCTACTCTGATTATTAATAATTTAGAAAATAAAAAATCGTTAAAAATGAACACTGCATGCAATTGATATAATAATGAAATGTTTTAGAATACATTTGAATCGTTTGTAATAAATTTTTTTTCACCAAAGAAAAAGAAAACATTTCTAATTAGTTAAAGTAATTTGAAGTTGAGAAACTACAGTATCTATGATTGTTTCCTAAAGACTTTTAAAAGCTAAAGTAGATTAGGAAGATAATTGAGTACATAATCATCGCATGTGTAAAGAGAGGAAGCGGAAAGTCCACAGAATCGCAAATAGTAAGAGAGCAACAGGAAGAGGAAAATTAATTATTGTATTGAAGAGTTATAATGAGATTACAATTGATGACAATGAAAAACTTTAGGAAAATTTATTTATGATAATATCAAAATGATAAATAAATGGTAAACCATTCACTTATTTCTACTTTTATTCACAATGATTTAACAAAACAAAAGCTATTATAACTCATCAGTAATTCAACGAATACAGTGGTGAAAATTGTGAATAGATTATTAACTCAGGAAGTGATGCTTACCAATTATGATTAAGTTGCACGAATAATGGTAAATGAAATATGTCGGTTGGATAGCTTCATAGTTAATCTTAGTTCAATAATGCATTGAACTTCCTCAAACAGCTGCTTGCATTGAGAAATGTATTTAGATAATTGTGCGATATGATCAGTTATATGAAATCAAAACTGAAACTTGCAAATGTAATTTTAAATGAGACAATAAGCATAACAATGACATTACTTTAATTGCTAAATATGGGATTTTCTGCAAATAATGATGATATTGAGCTATGTTATATTAATATCTTGCTGGAATATTTTGACCTAATGCAAATTATTAGCTTTGCGAGGAGAAATGCGAAATTAGCTCGTTTGGATTGTTCATAATGCTAATTATTCCAAGTAAGGAATCAGTTTTACATGATAAATATTAGGAGATTAAACGGATGCACTGCTCAAGCTGCATCTAATTAGCATCGAACAAGGAGTACCTTGGTATCTTGGAGAAGCGTATTCAGAACCCTCTAAAGCCACTACTGACGTTAGATAGATTGGTGCACTGTTCCAAAAACAAATGAATCTACCAGAGTCTGTCAGATCTGATAAAAATAATAAACTCTAATCTAATATACCATTCCTTGTTGCTATGAATATATCAATATACCTGAACAATAAAACTACACGATATCACTTCAATACATTTGCATCTTTTATAACATTTTCAGAGCATTAACATATCAGCTATTGTGAAACTTTTTAAGTTTTATTCGAATTGGCGTTCAGTAGCACAACTGAAATAACTTTGTAAACTTTATTATAAATAAACAAATATTATGCCGTTCTGAATAAATTCGAGGATCAGTTTTACATTCCAAGGTATTTCAGACTGGTCAAAAAAACCTATATAACTACCAACAGAGCCAATAAAATTTAATGACACATAACAAATCATCCACGACAGTACCGTAGTATGAATTGAACGAAAGGCGATCCACTTCAAAGAAAACATTGGGGCATACTACCTTACTGTTTCATCTGAAAACAATAGCGGTGTAGTTAAGGTGCTAGTAATTACGTCACAGATGTTCGTTCCTCTCAGAGGACCTCTTTTTTCGGTATGGCTGTTATGTGAGACGACAGGAGAACAAAATACTACTGATGCATGTGAGTACCTCTCATCTATATAACATGGTAAAATCAAAACAGCAACACCTGTCAAATTTTTGTTGACAAGATTAGCCACCTTAATATTTTGTTTGTCACTGGTTTCAATAAAAGGCCGATAGTGCCGAGAAACTAATAAATGAGCGGTTGCAAAACAACTACTTCTAATAAAAAGGAAACAAGTTATCTTGCAGAGAGTCTTTAAATGAGATAATTAGTCGAACTCTCAGAAAATCCTAAAACAAAGCATTTTTAAAATTCAGTGCCAAAGCGATTCTTTGCGTTTGAACAGTCAAAGAATTTTATCAATAAGCAAATATATTTTTCAAAAAAGAAAAAATGAAAAGACAAAAAGACAATTTAATCAAGTCACATTTACTTATCAAATTTTGTTGAAGGCAACAATGTCGACACTCTGCACCTGAAATTAAAAAGGTGCTTTGTCATGTCATATGAATTTCAGTTTTGCCTAAACGAAAAGTGGAGATATGAAATAATAAACAGAAGGAAAACAATCTTAAAAACAGAAACAATAAAAACGTACATGATCCGATACTTCTTCGGTTATCTGCTCGATAAGATCATCCACAGAAACTTTTTCATCTTCCACAACGCAGATAATTTGCAGCACTTTAATACCGTACGCAAGCGGGATCAATTTTGCTGAAAAAGAGAGGAATAAAACAAAGTTCTGCAACAATATTCAATCAAAAAATATCCAGAAGTTTTCCACAAAAAGAAAGTGGAGACCAGTTAACAAATGATTACTTCATTTCAAAGAATGGTGAAAATCAAAGTTGTTCGACATATTCTTGATCATAACAAAGTTGCAAGGAATTTTACCATACCAATATGAATTACGGTCTTTTCCTTTTGATTTTTTCAGCTCTCAAGAAAAGACAAAAAAATAGATATCCCGCGATCTGATTTAGCACATTTCTTAGTTATAATGGCATGTACGCAGCAAACAACTATATTTAGGCATTAATTATACATAACAGTTTTCCACATTTGCAAATAACAATTTCACAAACAAAACTGACCAGCGCCCCAAACGAGACCATCTTTCTCAATCCTCCTAACAAATTTTTCCATTTCTTGCATATCTGTCGTGTCATCCCAAGGCTAAAATTCAACAGTATGTGAAAAAAAAAAAAAAAAAAAAAAACAGACAAAACACAATTTTCCTGATTTTTTATTTAAAGAAAAATTGTTTCAAATTGGTAACCACATACTAAGTAATACAAGGAACTATATTTTTAAAATTTCTATATCTATGAATTATTCTACTTCTAAAAAAATGCTTCTTAAACCACTGTAAAAAGTAACTTCTTGAATTTCAAGAACTACATAACTATTCAATGTAGTGTTTTTTCAATGGTGATATGATACACTTCAGGACTTTACTACTACATCAAAAATATACATTCCTTGAACTGTTCAATAAATACAACTTTATTCATGCAGAAGGAAAAAATAAATTTGAAATAGGAAAAAAATTATTTCTTCATCTAAAGTAGTGAGAAAAAAACTTACTTTCACATCCAAAATAATAGAAGACTTGGCAATGCATCCTGGTTTCTTTGCCTTTTTCTCAGCATAAGCTTTCAGCCTTTCCTGTTTGATACGTTCTTTTTCTGCATCATCTTCATCCGATGATTCAAATAAATCAAAATCCTCTTTTGATACTTCTAATGGTTTTTGAATTTCTGATGATTCCTTTATCAAAGCAGGTAGAGAAATCTCATGACCCTAAAACAATATGATCATCCAGAACTTCAAAATTCTTGAAACATCAAAAGATTCTATAAACTGACTACGAAAAAATATGTTTGAAATACTTAATAATTTAGTGAGCTTGCATCGCGAGAAGCGCTATTTTATACGACGACGGTAGGTTATGCAAACTTAAAGAACTGAAACGTTATAGCCACGTCACAGGAAAAATTCAAGATATCGGGCTCCATTATTACCTCAACAAGATGGCAATATACCATTATTCTGGACTATTAAACAAAATTTTTTTTTTTAAAGAATACAAATAAATGTAAAGATAAAACACAAAATGGAGAAAACACGAGTCTTCAATGAGAACAATTTATTTGAAAACAAATGCTGAATAGATACATTGAAACCAAAAAATTTTCAAACTAGGTCACAATCATTTGTAGATGCTGCTCGATGAAACGATCACTAAGCGTCAATTTAATTTCTTCATGAATCGAATTACAAAGTTTTCTGGATAGTGGAATCCTCCAGCTCTGCCACACAAAATGGTAAATGTGATTAGGTAGTCCTAAATAATATGTTCTCCTGTCTACGACTTCATAAAAGTCCACTAAAATATGCCCACAAAGTTCTTCAACCAAGAAAAATAAAACCCTCTCCAATTCAGTAGCTTTTTCTGGATTCAAATAAACAATTGATAAGTCCCTATGAAAAAATGGTCGCCATTCATGAGCTATTCTTTTGATTCTAAAAATCTTATTTTCATACTCAGTTAGTTCTTTGACTTTAGTAACGACAGGACTTTTAACGAAAGTAAGAGTTTCCGGCCCAATTTTATCGTTAAAAGATCGTTCCGAATTATGATATCCTGAGCTAGTATATGGAGGGAACAATCCTGGCTGAAAAATGGAAGCTTCCTGAAGAATAAAGTATTCTTCAGCAGCTATGTAGATAATATTCCAACTATCTGACTTATGTTCTGGCAACCGTCGGTATTTGAAACATCGCCTAAACAATATAGACGAGTGATCTAATCCACTCTGTCCCTTAGCAAGAGTGATATGAAAACGACCGAATAACAATAACCGGCCAATACTTGCAAATGCCTTCTGAATTAGCTGACGACTTTTACGAAGATTTGTTTTTCCACAGTGATGAGGAAAATTCCATATAATATCATCGTAAAACCCGGTCCAATTTTCCGGAAGTAAGCAGGCATCGATCGAAAATAAAATATGGACATGAGAATGGTTAGTTTGAAGTTCGATGATATTCTTTTCACCGGAAGGATATTTCGTAATATATTCAGAATAGCTTTCAAAAACACTTGTATATATTTCGATCTCAGGATGCAAGCGAGCAAATGCAAGACTGAATGACAGATTGCCATCGCCCAAAATTAATGTCCTACTTCCAACTCTTTCCAATGCGGAAAATATGCAAGGTCTTGACTGCAAATTATACTGAGCTTTACTAACCACTACAACCCAAAAAAGTTAAAAAGTATGCTGACAACAAACGCGACTTTATTAAAAAGCATCGCCTACTATAAATATTTCATCTATTATTTTTACCCTGAAGTATTCTAGTATTAAATTATTTCACATAAATTTTATAGAGAAAGAGATACTGCTAGCAAGATTTCATAAAATACTTTTAAATCCTACAAAGGCATACCAGAGAAAATGTTGCATCAACATAGAACAAATTTAGAGAAATCAAAGAAAATATTTGGAACTTAAATAAAAAGTATGAAAAATTCTTCCTTGAAAAATTCGCTGACCTGGTGGGCATAATTCAGTATCTTCTGGAAGTCTTCACGTAGTTTCTGGATTTCATTTCGCATTTCATCACTTACTTTCTTTAACGCGACAACTTCTCCAGTTAATTTTGCTAATGCATTACCAGCTAGGTCTTCTAAAAATGAACCTACAAAAAAGATCTTGGCACTGAATTTCTTTGCTATAGGTCAGTTTATGAGAATAGCAATAATGACAGGTAAAGGATATATTTCCCAAGAAATGAAAACAACCTGCCGATGATATGTAGGTAAAGATTATAGAGTATTTGCTCGGTAATAATTCACGTAGTTATTATATACATCCAAAGTGTAGTCACGCAACTACTGGGAAAGAGCTCTAATAAATGAGTGGAGAAGTCCGGAAATGTGCAACCCAAAATAATGCCGACTAAGTGATTTTAATCAATAGTCACTAATGTCATTGTTGCCGCTTTAATAAACAGGTTGACACTGCCGACTATCAAATAAATCTTAGCAAAAATAACTTGACAAATTACCAAATCAATCAAAAAATAAAATGATGCATTTTTCTTGCTGCATAAAATACACGTCATCCATCCATAATAACTCATTACCATTATTCGACACAGGAGTCCCTTCATCACCAACTACATAATGATTTTACCTACCACTAGTATCATCCAGCGCTCGCTTCAGTGTTTTTCTGGCATTAGCGATAGCGTCACGTAAGCCATCTGATCCATCAGGTTTTTCATGCATACTGTTACTAGGACATTTGCCTTCCTGATTTCTCCTCTTATTCATGCAATTTGGACTACTGCGATCTAAAAGTTTTTCGAAATTTTGCAGTGACACTCTTTACATTTGCAGTCAAAGTCAGCAACCCAGCAAATAAAATACACGAATACATGTTATACAATAAAGATAACAACGATTTGCAAGTACCTTCTGAGACTAACATTACAAAAGTATGATGAGATGAACACCAAAAAAAGACACTTCAAATAAGTCTAAAAGGAAACACGGTTGAATTTATTTGCAAGATAAATGAAATAATCAATAACAAAAGAAAACTTATGTGCATGTTCGCTTTTATTTTATCTAGCGGTTGCCGGAATTAGAACAGAGAATAAATACCAACGCATACCTCTAATTCAAAAAGTATCTTGGAATAAATGATAACCTGACAATATTCAGAAACGACAGGAATAAAGTTGTATAGCGATCCAGAATAGAATAAAGAATTAAATAAGTAATAACAAACCAGATATTCCTTTCTTTGATCCATCGTTTGAGTGGTAGTGGTAGAGCATTTTATCACCAAAAAATAATTCATCCGCTGCTCTCAATGTCAGTTGGTAGCCAAATAATGTGGTCACCTCTGACAAAAGACTTTCTACCGACACCATTTTCCTGTAATAGATCTACACACTCTAATTAACAAATGACAATCAGCTAATGATAAGAAACCAAAACGCACCTGTCTTGCATGAAGCAAATGCATCACAAAATATTCTTTTCAAGAGCAAATGCTTCAAATTCAAATAAAAACTCTTCAAAAACTGTTTCAGTTGTTTGCAAATCGATCTGAACAAAAGCGCCTATTCAACCTACTTAATTAGTAACAACTTACGTTTACAACTTACTTTTGTAATGATTAATTAAAAAAGCTAAAAAACTACCCGCAGGAAACTTCCCCAAAAAATTTTCTTATCGCTACGTCATACGTTGCACTTACGGTCTAGCAGAGTTGCATACCGAAACCGCACACAGCATTTATTATCATATTAGCCGAGATCAGTTCCTAGTTGGGTTTTGTTTTTCTCTGTGAAGGTAAATCCCTAATTTAGCAAAGTTGCAAGATCTGTGGTAATTCCTCCAACACTAAGCTGGCATAAGTCAGGTATGAAGTGAAAAATGAAGATAAATGAATTAAGTATGAATAAAGTGATTAGGTACGACAAGAATAAGTGGGCAATAGTTAATGCTTTATATTTTTTCTAGATGTATAATTGAGGTGGATTTTGATGTGTCCTATGAATCATTATTAGTATTAAAGACTAGTAATTAGCTATTAACTATATACATTATTTAATCAGAAGTAAGTCACTTGGTCATCATTTTACAGAAACTTGCTTCTATTGTTTGCTATAGTCAGTACGACCAAGTATCACTTTGATTATATTTAGTTATTATCTCTAAAGTAAATCCATGACTAATTTCTATTAGCAGAATGAAAAATAATACACCTCGCCATGACGATCGTCGCTCCATGGTTTCTGTTTCCAGTACTGGCAGTAGTAGCTTGATGGAGATAGCAAGTCAACGATCAGTTGGTGGTCAACTGCGGAAGTATAATTTTTAGTCCTCCAAACTTTATACTGAAACTAATAAGGCCTTAATTTAACACTCCAATTTGACACGAGCAGAATTTGATTTCAATTCCATTAATTTTACTATTAGTTAACCGGTTTCTTTGGTCGTTCAGTCTGAAGAAATTATTCAGTTTCTCTAACTTTTAAATAAAGGTCAAAATTTTGAAATGGCAGGGTTGTGTAATAATCTAAAAGTAACCTTATGAATATCATATTTAAAGCGAAATAACTGACTTCATTCAAAATTAGTTTGTGGAGTGTTAAAATTAATGTGTGATTGGCGGTACTTTGAATACCAACAAACAAAATGAAACAGAAAAAATGTGAAAGTTTGATTCCCTCCAAAAGATGCTTACATAAAGTGGAATGAAATGGCATTAAAAAGAAATAGAGAAGTAACTGCATAAGTTCTAATTTAGTTCTAAATTTCCATTTACAAACCTTTCAGATAATTTCGTAGACTTTTAGATTCACTGCTGCAGTGGGGAAGCCAGGGCAGGCCCGAGAAGCCCGTGAAGCAGTACGAACAGCAATGAGCACAATGAACCCGACGGTTATTTTTGCATTATTTATTTGGGTCTCTCTTTAAACACAAAAGTTTATGATTATTGAGTTTGACTATTTAAATTGGGAATTGGACATTTCGATATAGAAATGAATTAAACTGTTTTCTAGTTGGATTTTTTGAATCTTAATTTCTACAGCGCAAACGACCATTAGCGGAACCATTGGATTATGAGAAGTTTTTGGGTGAAAACAGTTCAATAATAGAAAATCTTAGTCAGCGAGAGCTGTTACTGTTTCCGCGCGATGACTTCACGGTATTTTTTATTCTTTTAATTCTCGACTTTAAAATTAAATTGGGATTTGCTGCAGTGTTTCACCCAACATGCATCATGAAATATTCAATTTTCGCAGCATATTTAGATTTCCATTTTTAGTGCTTATTAAGTTTTCCCCAAATTAGAAACTTAGAAAAATTAGTTCAGGAGATATCAGTATCTCCATTGGAACGTACTGTGATGCCATCATTAAGTGTGCGTGAGGTAACAGATGCAAAATGGTTACTTACGCAAGAAGCCCTTGCATTTTATACTGCTCCGCATCGTGTCGTTCGTTTTAATTATGCGCAGTTCGGTTCGGATTATCACAGTATTTCTGAGTAAGCTCTATTAATGTTAACTTTTCAAATGTTATTTAAATTCATTTCATGGGAAAGACCACTTATGTTTGTCATAAAATTGTTCCTTGTTTGAAATACGAGTTCATCATTAACTTTGATTAGTAAGAAATAAGACTTGACATTTGAATCGGATATGTATTACTAAAAAGTTGATTCTATTAATTAATAACAGATAGCAGATATACAATGATATTAGACAAGTCTTCGGGTTAATTAAAAAAAAAATTTTTTTTTTTCAGTCATGATGTCGATCTTCAGCCATTAATTTATGAAAATGATATGATCTATGATGAACAAAAAGAGATAAGTTCTCTTTCATCCTTTCTGTTCATTGATTTTCCGCATATTGCAAATTCTTATAAATATTTACCAATATACTATATTTTAGGAGTTAGAGGGTCGCTGTAGTTTGGATATTATTCGAGAAGGATTCTTGTTCCTTGTTCCAGAAACTAGTCTTTTGGATAATTTCAAGGTGAATGGTCGATGATAATAAGCTCCATTTAAAGATACACTTGTCATTTATCCACTGTTGCCATAAGAATGTGAACTATGGAGAGAATTGCTCTGTTTGAATCACTGGTTTACCTCCATAAACCTATAAAAGTGTTTTATTTGGTCAAAACGTCATTCTTTTTAATCATTAACAAATAAATTTAGAATACAAAGTTAATATATAAAAATACAGAAATAGTTGAATAAAAGTATAACTCAGATTCTGAACATTTTAAATGATTCATTTGTAGAGCATGAAGAAACGTTACTGTGTGCTGAGAAAAGATGAAGATGGAAAAGTTCTACTAGAAATGCGCAAATCACAATTTGCAGCATTAACACATCCACCAATGATTGTGCAACAAGCGGCTTTGTCGACTAGTAAAAAGGGCAGAAATGTTCTTGAAGTATGAGCATAATTGTTATCTAATGCAGATAAGGCTTCATTGATGGAGATGAAATCGAATCGAAACAAAATACAAAAATTATTTATATACGGTTTTGAATTTAGTTCTAAGATTAAATGCGTAGCATAAAATTTGAATTGCATGTTTATGTGTTCCGCTACGATTTTTTTGGAGGAGCAATCTTTTTGGAGTCGCCATTCATAGGCTTACTAGTTCACTTTCTTTTTTGCTTAAATTGATAATATCAGTTGTAAATAAATTGCTTTCATTTTCTCTGATTCGGCTGATGATGTTATGAGTTACTTCGCGAAGCATAACTTTTTTCGCGATATTTCAGCATTTGATTTTTTAAAAGGAATGAATAATAGTAAATTGGAGGTGAGTGGATCTGGTGCAGAAAGGCGTTCATGGGTTTTGGCAGCAGATTCTGATAGCGATTTACCTCGATGGTTAATTGAAATTGATCGTGCTTTGGCTGGCGACTGCAAAGGTTACTTATTTTCTTATAATGAAGGATCACCAGATATGAATATGGAAGTCAGTTAGATAAATTTTTCGCTATTTCAGCTTTGGGTTTTTTTAGTTTTTTTCTTTTTTTTTTTTCGTACTCATTTTTGAGAGTACTATTCGCAGACATAATTTATCATTTAATATTAAGCAGCGAAAGTAAAATCATTTCAATGTGTGATTGATTTTCATATCCAGAAAAGCAGGCTGTTGTGCGAGCATAATATTACAGCAAATTCGATTGTGTTCTCTTAATCATCACCCACACTTATACGATTAAGAGAAGACAAACGAAAAAATTGTAATAAGCTCTTCTGAATTTATTTAATTGATGGGTTTTCACAAAACTACTAGAATCAACGGAAAAGGAAGATGAATTCACTTATTCAAAGGAATGAAAGAGATGTGGAGACCAGTTAGGGCTTGATTATTTAACGGTGAGCAACTGACTGTTATCGGCGAACTGCCACACAACTATTTCCTCTTTTCTTGTTGACATCATCGACAACACGATGTGAATAAACAGTTTGCATTAGCCTTCTATATATATATATATATATATATATATATATATATATATATATATATATATATATATATATATATATATATATATATATAATGTGTGTAAAAATGAGCATTAGAAAAACCGAAAAAAAATAATGCCGCAATACTATCATTATGAAACGAGCTACATACTTGCTGCCGTAGTAATTGTTTACATTGAATAATTCAGCTGTTTCATATTTGTAAAAGCAAAAATTTCAAGTATTGAAAAGATCTATTGAATGCCATTATAAATATTACATTACAAATCATCGAAAATAATTGAACTATATGTTTAGGCTTCTGAAAGAAAATAAATGATAGAATATTATTCATTACATTCCGTAAAGAGTTAAGAGTGCAGGTTTTATTTCTTAAGTTTAAGTCTCTCTTACAGATGTTAATTTGTTAAGTCTTAGCAAAATTTCAATGAATATGGTTACAGGTCTATCATTGCAGCAGGAATTTCTAAGTCCAGTTTAAAATTTTTTTAAGTTCAGTTTAAGTTTGAATTTTTATCGATATTCTCACATTCCAGATGGGACGGCTTCAACGAGTACTAACTTAGAACAAGAATCATCAGGCATGGAAACAACAAGAATGAGTGAGGAACAGATCTCTATAGTAAACAACGACCCTAGTGGTTGGTTAATTTTAAGTTATCAGTTTAATCTTTGAACTATGATATGTCAGCAAATGGATTCCATGAATACTTTTATGGACTTTATATTATTTATATATTTGTATTCTATTTCTATTTCTGAACTTATGGATTTATATTGTTTCCAAGTTTATGAAAATTTTAAGAGCTATTTGGGACTTGTTTTTGGGCTGGACGTAACGCTGCCTCAAAAGCCTTGCAACCGCCTGTTGTTAAAAGACGTTCACTTTTCGCACTGTATCCTGATCTTGATGTTAGTCATTTTTTCGAATTGATTTCATGATTTCAGTACTTTATCTTCAATATCTAAGGACTGTTTTTGTCTTTTAGCGATTATCAATGCCAAAAAGTGAAGCGGGTTGTTTGTTGGCGAATGTTGTTGCGAATGAGGTAACAAGGTCTCCGGAAAATAAGGCTGTTGTTCGGTTTATTGTTGAGTTCCAGAATTTGAATATTATGTTACCTGTTTCAAGTACAAATGTGCAACAGGTGCTTGTTTGAAGTATTTAAAGGCGATGTGTTTTTTTTTTGAGTTTTTAATATCAATAAAGTTGGCTGGCGGAATTGTGAAATTTGTTCTTATTGGCTTATTACAGCTTGTCAGAACTTTTTCTTCCTGAATTATAGTTGAAGGAGTATTACTATTTGTACTGCGAACTTCATATCTTATTCTGTATGCCAATTCCAGATTGAACCTTTCTTTCTACGCATGTTTCTATACGATTGTCGAGCTGGTCAGCGATTGTCCGAGGAGTTTCGAATTGATCCGAACAGCGACGGATTAATTGCATCGTTAAAAATTGGTGGCAGAGATGGAGTTGGCAAGAGTTCAGTTGATAAAAGCACGTTGGAAGAAGATGGTGTTACTACTTTGTCCCAGCGAATACTTGCCGATAAAAACGTTCGAAAGGTTGTTATCAAAAATTAGAAAATTTGCTAACGGGAATTTTTCGTTTCTTTCAGCTCACCTATTATTTGTAACCCATAATTCACTTTTCTTTTTATGTGATCAAAAATAAGAGGAATAGTACTGAATATCTTCCACACTTTTCTATTTCATTTTCAGTTCATCTCTTTAAATTCCTATTGGTTTTTTTTGTTTATTGTTTCTTCATATTTGTTTAATTTCTTCGTAATCTTTAATTCAATAGATTTCTCAATTTTTTCTATTGATCTCTTTGACTTTACTGCGTTTATCATTTAATTTTTTAGTTTTTTTATTTTTATTTTTATGCTTACTAATATTACCGACTGTTACTGATTTTTTGAAGAAAAAGTTGCAGATTTTATATTCAGTTGCTAAACCTCATCGTGATATTTACTTGGTTATTCGTGTTGATCGACTGCTTTCGGTTGATACATCGGCAGAAATGTATATGAAAACAACAAGTGATTTAAAAGGTGTTGCAAAGCTGCAAAAAGTAATTCAGCAAGCTTGTTCGAGAGCAACTCAGGACAAAATGTGTTTTGCTTGGGCTGCAAGGTCTAATACGTTATAATTATATGCAATAAGTTTAATATTTGGGTTAAGGTAACGTATAACACTTATTTCTTATTTTAGTCCTACTGATATTTTTTCAGTGTCTTTGTTCGTGTTCTCATCATATAACCTTATGAAAGCATACATGAATAAATCTTCCTCTTTCTAAATATTTTTTACGTATCTTGAGCTATTTCGTTTCACTTGATTCGTCGATGATCTATATCTTCTTTGTAAGTGGAAGTAAAAGTAGTGTGAAAACTTTTTTTGAACATTATTGATATTTTTTAAAAAAATGCGCAATTAACATCTAATATTAGGGTACTAAATTATTGATGTTACTTTTAAAATCATTCTAAGAAAATCATTGATATGAGTTATTGTTTTTTATGGTAAACATGATATTGCAGGCCTGTATTTCAAGAAATGTTGGGTTATGGAACGAAATCGCCAAATGAAATACAACTTTATCGTTGTGAAGGAAATAGACTAAGTGACGGCGATTTGCAGAAAATTCTCACTGACTTTGGACGGTTGGTTTTATTTAAAGTTTATTATCAGATAGATTTGAAAATTTAAAAAGAAAACTTTTATTATTTCACTGTCTTCACTGTTTTCATTCCAGAATTGAAAAATCCGGAAGATTAACACAATTACCGGCGGCAACGATCAGTGTCAATATTGACTTTTCGCCAAAGGCACCTGATTTATCAAGTCTGTAGTTTTTGATCTTTTTTGATATAAATAGGAAGCATGTATGTAATTCTCATATGTTTCAAGTATTTAATTTTTTACTTCCAGTATTTTTTTGTACTTTTTTCAGTGTGTATAAATTCGAGTTTTATGCCTGTACGTCCGTGGAATGTAACATCAGATAGCCTTGTACCAGCTTGCTTTGAAGCCCAGTGTTTCAATGATTTAATTAGCGAACCACATACAAGTCTTTTCAACTTACTCTATGTATATCCATTAACACTGAAGTATGATAGCCAGAAAGCGTTTAGTAAAGCACGTAATATCGTGTGTACTATACGTTTCATTTCTGTAACCAAAAAAGAAGGCATATCAAAAGTTCGTTTCCATTAAAAAAAATTTTTTAGTCAAATAGATAATGTTAGGTATTAGATGTTGTTCATAACGATGTAACGAGTTAAAGCGAAAAGTAATTAAAAAATAAAATGGAAATATATAAGCCTGATTAGACTTGTTCATTTGAAAACCGAAGCAATTTTTTTCTTTTTTCAATTTGAAGCTATCTTCATACAAACTTAAATTAACGTTGGATCGTAGTCAGTTTGTTTAAGTTCTAAAAAAATTCGTGTTTTTACTTTAGGTCATTTACAACCGATTTGCATCACCTACACCATTTGTACACAGCATGCGTTGCTCAGTGCAATACCACGAACAAAATCCAGTCTTCAGTGATGAGGTATTTCTAGTTGCAGATTATTTTACTGATAATCTTTTGTTCGCTCGAGTTTACTTGTTGAAAACTGAAAAAATTAGCAGCATTTAAGGCAGTAGGTAATTTTATGCAATTTCTCATTTGTGGTCATTATATACATTGAATATTTGAAAGGGAATAATGCGAGGCGTTAATTTTGCGTTCTAGTGCATTGTGTTATCTCCTTAGGTTCGTAAAATTCCACGATGTTTTTATTTAAATTTTGTTTTCAGATAAAGATTCAACTTCCAGTTTCATTAGATACAGGCGATCATTTATTATTTTCATTTAGTCATGTGTCAGTTGCAAGTACCGTTTCAAACAAATCACAGAACGAGGTTTTCTCTAATTTTTTTATCGCTTGATTTTTACTTACTATGCAGCTTTGCTTGAGAAAAAAGTCAATTTTTATATGTAATTATCTCTTATTTACTCTGCATTTACTGTCGAGATTTTTTGTAAGGATGAAGTAGCAGTTACTCGATCATATATCATATGAAATTTCAGAATTCTGATAGTCCTATTGGATATGCTTGGTTACCTCTGTTAAAGAAAGACCGTTTGATAATCGAACGCGATAATCAGGAGTTTTCTTTATCAGTGGCTACCGATTTACCGCACGGTTATATAAGCTACCAATCACTAGGATTTGGAAAAGGGGCGAGTTATTCCTTATGTTACGATATTGTTCCATTTCGAATATTGCATTATTAGGAGTCGAATATCATATTCCGATTTCGTTTTCTGATCTTGATGCTGCAAATCTTTCTTATCTAATCTATTATTTCCCTTTGCTTATCAGTAATCGAAGCAGTTTCATTTCATATTCATTTAGTTTATCCATTCAGTTTATTCCATTTTTTGTTTGGTCCATTAAATTTTATTACAGCATACTGGACCAGATATCCGTTGGGTGGATAATGGCAAACAGTTATTTCGTGTTCGCCTGCGGCTTGTTTCTTCAGCATTTACAACCGAAAGAAAGTTGCAAGCATTCTTTCAAAGTTGTCAGAGGTTTCAACGTGCGGGTCTCACTGGTGATGTATCGTCAAAAACTAAAGTTGGTTTATTATTTTAAATAGAGTAGTTTTGCTGTTCGGGGTGAGGCCCGAAAGAGAGGGAGAACGAAAAAATTATTGAGGCAGAAAGCGAGTTTCAGTTCAGGGATTATTATTTTTGTTGAGAGATGCTGCGCACATGCGGCTTTATAATCTTTGACTCTTTTGGCAATTTTGACCTCAATAAAAAATGTGATATTCTTCCCTTTCCATTCTTCTCATTTAGCAGTAATATATTGTCAACGTCGGATTTTCTCTACTTACTTACGCTGATACTCTCCATTTGTGATGTTTGTGATTTTTACTAATATCTGCAACTTATCTTCGGAACTGAAAACTATTAAATCGTGTTCGTTTTTATTTATTTCCTCTTTATATTTTTTATTGGTCTTCTAAAAGCATGTTTCTCAATATTTGTGCAAAATATAATTAGGTTTTCATTCTTACACTTTTGTAGCCAGTTGTTTCTAATTTTTCCAGAATTTTTGAACAAAGCTAATCATTGGAAATTGCAGTATTTGTGGAGCTAACGCTACTGATTTTGATCCTAAGCTTTCCCTAACTTATTTTGAAGTGATAATCGATTCTCACTCTTACAGAAATTTGTGCTTGTTCGATTTATCGAATCACTGGTTTATTCGAACTGAAACTTTAATGTATTACTTAGCTTTCAGGGAATATTTCATTGTTTTGCTTGTTTTGGGTGTAAATTTGCTAACAATTGCGCATTGTAGTGGTTCAGTCTGCCAGGTTCAATTTCACCAGTTAGCAATACACCGTCGTCTCCTCCCTCATTAGTGGTCACGCGTTCCTGTTCACCATCTTTCGAAAATCATGGATTATCACAGGAAGAAAATTTTTGGCATTACGTAGTACGGAAAATTGAGGTGAGGTTTAGTTCACACAATTTTGCTACAAAATTACGAGTACATAACCGTGGTTCATAATTTGAACAACTCTTCTCGATGTGCAATGGTACTTTGTCATTACTTTAATATTTAGAAAATTTTAATGGGTACTGATAGTTTTATTGCTTATTTATAGTTCCCATTAAAAAATGATTTATATAAATAGCTTGATATTGGCTAGGAAAGTGCTACTTTGCTATTTTACTTTTTTTTTTTCTATTAAAAAGCTTTTTTATGTTTCATAATGGAGTCAACAGCACTTTTTATTACTTTACTTTCTTCATTTCTCCATATATCCATTTATTTTTACTTTGTATTATAACACAGTTTATTGCAAACGACGAGTAGTTTTTTTTAATGTTCATTAAGTTTACTTTTTCTGTTTTCGTTGTATAATAACTAAAGTAAAGTAGTATTGGGCTATCCACCAGATGAATTTAACTGTATGTTCTTGGCAACAAGTATGAGGATTGTACTGCTGACTGTAAATGCTTCCTAGTTTTACCACTGAGAGAAATGCATGTTTACGAATGACCACTAACTCGTTATCCTAACCTTTGCAGTAAAAAGTTCTTCTAAGGAAACAAATAAAAGAGCAAATTATAAAATATTTGCTATTTTACTTATTTGAAACTTAATAAGACAAAACCTTGGATTTTAAATAGGATATTCAAATTTTATGTATGAGTAAAACCTTCGTGGTGTTTTATTTTCTGGAATAGTAGTTTTGTATTTATTTTATAAAGTTTTGAACAATTTTCAGTTTTAAAAAATTATCACAACAATGCGAGCTGGATCACGATTGCTACGACAGCCTTCATATATTTTTCAGAAACTTAACTTTTTCTCACTTTGGAATTTTTGATAAATTAGTAAACATAGAGATGTAGGCGACATTAAGGCAGAACCATTGGAAATATATTTTGTCTATCAGGTGGTGGAATTACTCAAAATAAAAGGATACATTATTATTATTATTGTTATCATTATTTTATTTGATTTTTAGGATCTGTTGGAAGTCGACATTGATCAAATCATACCATTCCTGCCAATAACTTTGAATCGGTTATTCACATTGTTGACATATTCGTTTACCGATGATATGGCTCTGAGCACTTTGGGGTTTGTCTTTCAAATATTTTAGGTTTAAAAATAACTAAAAAAAGGTTATTTGAGGGCTCATATACTTTTTATTATGTTTTTTGGTCTAAAAAGTGAGCAATAGCCTTACTTTGCAATTTCGACCATTTTCTCAATAGTTGAAATATAAATCAAGAATAATGTAATTTTTTTTTAAAAAATAATTTTCAGGAAATATTGAAACAAAAAGAAATTTTAAATATAAGTGATTCTTTCAAGAACTTTATTTTTTTTGTATAGACAGTCATCAGAGTTCACGAGCTTATATTGATTTTGTTTGCACATAATTTCTTAATTGCTGTTTATAGTACGCTGATTGGTATTACTGATAAAATTGCCGCGGCAGGTCAAAATCATCTTTTGCGTACATTTGTTATTTATTATTTTCAATCAGCAGCAGTAAGAAGCAAATCAAGCTCTGACGATGAAACTGTGCATTCAGCCTTGTGCAAGCATATTACTTCACATGTAAATTATAATATTTTTAAACTTTATTTTGCTTTATTCAAATCAAATCAACTGTTATTTTTGTTTAACTTATTTAAGTAGATCTTTGCCTTATTTATAGATTGTTTGTACGGTAAACGTTACTGGAAATTTTCGATTTTTTCTTAAGAAGCTTTTAAAAGATGCGTTATTTTAGATCAGCTATATTGAGACAGATAATGGTTCACTTGCCTTAGTATTTCGGCAGCTTTGGTTCCTTTTGGTCGTTGTTGCAAAGAGTATGGTATTATGGTTGCTTGATATCGGTTTGTATAAGGTTTGATTCTTTTAGCAAGCATAAATATGTTAGTTTGGGTAGAAAAAGGACCTCCGCATTTTATAATTTTTATTAAAAATATTTATTTAAGGTACCAAGAGAAAATCGTTTTTCACGAGAATTGCTGTTTAGAATTGAACAGTTAATTGATAAGGTTGTTCTGCTTATTACAGCAAAACATCGAGAAATTCCTCAGGAGTGTCAACTGGCAAATTCAGCTGTAGCTTATTTCTTAAGGGTAAGAAATTAGCAGATATTGAAATAACGAATCTTTTTGGAATTATAGAAGTCATTGAAAAATGTTATTATGTTGAGATTTTAAGTTTGTTAACATGCTAAAACATTTCAGTACTGTTTGAGTTTTCTGAATCGGGGGTCAGTATTTTCTTGGATACATCGCACCATTGAAAGTATGGATGAAAGTTGCTCAAGGGTATGTCTATTTTTCAGATCAGTTAAGCAGTTTTCCAGTTTAGACACATGATGCGATATGAGCAAATATGTATGTGAGTTCGTGTTTTATTGTATGCTAACGCTATTTTCAGACTATGCTTGATTATAAACTGGAATTTCTGCAAATAATTAGCGGTCATGAACACTGGATACCACTATGCTTACCGCTGATATGCGACGTTTCCGGAAATATTTTTAAGAGAAACAGTTCTTTAAGTACAGATAGCATATGTAAGTGTCTTCCTGTCATATTAAAGTAATTGTTTAATGGTTATAATTCACTATACCTATAATTAATATCATTTTATTGTGTTCCGACACATTCAGAAGTAGATTTGTATTGCTTATCAAAAAACTCTTCAAACTAATTAGAGGAAAGGGGGCACCTTTTTTATAGTTACCTTGTTTACAGTCACGAATTCTAATACCGGCAGTCTGTTTACCAATTTATTTACGAAATTTTTTTCATCTCCGATAAACAGTGGAAGTGGAAATGATTACTTTTGCTGTAAGTTTGTGTTTCAAAAAATTTATTTGCTGTGCTAAGGAGTAACTTAAATGAGATATTTGGTATTTGGTTTGGCATTAAATGAAGTACATTTCTCTACCTAACATTATAAGGTAGGCAATTATACTTTATTTAAATGCATAGGTTGAAAAATTTCTACATGATCTTGCTAGAAAATGGCTCGATTTCTTTTTTCTTTTTTGCTCTTATATATATTTTTTGCTTTTATATATTATGGTTCATAATTTATGAGAATTCGAGCTTAAACTCTTAAATTCATCAAAATGTTCATTATTATGCCTCAAATGTAGGTTATTGTATTCATATTATACTTACACATGGAAGCTTGAAAATTTTTCAGTTCTTTTATTCTTGTTGAACTAATTGAAAATTTTCAATTTTTTGCAGATAGTCGATGTTCGGAGGAATTCATCATGTCCACTTCATATTGCAGACACCACTTTCCAGTTGGTTTATTGTATCAGGAACTAGACGCATCACTTCGTGAACCGCGTGATTATCGGCGAAGAGTGATTGCACTATTGAGGAACTTATTTGCAAAACATGCTAGTGATAAACGTTATATGGATACTGTAAGTAAATTCCTATGTCTGTTTTTAGTTTAAAAGTTTGCTTTAATTATTACACACAGTTTAAATTAGTTTTTTTTCTTCATTACATTACGCAGAAGGAGGAAGGGGTTTGAAATTAGTCATTATTTTTACCATCGCATTTAAAATTATCATTAATTCTCACTGAATAGTGAATCGGCCTGAAATATATGCGAAGTATTGGTTCATAACAGTCGATAGAGATGATTAAAATTCTGAATTCTTTTTTAAGAAATTTTTTAATAGCCGGGCGAGGTTGGATAGTGCACTAAACAGCAATATATTTTTTCAGAGTGCTCAAAGTTCTATTGCTACACTGTATTCTCCCTTGATCGGTTTAGTGCTTGATAATGCGGCAGAATTTGAATCATCTGCTAAATCGGATCCACAAAGCCTGTCACCTACCTGTCTTAGTACTACTGGTAGGTCTTGAAAATAAATGTTTAATAAAAATAGAATAATTTCATTCTCGTTATCTCAAATAGAATAAATTCTCTTTTAGAAATATTGCTTTGACTTTCCATGGGTTACTTTTTTTCATTTACAGCTACTGTTCGCTTTGTCTTGACATGCATATATAGTTTATTATTATTATTATTTTATTTCTAAGCTTTGTGGACAGACATTAATACCGTTGATGAATTTGAGAAAGATATAATATTTGTGAAAAATAAAAAAAAAAAAAAAAAACTGTTTTTAGCATTTCTGTACATCACTCTACTCGGTTTTCATTTTTAGGTCGGTCGTTATCCTTACCATCACATGGACTGCTATCTAAAGTGGGGTGTTCCCTGAAAAGTGTTTCTTCGCATCAATCTTATGCAGAAAAACTCAGTCCTCCTTCATCTGTACCTTGTATCGCTGGTTTAATGGAAAAGTTGGATCGAGTGTGTTTCCTTTTGTTTATCTTGCATATTATAATGCTTACATTTCAAATATTTTTGATCTAGATTTTTTAAATTTTGTTAAAAAATAGTTTCTTATTTTAATTTCTTAAAAAGTAGTTTTAATAAAATAAACGGTCTACCGTAGTTTTTTTTTTCCTTTTTTGGTGGAATATCTAGACGTAAATAAATGTTTATGCATATGACATATATATTGATTGCCTATATAAATATATTAAATACCTAATTAGTTGTTTTCGGTATTTCTATTTTATTTTATCAGTTTTTTCTTTTCATTGAAATAATGATTATCCGAAAGACAATTTTTAATGGATTGACTTTTTTTCACAACTTTCTAGAGTGAATCAAGAGATTTGATGTTGTGCACTCTTTATTTATTACATTTCCTACCACGTAAAATATTGGCTGCAATGATAACTCGTTATGAATCGAATGGTTCGTTGAATAGTTTCATCTGTTTATTGCGTACTGTTCTCGACTTGTTCAGATATCACGGCAAAAATTACACTATGCAACGGACATCCAATAAGTAAGTCTTTTTATGCTTTTGTCAAAAATCAAAAATTAAAATTTTTATTAGCTCATTAATATTTTGCTCAATCATTTATTGATCTTAAACGCTGCAGAATACGAGGCACACGAAAGACAATAGTAATTCTACCGCATTCCGGCTCATCCGCTGGAACATTGGGAACTAATTCGACAACACTAGATAGTCACACATCAATATCGGGTGATTTCAGTTCTCTCGGAATAGGTCCTCATTTTAATTTAGTTTCATTTTGCTTTTTTATGAATATAGCTCAGGACTGCTATTGACATTCAATTTTCCAAAATCAAAGGGCGTTTTCAAATATGTCCATTCAGTCAACTGCATTATGTATATATAATTGAATTTATTAGGATAAACAAGATTAGGAATTTCGACATTTTCATTTGTTTCAGATCCACTCTCAGCAAAACCATGCATTGAAACTGATGTAGGGGGCGCAACTCCATTTAGCGTACTGCAGGAATCAAATCTGACTCAAGAAATAGCTTTGATTGTTTTAGAAACTGTACAAGTTTTGGCCCAGCATATTTCGGCAAGTTTTTTTTGAATATTTGGTCGTTATTATCGAAATAATTTTGTATGCATGATTTTTGAAAAAGGAACTTCCATGCTGATTATAATTTATATAAAAAGAATTGATTATAAGAAAATATGTTCTGCAGACAAAGTGTAAGTGAAAATAAAAATAACATCTTCATAGCACTTACATAGAGATTGTCTTAATTTTTATCTTTCTTCACAACAAATTGAGAGAAACAATATCTGAATAACTTTTCCCACATTATTGTTTGACACTTGTTTAAGAGCGTTATTAAAAATTCGACAAATCCCGAGGGAAGTAAAAATTTTTACCAACTGCTTCGTCTGTTGCTGTCACTGTTGGACGATTACTGGCCAGAAGCTGTACGACATCACACCCTTGGTGCGCTTGCTGTCTTTGTTGGTTTGGTAAGTTTTCAACTTCGTATTTTGACTGATGTCGTGGTCAGCGGAATTTCTTCATTAAAAAATTAATGTATTTTTCAAGAAGCGATGCATTAAAGTGAATTTTTAAAAGTCAAGTTCAAAATAAAAAAGAAGTAAATTTCGTAGTTGCAGTTTCGCATCCAACTTTTCCAAAGTGGTCCTCTGGACGGCTTGGCGCTATTGATCGAATCACTTTTACTGCAGATGAACAGTCGACTTCCGAAAATTCAAAGTGCTGCTACTGCACTTTTACATCTCATTCTTAAAAATGGTTACGACTTCACCTCGAAGACAGGTTCTTTCCATACACATTATCGAAAATCTATCTCGAAGATACAGTGAACCTTGCTGAAAGCTTAATGAGTACCAAAACAATTTATTTTTAAATCTGTTTGAGATTTTGCAATATACCTTACCTCCTCTCCTATGGCTGTCAATAGTGTCTATTTTTATTAAATCGTCATTATCAGTGGTGTGTCTCGAGCGCATAATAGCAATTTCTTTCAACTCTTGAGCAAAAATTAACGCAGTAATTTTCTTTTCATATTACAGTGCGCTTTCCTATGGCTAATTTAAATGCAACAAAATCCCCGAAAATATTCGATGTGCAGCGACTTGGTCGACCTGGTTCTCAGACTGGCGTCGCATTAGCTAAGTTGGTATCAAATTATCTATTAGAAACGTTAATGATAAAAATATATTTATTTCTTATCATCTTTCTGAAATATTAAGCATATGAAATTGTCGATATGTTTTGAAGTATTAAAAACATTTGGGAGGAAGAGCAGGAATCATGGCAACTGTAAGGGCTCCAACACTTTAGCTAATTTTTGTCATTTCATTTACGCGCAGTCATGATTCAATCAGTGCTTCTGATTCAGATTTGAGATGTGTTCGAATGTTTATAAGTTAGATTTTCACTAAACATAATGAATAACTTTATTTCTATTCCAGACTACTTGGGAGGAAAGTTCCTCTTACCAATAAAAGCCGTTTCGAACACGGGCTGGAAATTTTGGAAATGTTAGTGAAACCTCAGTCTGGAACCAGACCAACATATTTTGAGCGAGGAGTGGAAGTATGTGTTTTTCATTGACTTTATTTTTGAATTTAGAGCTTTATTGAAATGAAATCAAAAAACTGTAAGGATGTGTCAAGTTTTTTATCAGTTTTGTTCCGACATAAAACTTAAACTTCGTTTTTCTCAGATTTTCATTGTATAGCTTAGTACTTTTTAACAGCAATTCTAAATTGTGTTCAAAAAGAAATCGAAAAAGATCTCATTTTTTATTTTCGCCCATTTATCATTTTAAAAAATTTGAAAAATTAAGGCCTTTTTTATTTCTAATTACTAATTCCACTGCAATACAACGCTAATTTCACTGTTTCCTTAAATATTTTTTGTTTCTTTTAGGAATTAATTCAACAATTGCGAGGTGTCCTTTCGGCGACTGATGCTCTTGCGAAAGCTGTTGACGACCCCGTATTTTTTATGCAGTTTGTTTACTTTGAAAGTAGTTGTTAATTGCGTTTTTAAAACCCATAAAAACAGCTTTCTAATTTGTCTTCATAAGAAATATTGGTATGACATTTATTTTGACCTTCTAAATAAATCAAGTACCATGCTGCATCCAAACCATTCAGTTGGAAATCTTTCACTGTTGATTTTTTTATAGATTCGGTTGGCAGATTTACATGTACAGCTCGCTGATAGCTATCGAGGATCGGCAGCGTTAAGAAGTGCTTGGTTTGAGACACTTGCTGAAACACACATTCGTGAGCGTTGGTTTTCTGAAGCAGCTGTTTGTGAAGCTCATGTCATTGCTATCATTGGTCGGGAGCTTGCTATCAATGGTTTGTATTCAGTTGAAATCCCTGTTTAAATAATATAAATAATATGTACAAAAGTTATTCATTTTTGAGATAGTGAAATTTGTGGCAATCGACTGAAATTGTCTGAATTACCGAACAGTGAATTATCCTTCCATTTCCTGATTAATAAGCATTTAGTTGAAATCTTCTATTTAAATATAATTGTTCTTTATTTATTCTTGGTAATTATGAATTTTTTTAAAGAGATGGATGATCACCAATTGTCATACGCATGTGATTTACATGACGGTATATTATTTAAAAGTCCAAAATTTTGATTTCCATATTGTGTCTAGGTATTTATTTTAAAAACTGAGTGCATATATTCATTTCGTACATTTATAAAAGCAGGATGTGCGAAAATTGACTGGGATTTGCTGGCTTGTATCAATGATACGATAGCTAAGGAAGAAATTGTAAATGATACAGATTCAGAAATTATACAGCAAGCAGGATTCAGTTTGGTAAGCTCATAGAATATGTGAATAATTTGGTTGAAAGCAAACTCGGGAATCTTGACTCCTGATTTTTAGGACACTTTCACCACAAAAGTAGAAAAATTAGTTCAAACGTTAATCATGGCTGAACGATATGAAGCAGTGGGACCGGTTTGTCGTTTAGCAATTCCAATATATGAACAACAAAAAAATTACCGAGTAAGTTCTTTTCCTGTGCAGAAAAGTTTCAATTTAACTTTGGTTAAGAATATTCCATTTTTCTGGAAATCAAAAATTCCTTTCTATTAGGCTTTGGTTGGTATATATGCCGAATTGCAACAAACATTTGCCTTAGCTGATCAAATGAAAGTCAGTGGCAAACGACATCTTGGAACGTATTTTAAAGTACTTTTCTATGGACCTAAACATTTTGGGTACGACCTTAATGCATTTGTTACTTAAAATCATTTCTACTTCAAAGTCTTTACTTTCAGTAACCAATAAAACCACAACTTCAGTAAAGCTGCAGCTTCAAATTTGAGAAATACGAGTGAAATAAGCTCAGTCTCCTCTCTTTCGTCATCTTTTTCAACTTTACATGCTACTTAGTCGAGCTGTGAATTGTTTCTAAAATCAGCATGAGAATTATTTGATTTGAATTTTATATATTTAATTGGTTGATCCTAGTTTTAGGGTGCAACACGCTACTGAGTGGGTTTATCGTGAAGTAGGTCATACCTCGTTGGCAGAAGCCTGTGAGCGTATGACGGATGCATGCCGTTGTATTCTTGGCCATAATCGAGTACAAATTATTGCAGGAAGAGAAGTGCAAATTTTTCTTTTTTCTTCCAAATATTTTGTTGAGCTTTTTGATCCTTTTTCATATTTCATCCTACATTTTAAGTGATATAAATTTGAGATTATACTATTCGTATAATTCTTAATTATATTTTTGTTTTCAACTTTTTGAGAGTTGTCTATTTTGCAATTTACTTGAATTGAAAAATGGCGTAATTCGCACTATAAATTTCCTTCTACATTTTCGCATCTGTGTTGTTTTTTTTTAAAGCATCAAACAGATTTCTATTGCTCTAGATTGAAATAGAATAAACGCTTAACAGAAGGATCATTTTAAAAAGAAATAAATTGAATAAATAATTCCTTAAAAATTGATGAAACCAAATTGGATTCAATTTAATTTCTTAAAGATTGATGAAACCAAATTGGATGAATCGATAGCTTATGTACAAATGATGCATGTTGAACCGTGCATGAATGGTTATGACGTTAGCAGCTATGAAGCTCATACAAACATGCGAGATTTCTTTTATGAAGTATCGATGATTGATGAAAAAGTGGCAGCCAATGCACCCCAAGTCGCTCGACAAGCACTTAAACGTATTTTTATTACGGGTGAAAGTTTGTTTATTTCTCTAACAACTGGGAAAATTAAAATTTTCAATTTCACTCACTTTTCATCCATTTTGTTAGGTCTTAGCAATGGGGATAGAAGGAGTGAATTATTTTTTCCATTGTTCTGTTTTTTCCTTTTTCAAATTAAGAACTGGAAGATTTCAGTAGAAGATAGCTTCCCGAATACACGACGCCGTTCACGCGTCGTGAATCAGTCTGAAACATCGTTATCACCGTTAGAATTAGCATGTGATAAATTGATTTTCAAATCAAAACAATTGCGACGAATATTAGACGCAGCTTCAGCCACTGGTGAGCCAAAAAGACGTCTGGATGTCAAAGGATTGCAATTGTTGTTGCAGGGCGCTGTGCAACCTACTGTTAGCATTGGTTCATTCTTTTACTTCACATTAAAAGATGAGTTTTTCATATCTTCAGCAGTTGAAAATTTTTTACTATTTTTATGAAATGGAGTTTTGTCAGCCTCACTGTTTAGTTTAAAATTTTTTGAAAATTTTTGTGCTTTAAGATACGAGCCTGTTTGCAGGTGAATGTTGGTCCTCTTGCCTATGCAGAAGCATTTACTACACCAACGCAGAAAATTCTTTATGGCCGAAGTGGTATTGAAAAATTGGCTGATGCGTTCAGGTAGTGTTTTAATGTATATGAGGTCAAGGCTCTTGAAAGTTTCCTTTGTATCCATCCCACGACTATAGTAGGATATATGAAAAGAGTTTCATAATCAAAATTTCAATTCATTCGAATTAAGCAGCTGAAAACCCAAATTTCAAATGCATTTCGTGGAACCAGGTTTGTTCCTTTTTTTTGCAGATCTCTTGTATCGGTTTGTGCAGAAGCTTTAGAAGCAAATGAAGCGGCCATTGGTGAAGATCAAGTTGAATACCATAACATGCTGAAGAATGCATTTGCAGCAATGATGGAAAGGCTAAACGGCTATTTTGGTGACATCGTATGTTTTTTGCAAATTTATCTTTGGAATCTAGTAAGCTCAAAGAATCACTCTGAATGTATGATAAACAGTTCAGAATTTCCATATATAGTGATTTTATTTTAACTTACTCGTAATTCTTGTAAGCTTTAACAAAACAATTTTGCAGGTTTCCTTAGACGGTGATAAAGTTGACAAGCCATCTACATCATCTCCAGATGAAATCAGTTCGAGGAACTCCATGCACATTCTGGACTCCATCGGCGGAATTAGCAGTTGAAGCTTATCAAATTCAGACTGAGAGTTGTGCGAAATGTTCTTTTTCTTTTTTTTCTGTACCGTCTATCAACTAGTAGTTATCGCTAAATTTAGACTTGTCTCACAGATCTCATTTTCGTGCATACTTCATATCTCAAGATTTTTTTCTTAAAAAAAAAATCCTGATAATTTAAACGATTCGTGTGAGATTTGTAAAATTTCTCAGATCACTTGTTTATCTATTTATCAATGTCCATATGTATATGTCTGTTGTTTCTTTGGGTACAGTGTAAATTATTTTTCCCATTTTTTTGTGAACGAACCTCAAGATGGCATCTGCAAGTTGTTTCTTACGTGCAAGTCTGCGAAGTCCACCTTCCTTTTTGTGATTTTGTTGGTTTCGAAATTGTTTCATTAATCATGTTTAACATTAGTATCAGATTTCTCTCGAACTTCCATTTTTCCTTTTATTGAATAGATTAACAAGTTGTTCACTGCTTCTGCTCTGCATTTGGTTTCAATTTCCATTAAGCTGCATTCAAGTTAACATCAACATAGCTTTTTTTTTTTTTTTTTGAACTGCAAGAAATGCATTTTACATGATATTTAATGTATTTGTAAAGGCTTTTTCCTCCCCTCTTGCCTTTGAGATTGTTCAAACTATTTAAATTTTCAGTTTTTTCTTTAGACCTTTTACTCATGCCTGTCCAGTTTTCGTCCAGGTAATGCTAACCAGGTTGCCAGTAATGTCAGTGATCTAATTATAAAAAACAGTGGTAAAATAAGGTTTTCTCAGAAAACCTTATTTTACCACAAATATAAGAATTTAAAGCACGCTTTAAATTCTTATATTTCTTACACAGCGGTAATAACCGAAAGAAATGCTTAAGCTTAGTATTTTAACTTACGGTCCTCATACTTAATGGTATATTAAATAACTAATTGGGTAGAGACACAACTATTTTTTCTTTTAAATAAATCTTTGGAATTTCAATATCATTTAATTAGATGCAATTGTAATATTGAAACGAAGCGTAATCTTTAATGTTTAATAATACAGCCTTAGAACTCTTTCTGCTTATGTCTGATTGTGATAGGAACAAGTATTCATCATAGGAACCAAGTCTAAAAATAGAAGACATCTTGTGGTTAAATACACAATCTACAATTTCTATTTCAAAAGGATACAAAGCCATACTTTTTTAAGCCGAAAACGGTAAGCATTTGTTTCGCCCATTTTCTGATAAAAATTTTCAATAGATCTCATTCCCAATCTCCAGCCTATAGAATTTCAGCATTGTTGGAAACATAGATGAGGAAATCTAAAACCCGGGCCGCATTGATGGGGCTGAACTCATCGTATTTAATATTTCCCTAATGTTAGCTAGCGAAGATTCCAGACTAAAAAGGCCGATCTACGAAAAATCCGGTTGTTAAAGACTTGCTCCGGTGTTAGAAGTGTACTGAACATCTGGGAAATGATAGTAGCACAATATGATGTCGAGAAGTCTGTATTGAAAGCCTTTTTAAAAGGATTTAGAGATTTAAACTGGTTTTCCTCGTTTATAAAAATTTCCGATCAATTCAGCTTGGATGCGCTGAATAGTCCTTTAACTAAGGCTGCATGAATTTTTCTTATTTTTTGCTTCAGTTTGCTCTCCCAGACAAGAAAATATAAACAGATTGGCATTTTATGTAGAACTGAACCGCTAGTTTGAATGAAAAATCTACTGATGTAAAAGGCATTCCATAATAATATATTGCAATATCATACTTCACTAAGTTAACAGATGCCAAGTCCTACAAACACTCCAGCTAATAAATACCAGTTTGACTAACACTGTACTCAATATTGTGAGTAAACCAATTATAGACATGTAACTGATGCACTTGACAGCGAAAAAGAAATTCGTGCAGTTTTATGAATCACAATAATATGAATCAACATAACGAAATATATCTACTAATTTCATAGTACCATTTTTCCACTGTCTATGATGAAATAAAAATAAAAATTTTTGTTCATCCGAACGTTTCTCATAGTATGAACGAAAAATGGAATGATTTGCAGAAATGACAACAAATAGAAGATTGCTTACGAATTAACATGTTTTTTACTGTTTGTAATTGTAAAAAAGGTTCATTCTGCACGTAACTGATACATAATAAAAGAAACATAAATACCCGCAAAGCATAAGAGGAAGAAAAGGTATTTAGCTCAACAAAAGCAAAAGATCTATCATTGCTCTATTTCACCTTATTCCACCAGTTTTGCAGTACTTCCGCCAGTTGATCACCTCTGTATGCATACGTAAATATCGTTTCAACTACTGATGAAATAAATAACAAACTCTCGCCTGTAAATAATACTTTCACAAAATGCAAATCGTTTGTTGAATAGTGGTAACTTCAAAAACTCTCTTCATATGGTCTTGTTAACAATAGTGACACTGTGTAACTCTAAGTTTCCAGTCCTACACCACAGAATTTTGGAATAATTCATGCGGGATGAATTCTTACTAATAGGTTTCCATCTCAAAAACCCAATCGAAACATCACTTTTCAAACTTTAAGTAAATTATCATTTACTTCAAGAAACACATATAACCAGTGCTTACCAACAACAAACATCAATAAATCAGCAATCATCAAACCAAATATCCTCAGTAAAAGCCACATATTCTTCAGAACATTACTTACAGCATCCGCAGCATACGCATTGTAAAAAGTCATGAAACTGTCGTACTATAAGAAAGTAGCATTTGAAAATATTCGAAACACTTAAGTTTTCAATAAAATGGATAAAACTCATTTTTTGGGAAAACTTCCGAAAGTTGCACTGCAGGAAGAGTTCTTAGCAGGATTTATTATGAAATAAATCTTTTTATATTATGAATCTTCGAATTCTTGTTCGGCTTACCGAACATGCAGTTTTTTCTATTGCTTTCTGAGAAATATCAGAAAGTTAAGTGCTAAATAGGATAAACAATTATTCCTACAAGATTTTGTACCAAAACAGGTATAGATGCAACCGTACTCAAAACATTCGGTAAACTATCTTATGCTTAACGGAAATCTACCCTTCATGACAGCGTCATGGCTTTCCTGAGCATATAAATAAAATATCTGAAAAATATTAGAAGGAATTATATGAATTAATTCAGGTTACCAAAATTTCGAAAAAAAAAAACATTTGAATGGGAACATGCCTTGTATACTGCGTAGCCTTGCACCAATAATCCCACTGAGACCAATTTCATATAAAGTACAAAATAAGAATCTTTAACAAAAGCTACTAAATCAGCCTTTTGTTCGAATTCCTGCCAAGCTACACCAGCAGCATCAATATAGTATTTCAACAACGATGTGATTGAAAGGAAGAAATTACCAGAAATCGTTAGTGGAAACTGGAAACCGATTAAGCTTAAAGTTCTACAACGCCAAATAATTTTTTTTTAATTTCCCTACATCATGTAAATAATAAATGTCTTCCAGTTTTGGTAATTTAATAAAATTAAATAATTTTAGGGAAGTTAGAAACACAGATAAGGTAAAAATGACAAATTTGCACAGTTAAATTTATATTTAAGAAAGCATAAAATTTAAACCAACTGAATGTTCTGTTAGTAGTGTTTGTAGATCTTCGCAGAACGGTCTTGATAACAAGGACCAGCTCTGTGGTTCACTAAAACAATTGGTCACTACCATAACAACAGCAAATACAGACACAGCTAATGTGAAGAGGAATGAAACAGTTAAAATTCTCCACCAAAACGACATCACTGAAATAGAAAATGTTTACCGCACTAATTTATATCTAACCCTTACTACTTCCAAATAAATTCCATGAATTTAATAGCACCATTTTATCCAACACTCAATCAACAAATTATTTCTCATTAGCAATTTCACGATAGAAAGTTATGCATTTTGATTGTTGTGTTAGCTCGTATTAGTTATGAAGTAAACAGTATTGCAATCACAGCTAACAAAATGCGACATTAAATCACACCTTTAACCAGCAAATACTTCAGCTTCTGTCATAATTTTAAACGAGAGAAGTCTACAACAAGCAAACTGCAAAGAAAAGAACTTGTCGGTTTGCATATAATTGGAAAAGAAAAAGGACTGGCCATTACTCGAGTTGCGTTTTTCGTTTCTTTTTGTTTCATAAGATACTTTTTCGTCCTTCTTTGGTATCGTCTGAGGTACTAGAATTAAGCACATGTTAGAAATGGGGACTATTGTTTAATGAGAAATGAATATTTATATTCTGACACATAATGATGCAATTAGCTAGGTTTTTCTTTGAAACTTTCAAAGACCGATAGAATCGGTAGAATGTTCAACAGACAAGTCATTATAAAAAGCAAAATTTCATAAAATAAGAATACGAATATTATATTCAAAATGTAATGTGATGATTTGAATATACAGTGAAATTACCACTTTGCTGTGCATGTACCATAATTGGTTCCAAATGTTCAATGACCAGATCTCGGTGCTTGTTTTTCTTTTTTTTTGTTTTTTCTTTTTGAACAGTTAACACATGATTGCCTACATCGCTGTCTTCGAATTCTAAAAGAAATTAAATCAGACACCGTTTTTCAATTTCAATTACGATAACTTACTTTAATTTCAAAGATTTTATTCCTTTTAGTCATCGATTCTCATAGCAATATGACTACCAAAAAATTTTTGCACTCTGAAAAACCGCAATACGCTACATTACTTCTCATCAACATAATCTTAAAACGATTCAATTATAAATCATTTCAAAACTGTAGACCTAATTTATACATCCATATCAGTAATAACAATGCTAATATTTAAAGAACAGAAACATAAATACGTCTTTTGGAAGATTTCTGTTTTTCAAGAAGTCGTTGTTGTTTGACGGACCGATCACGCATGAGTCGTACAACATTCAAAGCAGCCGTTTTGCAACCTTTTTCATTCAAACACTCGCCCGCTGCTTGTGAAAGTTCTAATTCCAAAGGATTGCCTTTCAGATCTAACCATTTTAGTGAAGCCAGTTCACCGAAAGATAAAGGGAGTTCCTGAAATACTATAGATTGTTTTGCCAATATGAATGACCTCAATTCTTCTTTTATTTATACTTGGAATTATGGAATGCAAACTAAACAAATGTCTAATGTAAACTTTTAAAGCAAAGCTATCATTGAAATTCATAGCCTGTATCAAAAACAGTCAAATTTTTTTTGTTAAGAAAAAAGTTCGCAAAAAGTAAAAGACATATTGAATATTACTTAACCTCAACTTCGTTTTTATAAAGGTCAAGATGAACTAGGTTGATTAGTTTGCCAAATTCTTCTGGCAAATGGACGATATGGTTGTTGCTAAGATCTAACTTGGTAACATGCGTTAATAGGCAGAAATCTGATGGAATCGATGTTATTAAATTGTTCGAAAAGTCGAGATATGTAGCACGCGGAATTTTACTCTGTAATTATAGCGTATACCGTAAAGTATTGAGATAGAAAACAGTCAAATTCCATACACAGTCTGAAACATCGAAAAGTATTTCCTAATTCATTCGTAAAGGACGGTTTATGGGACAAAACAGTATCAAATGTTTAACTATAATAATGAACTTTTTATAAAACCAAAAGCTTACCAAACCTTTTACTGGGATGGATACCAGCTGACGCATACTTAAATCTATGTTATTATCATCCAAAAGTGCTTTCAAATCTTTGAAAGAAAGCTCTACACTCATTTCTTCCTGCAAATTAAAATAAGTTCGCAAAGGTCAAGAGATGAAGTTATTTCTCATAAAAAAATTTTTCTTACTGTCAGTAAAGAGTAAAGAGGTAAATATCAAAGTAAAAAAAAAACAGTAAAAAAAAAATGTGTGCCAGAAATCGTAAGTAGCAGTGAACAACTGGGAACTTATTTCATATATGCGTAAAGCACCTGCAAGTCTATTTATTTGACATAAACAAGAGTGAATTTAACAAGTATCCAGTGGTTAAGTATAACAAACTGACGTGTCTATTGATGAGGAATTTTGAAAATAAATATTCGTCGATAAAATACTCAATCCTAACACTTCTGCTTAACAATCCTCTATATCGATTAAATGAGAATGTCAAGAAAGGATATTATATAGCAATGAGAAGTGCGAAATGTTTGCATGAATTTCAAATTTTCTATTCTAAATTCTTTGGATAAAAAATAATAGACGAAATAATAATAGACGACGTAAATAATAGACGAAAAAAAAGAGAATGAGAAAAAATAGCATAAGATGAAATATAATTTGCTTAATCAAACAACACTTTAATATGATTTGAAATTTAATGTGGCTAAAATGCGATGGAAACGTATCTCTCTCTCTCTCTCTCTCTCTCTCTCATTTCTGTGTTATCTATTTAATACTAAAGGATTTGAGAAAGAGTAGTATGAGATGAAATACAATTATCTTAATCAAATAACAATTTAATATGATTTGAAATTTAAGTATTAGGCAATTAATGTGACAAGACTTTAAAATTTCCAATTCTTTAGAATTCTACACTTTCATTTCTAAATATTCCCACTTATCACTTTTTTTTTCTAATTTCATTTCGAATTGTAATTCATTACTGAGAATAGTGATTTAATTTTACGTGCTGTTGCAGTGATAACAGTAGAAGAGAGTATCTGTGTGATGAAGAGGATGAAAAAAAAATACATGACTGGAGAAAAAGAGGAAATGTCCAACACATCATATATCGACAAATGCGCCATCACTGAACGGAGAAGGGTGCAATGTGTATCTATAAACATCACCATGACAAGTGGAAATGACCAGCATGTATATATCGACAAATACGCTATTGTTGAATAGAGGAGAGTGTAACATATGTATGAACAAGGAATATAATAATATCCCTCTAATTCTGAAAAGTCAGAAGTTACGAAGTACTGGTAAAATGATAAGTAATGAAAAGAGAATATAACGTGAGTTCTTCGAACACGAAAATAATTGTTAAATAATTAAATTACAATGGCTAGACTGAAGAATATTCTAAAATTTAATGCATTAGTTGATAAATTACTGATAAGTAAGTCTATATCTTATGAGTATTGCTAACACATACATTTGGGGAATTCTTTATATGAATTGTTATGATGAATAAATCAAAAACATGTTTTAACATGACTACTTTTCCTAATCAATATCAATAATTTGAGTTCTTAACATCTCTGCAGGCGCTTTGTGATTAGTGACACATAACAACAGAAATGCGTGATAAGACATTTTTTTTTTTTCAGCGACCTTATATGACTAGCTTAACAGGAAGCAAATCCTTTCTGTGATTGATATTGACATATTCTGTTGTCAGTATAATTTACAGTTAAAAAAAAAATGATACAAGAGAGATGGAAGCGCTAAAGACGTTAAATAGATATGGCGAAAAACTATTTATGTGTTTTTTTGTTTAGTAATTTGCGTTGTACAATTATTACAATTGCTAAAAACGCTATGGTAAATAGATGGCGTCTTTGTCACAATTTCTCGACGACATTGTTGACGACATTTGCTTGCGAGATTACCATAAAGGTTAGACTGGAGTAAGCTAATAAATGATGGATTTGATAGAAGAAAAAGTGAATAAAATGAATACTGAGGGATTTTAGTAAGAGATCAATTAATTAATTGATTGATCTTGTTACTGAAAGATTTTCTGTTAGATTTTGTGTGTATTATACTATGTTTTTCCATTAAGTCGTTATTTTGCCAGCATAATCAATGGTTAATTAAGATGAAAAGATATGATACGGCATGTCATCAACAATACGACAAGACGAGTAAGAATGTGAAGAAAAATAATTAATTAACAGTTAACATTAATTATGTATTTATTGTTTAGTAACTTGCGTACAAGTATTACAATTGCTAAAATTGTATTCATACACTGTAACTTCTGTGATGATAGTTCTGTCAGAGTTATGGCAAGCATTAATACGGAACTTTATGACTTTTCAGTCATTTGTGAAATATTCCGTGGTGAAAAGTTTGTGGTTGATTAAATATTGCAGTATACCCATTATAATTTACTTCCAGCCATAATAATATTTCGAACTTAAAAAAAAAATGTGCTGATTCATTTTATGTAAAATATAATGTTAAATAACTTTCCCATTTCTGTACAGATTGATATTTGAATTTGAATTTATCAATTTTCTAAAATTTCGCTCAAAACATCATTGATCGAATTTATCTGCTCGTTCCGCAGGGTGCAATTGTTTCCTGTGTTTGATCTGGTGGAAAGATTGAATCGAAGAATTTCTCAAGCCAACCACATGAAAGACGTGACCAAGATAAAATATTCTGATTCCAGTTGCTTTCATCGATTCCTTGTGCTGTATTCAGTGCCCAGTCCGGTGGAAGCATTGCCAATATTTCTGTTTCTGATATCTCACAGGCAGTTGTTGTCCCTTAAAATTATTTGATAACTTTTTTTTACCAAACTTCAATTCAATTTTTTTGAAGTCATTTTCAATTCACATGTTAATAGATGAGATGTGATAGTTAACATTAAAAGCTATCGTATTCTATTAAGCGACATATTGTATCTTAGCAATCGGATGTTATTGATCAGAACAATTTTGTAACCCTACCGCTATCAATTTGATGAGCAGTAACTGTATCCGAATCATCAGTGAAAAGCGTCGGATGCTGTTCTGCTTGAATAGCAATCGCTAGACATGGAAGATCAAGAACTGTCTGGAAAACAAATTGCATCATTAAAAAGTTATATTATTTCATTAACACTTAATAGTTAGATAGATACAGATCTAAATCAGTTGATATTCTGCGATAAAAAATATATGTGTTTACCTATTTTGTATTTATAGTGATCGCTTAATTTAAAAAACAAAAGAGAAAATTAAAGTTAATTCAAAATTTAAGTAATGTAAAATAATAGAATAAAACTAGAATTTTTCCTGAGAATACTATTCGTTTTTTTCTTTGATTGCTAGGTTAAATATAAAAATTATGAACCGTATTAATCCACTAAGCGCTATCGAATCACTGATTAGCTAGGAAATAATGAGTTAATAATGCTTTTCAACATTCGAGCAAGTTTATTATCCGTCTTAAAATAATTTCTTAAGAACTAGCATAATACGATCGAAATGGAACTTTCATTTCTAGCGTTACCTCAAGAGGTGTGAAACCGGTACTTGTTTTGATTCTTAGTGTTTGTGCAAGTTGCTTACACGATTCTCCGATTTCTACTGGCGTTAAAAACCAGCGACGACACTCAGCCTCTGTTCTTCTATTCACCGGACGACAATAAATTTCTACTGATTGCTTCTGCTTCTGAAATGAGGTGAAATTATAAATTTGAAAAAAAAAGCAATCATTCTCTCTTGAAGCTTTTTTACATATTCATAAATCTTAATATCAAAAGAAATTGTGGGAGGAGCAATATTTTTTAAAATTCGGCAGTAATGTTGGACTTGATAAGACGGTTCGTCTTGCATCCTTGGCTAATACCATACAAACAAATTAGTAATAACAAAAAAAGAATTATTCACATTATAAAAATAATTTGCATTAGCGTATAACTGCATCAAACAGGTACGTAACTAACTAGTAATCCATAAAGTTACCAAATTTAACAACTTTTCTTAGGCAATAACTTAAACTTCCCTAGATAGTATTATATTGAAATTGATAAGATTTAAGCAGGAAAAACTTGAAGTAACATCGGTCATATTGAAATCAGAGATCTTCAAATGGTTTAAGTTAAAGGAAAAAATAGATGAATGTAGCAGAAGGACTAACAGTAGTGAAGAGATAAAAAGCAAGAAGTAAGCAATTGAAAAATCCAATTCCTTTTCAAGTGTAGAAGGAGATGGAATGATACTTACTGATGCTTTATGAGTACCATCAAAACGAAGCGAAACTGATTGGGTACGACCGGATCGAAGAAATCCCTGCGATGGTTCTATTACCAATGCCGCACTATTTGTTCTCAGCTGTAATGAGAGGAAATACTTATAACTAAAATTAGTAATTTCTAACAATTATTACGTTCCTCTTTTTCACTCATTTGTAGATATATGCGATCAAAAAGAAACCAAATAGATTGCGTATGTTTGTTTCAACAATTCTATTTTCATTGAAAAAAAAAAACTTTTCCACACTATACATGAACCACCTATCTTCGTCATGGATGTGAAAGCTGTGATCAATGAACAGCTAAATCTATTAAAATATTAGAAATAAAATATTAAAAATTCAAGTATGCCAACGGAAAATATTAATGGAAGTAATCAATTTCCCATATTACTGAAAAAAGATTCGATTCTTAATGTTACTGCTCTCATTATTCAAATGCTAAAATTTTCTCATGAATAGAAACAAGATTGCAAAAAACAAGATTTTTTCAATCTTAAAATAAAGCGATCAATTTAAATTCTTACAAAAAAAAGCAAATGTTCTACTGAATAATCAATCTTACAAAGAATAATCACTGTAATGCAAAATTATTTCGATGCTTTTTGTTTTGCTTATTTTTTTTAACGTCATCTTTCCATAGAATTTTTATAAAGTTTTGTTCTATTAAATTATGATTCAAAAAATTCTTCAACAATTATAAATTTTAATTTTTTATATTCAAATCATTAATTCCAAATGGACAGAATTTTTATTTTTGCAGAATGAGGAAAGTAATGATACAATGAATGATGATAGGCCAAAAGCTTGTATCGAATGGAAATTTAAAAGCAAAAATGCTCAGAAGCGCTTTGAACCGTTTAGATTATAAATATATTGTAAGAGATATTTCAGTGAAAATTTTGAACTTAAGAAATAGAAATCATTCTACTTTCTTTCCTTTTTTCAATTTGGCTAAATTTTTTCATTTCAAAATTGAAGCATTTAGTTAAATTTTAATTTCGCAATTAACATTTCTTTTAAACGAATAAAGAAAATGAAGAAATGAATTTTTTTTGTAAAATTTTGCTCACTTTTACAGCAAAATCTGTTTTTGTGTTGTTACGAAGCAGTAAACGTCGAATGACTAATTTGTTAATTGCCGGGAAGACAATTTCTCCCGGGTGAGACATCTTCTAAAACATTTCGTCATTGTGGAATCTTGTACAACTTTACTTTTTTAACAGTTTCCACTTAAACATATTTCATTATTAAATCCATTTAATTCATTAGTAACTTTTTTTTTTTAACAAAATAGCTCTAACTTTCCAATATTTTCCAGATCATCAAAAATAAAAAGATTGGTTAAATTAAAGTAGTTATTTTTCAAAGTAATGTCACCTGACCACATGATTTTTGAAGTGATTCAAAGATTGATGAAATAAGCATACCTCACAAATAAAATTACAAAATATCAATGACCTATCCTAACTAATTGTGCATTTTTATACTGTTCTGAAATTACATTATTAGCTTTAGAAATATTCCAGAAGTTTAAGAGGTTTCATTTATATGACAGTTATGAAAATGTCACATTAATTTGTATTTTTGCTATAAAAATTCATTTTTGACCATCTCTGGACAATTTTCTTTCTTTTTTTTTTTTTGAAATAATGACAAAAGTAGGTAATTATTTACTAATTTAGTTTTATTTACTTCAACTAATGTTCAATTCTGAAAAGCTACAGTTGTAAATATACACTAAGTTGTAAATATATGAGAGTTATTCCTTGCCTATTGTCATCTATATTAAATCTAGAGATTTATGCAAAATTATTTAATAGTACTTAATTTGGATTTATAACAAAGAAATGGCATCTTTGATTTTCTTTATTGAGTATTACTATGGAATGCTTCCATTTCTCATTTCTTTTTAAAATGACTAATTGATTTGTTAAATGTTAACTTTCTTTCACAATGAAATAATTTATAGAGAAGACATGTAATATCTTGAAGAGGTACCGTTAAAAAAAACTGAAAAATTCATATAGATTTTGAAAAAATGCAACTTTTGAAACAATCATTATAGAACAATGATGAAAAAAGAAGAAAAAATAACATTCGCAGAACATCTCAGTATGTTATTCATAGAGTTAATTCCTCAATGCATTGTTTTACAGAAATAATATTAGTAAAAATAGTAGAATAGTTATGACTCAATAATGCTAATTATGTTTTGTGCACCTGCACTGGGCCATACGTGGTAAATAAGACATTGTCCGTCTGGCGGTGGCGCAATAGAATGTTGTTAGATGTTTGATCGGGAAACGTAGAAACCATCTTCAGAATGCTCTTTTCTTGTGTGGTGATAGCATGTCTGACGTGAAACTATTGGAATTGATTCTCACAAATAAGTGCCATTACACTTGAATTGAAGTTTTAATTCAGAATAAAACTTAGTTCTTATTTCTTTGATGCCATTTGCTATAATAAATTGATACGAATAACATTTATAATTGCACAACAAAATTGAAATAAAATTTAAAATATTTTGAACTTAACTTTCAGTGTCGATGGCCTCTTCATATCAGATTTTCCGGCACATGCACCAAAGTAACAAACTCTCAATAGCAATAATTAACGGTTAGTTTGTTCAAAAAAAGGAAAAAAAAATCAAAATTAAATGTTATTTGCTTGATCAAAAAAGGAAAGGCAACCCATTCTTCTGCATTTGTGCGAATTTCATGCAGATTACATTCAATAAATTAAAATGAGAACTTTAGAAGTGAATTGAAAGAAAATGTTAACTTACATATCACCTAATTTCTGTAATCGACAGTCTAAAAGTATAGCATGCATAATTGAGAAGAAAACATAAATTTGAAAATAAACCATAATGATTGCATTTAGCTACATGTTCGCAAAAGGTAAATTAAAGTAATGATGCATCGACGTGAAAGAAATGTAAACAGCAATGAATGCATAGGAGCGTCAAGATTTACCTTTTTTTTAAAAAATTTGATTTGGTCATTTTAAAATAGTTCAATCTATTCTAGAAAAAGAAACAAAGTTACGAGAAAAATAATGATGCTGAAATTCTTCTTAGTTTTTGATCTCAATTGATGATTGTTTATCGAATTAGAAAAAAGCAAGACTTTGCGGAAAACTTGAAGAAAATACGCAGATGTACCTCTCAGTTAATCTAGCCTATAGGCACAAATTAGCTAATGAAGTGTTGCGTTTGAAAAGAAAAATTTTGATGCTGGAATAGACATAAACTATACACTCGGCGATATGCTATTTATGATAACCACTTAATTCCAATTAATTATAATTGGTCGGTCATAACAGGTAAAATTTTCTCTCACGTTTTCTACTAGAATACTATGGTAATGGGTGAGATTTATGTCTGTCTGGTCTCAAACAGCTCACAAAGATTTTTTAGTAAACAAAGCCCTCTCACCAATGTCAGTTTCTTACACAGTATTCAGTCAAATTACCATAAATAACTCTGAATCAAAGTGCTCAATGAATCTGTTTCAAGAAAACTGGCTGATAAATAAGAGAAAATCAGTGTATATATATACTGGTGATTTTGGAGAAATTATGAGCATTTGGATTTTTCAGGTGATCTATGACTTAGATTTACTTTACAAAATTCATTACCACTAGCCACTCGAATCTAATGCTTGATATTTGATTACCACAACTGTTTCTTAAAATTGATATTGAAACCACTGAAATTGTTTTCTGACTTTATTCAATTTAAAAAAAAAAAAAAAAAAAAAGAACACAACACATCAATCATTGTATCATTGCTTTAAAATGCACTTTCACATCTTTTATATATATTAACTGATCTATAAACTGTTGATTCATCACTAAAGGCTTGAATAATCCGACAAGGAAAAGAATACAGCATTGAAACATAGTTTTTAATCTCTCAAAATACAATTTTATTAGAAAATCACGAATACCCACATTCCAGCACCATACCTGAAAACATCAACAAAGCTACTCATCTCAGTCTTCCAATAAAATTAAGAATATTTTATATTATAAATTATCTTCTAATTGTCTGACAAACCAATTCGTATCCTACCATCATCATAGAAGGAACATTATGTAAGAAACTAGAACATAATATCATTGTAAAAGGAATGAAATGATCTCTCGGATGGCTAAATAAAATAAACAAAAAGCAACTATTAGAATGTAACGGCAATAAAACATCGAATGTAGCGAATAAAAGCATTTAGAGCAAACATTTCAACCGGATTTAAAAATTTGAAAAAATCGACCATTAAGAGGAGATACAAACAATTTTAAAGATGAACAATTGATATGAAATTTCAATTGAATACATCAAATTTATATGCTGCTACGATGACTAAAGTCAGTTTCTACTTAACAACTAAAGATGTATGAAATCAAAATATTCATCAAAAATCAACAAGTTGCATAAAGTCTTTTATAAATTACAGGACTAGCAGTACGATACCATCCATACCGCTTCATAAGTAATTCTAATGAAACGATCCCATCAGGAAACGAAAAATAATATACAGACTCTACAAGAACAACACAAATAATAATAATATTATTACATCAACTGTATCTTATAAAGACGAAGATTTGAAGATGAATTCAGAAATGTGGTGTAAGGACATCAATTAAAGCACAATAATAACAGTGTAATAAAGCTACAAAATGTTATTTGGGAAAGTAATGAGTTGAAACTTGGCAAATAAAACTATCGGCAAAACAATTTTAGTTGTTTTTCGCTTCCGAAAAACCACTGTGTGTACAAAGTTTAATTTTCAAAGGTTCATCAAAAAAGAATTATATCGCACAGTGCTACAATAAAATGCAGAAGTATGAATCCAATTAAATGGTGCTATGAAACTAGAAAGATATATAAAGATATGATTCTCTATTAACAAGGTAAACATACGGAATTATCTGCATTACTGAACTCATTCTAAATATTTTTCATTTTTCTTGCACTAATTTTCGCCAAATAGCAGCAAAAACGATCATTTTTTGCTACGACTAAAAAAATTCTACTACTAGGAAAGCAAAAAACCAAAATAACCTATTTACAGTATACCAAAGCCATTTTCAGAAACGGCGTGAGTTGTTTGATTAGTACTATTAGTAGTAACACCGACGTTCTGCACTCTATCAGCGCAACTACTGGCAGATGATACTGAAACACTGGTGTTCAAACTACGCCAAGATGGAATGTGTATAATATCACTACCTCGGTATTTCTCCAATTCCTCTATTTTGCCAGTATCCTGAAAAATTATATTCCCATTCCAGAATATTACAAAGGATATTAAAAACAACTTTAAGTAACATGCAGCATTTCAAAACATAGTCTGTAATTCTTAGTCATGATTCAGTCCCTTATATTTTTTATTATTATGAAGAAACAAAATCGATGCTGCTTGCCTTCTGGAAAAAATATTACCTTCTCGAGACGCTGCGCAATCTTTACCAATTTCAATCGATCCAGGTAAGATGGCCGCATGTGTGTCTTGGATTTCTTCACTAACTTTACTGCACCATTCTCAAACGCACTAGCCCTTTTAATTGCGATCAAATGCGGGTTTTCCAAATTACAGCCTAGTTTCACAAGAAGCTTTTTCAACTTCTCAATTAAATTCTGAAAGTTTCTTTCCAACAAAATTCAATGGATTTTTGAAAAAAATAAACTTTTTCACAACGAATCGTCATTGCTCCTCCATTTCTTCAAGGAAACCTTCTCGCTTAAAATCAAAAGTAGTAGTTATATAGTATCATCAAATGTAAAGCATTCTCCATTTATATTCCAGAATACTTTTTTTTTTCGTCCATAAAAAACAGGCGAAAAACCAATCGCACAATATTACAAGTTAAACAAATAATAAACTTTACAGGGTTTTAATATCCATACGAACTGAAGACTTTATATAAATTTCATTTTGTAATATAAAGAATTAAATTTCTCACTTGCCGTAGTTGATTAGTTTCTTGCAGCCCTTCACAACGAATCTTCATAGCTCGAAGAAGCGCTTCCATATCTTCAAGGAAACCTTCCCGCTTATCATATTTCCTTTTTAAATATTCATTCCGTCTTCGCAACTCATCTACTTTGCTTTCGGCATGCTGCAATTCAGATGCTCTTACTGTACCTGAAAAACAAATATTAATGAAATCCAATCAATGGGATAATATCTTAGGTACATCAAATTTTAAGAAAAAAGCAACACTCCTTACATTCATTAGTATTTTCGACAAGGCGACACTCCAATTTGACAATATCAAGTTCCCGTTCGCTCAACAATTGTTTCACTTTCTCTTTTTCTCTATATAGTTCACGCAAACGTTCATTCATCTGGTCTTCAAATTTCTTGGCTTCTTGTAGCTCTCCTTTTATACACTCCAAATAGCAAGAAAGTAAGACTAACAGAAATCAATTTTTATAACTTCAGTTAAAGCAATCGTTTAATCTAAAGAATCATAAAATCAAATAAAATAAACTGAATACAAATTTCAAGAAATTATCGATGTGAACAATGCGTAGCCGCGGCAATGTTATCATATACTTTGTTCCATGTGTGAGGAAACAAATAAATATATTAAAAGTATCTTCATATTATTTGAAAATCAACCTTGATGACGTTAGCTGCTTGTGAATTCAGATCCGTCTTACGTTTTAACATTACTTCTATGTTGCCCAGAGCAACAGTGAGATCATCTTTTTGTTTGGTTAAATTGTCATTGTCTTCAAGAGTTCGCTTCAAATTTTCATATAATTCAGCAGATTTCTGACTTTCACATCTAAATCTTGCAGTGTTTTGTTTTTGCAAAAGCACTGTTTTTGTAATAATCCATAATGTTTTGTTTCATAATTCCTATTTAAAACAACTGCATTTGTCCAAAAATTAAAAATTTAGAAAAAGCCAAAGATTTGAGCAGTAAATGAAATATTATGTAATTGTATTACTTTATTTTGCGAACAATGTCGGTAGTGCATTTAAAAAAAAAAGAAAAAAGTTGCAAAGCTTCTCAACATGCTCAGCTGTACCGCACCTTGGGGATACAACCATAATAGATACCTGGACTGCAATTTTAAGCTTTCAATATTTGTTTCATATACTGAGCATTTATTCAGGACAGAGCGAAGCTCATCTCGAGCACTACGGAGATCAGAAGTCATCTGAAATTTATCTGATTCCTTTAAATACTCTTTGTATAGAATTCATAATTAGATGATACGAAATTTCTTTAAATTGAAGATGGAGAATATCATAAAGCAACATATTTTTAGATGACTCTGTATAAAGCTAAATTGCATCAAGATAATGCTAATGAGAACCAATTTCTCACAACAAATAAGGGAAATCTGACCTCCACACACAATTTTTCCAGTTTTTCACATTTAACTCTGTTGTCATCCGATGCAGACAGTGTTTTTCGCAGCGCTAAATCCAAATTCGCAAAAAAACGACTCACCTGAAATGAACTATTTTTGAATTTTATAGTTATAAAATGAAAAGACCTGCATCCTCATTGTAGTGGAATAGCAATAACGGAAAGCAGTATCGAGGCATCATATGACACATTTTTCGAAAGCTTTCAGCATAGCACTGCCGTTTATGGAAGAGTTAAAAAAAGGTACAAACTGCTTAAAAGATGTTTGAATTTATGTAAAATTTTTATGACTAACAACATGAAACTCTTTCAGCAAATTAACGCATCACCGTTTTGGGAGTGTGGTCACGCTAAAAGATCCCTGCAGTGAATAGTGGGATTATGAGGTAACATGCTAATGATTACAATTTCTTGAAATGCTATTTCTTGAAAGTAACGCACCGCTCCACTGATTTGTTGCACTGATTTATCACCTTCTTGTATATCAGCAAGAAGATGCTCTAATAATTGTTGTATGTTGGGACTAAGTTTGCCGTGAATCTGCAATGAATAGCAACTTGATTAACAAGGATATTTATAAATCAAAATTCTTTCAAAATATAACAAAAACATCAGATAAAATCCAAAAAGGTCTAATAACCTCCGCATTACGAATGGAATCGAGCATTAAAAGTAATATATCTTTTGTTTCACCACTTATTTCTTTCGGGTGCAGTGTATCGGTTACGCTTTCTGATGATGATTCAATGCTTGATCTAGCTTCACATAATGTTAAGCATGAGTCGCTTCCGCTCATTAACTCTGAATGTGATGATTCCGGAAGTGAAGTTAAGCCACAACAATCTGTTGATTTGTTCTCCATAACCTAAAAATAAATACACACAAGAATTTCTTAAATAGCTAACTTCCCAGAGAAAAAAAAAAAAAACGAATAAAAGTTAAACCCTGAAACATGAAAGTCTCAATGAAGTTTTTCTACCCATTTCACATTAAAATAATGCGAAATAAATGTTAAAAGTCTTATACCTTAGTAATAGTGGCATATTGCTTTACCGATGGATCTGACATCATTCGATAAACAAGCGCATTGAGATCTCCATATTTCTAAAGTATTGAACTATGGAAAACCAGTATTAACAAAGTATGAAATGAAGTATCAAATTTCTACAGAATTAGGTATTATTTCAGGACTAAATTTGGACTCAAGAACTAATCCCAAATCCTTACTTCTTTCAGTTCACATAACTGTGAACGTATGACATCAGGTAGCATGTCCCACACAGTAATATCTGTACGATTATTTGCATCGGCCAAACAAGAAGAAACAGCGCTGTTCTGTCCTATAAAAAGCAAAAAAAAGAAAAAAAAATCATTAATTCACAAAAGATCTGATATATACAATTGTCGCTTGGGACAAAAAGAGAAAAGAAATGATGAAAAAAAGGATACCAGGATATGATTCGTACAAAGCGATTCGTGCATGTAAACGTTCTAAACGTTCATCCTTCTCCTCGATTATTTTATTCAGCTGTGCAGTTTCTAACTGGTACTGAACTTCGGCTTGATTCTGAAAATTAATGTCAGTGAATGCTTAGAGGACTTGAAAGCTTCATTTCAAACAAATAAACTACTGATTGTGAAGAGAAGATATGCAGCAGTAATAATAGAACAAACCCGAAAAATATTATATTCTGAATTGACTTCATCCATTTTTGTCTTCAAACGTGAATTTTCATGCTTCAGGTCTGCTTTTTCTTCCATCAAATCTTCCTATATACAAATCGAATCAATAACAGCTTGCTTTAATTAAAATGCCAATATTAACGATCATTCACAAGATGAGATGGATGAGCAATGCTAGCAGGTGTTCTGTGAATGACATAGTAGTTATGTTTTTCCATTCGTCTTTATTTCTTCTTTTTCTTATTCTGGTATCACTCAACTTTTTCTTCTTCATTCAAAATATATTGGAATCAACCAATAAAGTTCTAGAATTATAGTTTGAAAAATTATTGAAGATTATTGAAGATGAGGACACAACTTCAATCGACACCAAACTGTTCATAATATCGATTGTTACCTGACCAGAAATGACACTTTAAGATATCGTACACTTCGAAAAGTTGAAATGTAAGTTCTAGGACACATGAAATTCTTTTTCAAAACTTTCATAATAAATTATGAAACGATAGTTCCAAGTTGAGTGAAATTCGCTAATATCCAATCAAAATTTACCATATGAAGTGTTTTTTTAAAAGTGGTCTTGGAAAAAAAAGCTTACTATCCGCTTCTGCTTCTTATCCATAAGAGTTCGAATGTTGTCGAGTTCCAATTCACGCTTCTCAAGCAATGATGCAAATTCATTGTTTTTCTGCTTTTCACTAGCAATTTGATCCTGTAAAAAATAAAATATTATTAGCTTATATATTTGCATGTTATTCTTTTTCTTCTTTTGTTATGATTAATAATTTATTATTTTACTAAATCAAAAATGAACAATTCAGAAATATTCCATAAATATACCTTTATGAAATGCTTACATTTCAATTCTCAAAAATTAAATCATTTTCGAGAAAAAAATTTATAAACATTTAAAAGTTATATGTTTTATGCATATTCATATATGCAATCATTTGCGGTAGTATTAACAGCATGAATAATGTAATGAAAATAAATCGTGATATAATTGTCAAAGTAATAAACATAATATGAATCAAAATTTACAATGCATCAAAAGACCAGATTTTTTAAAGCCTACAAAGCACAAATAAGAAGGTTAATAACTGACACTGCCTAAATATTTAATTATGCTTTATCGAATGTTTTATCTTGCTGGTTAAAACCAGCTGTGATGCACCGTATTAAATGCTAAAAACCAACCATTAACGTGCCATTTTCCACAACTGCTTCTTTCAGATGTTCACGATCAGACAGTTTTTTCTTTTCAAGAGCCCTATTTTCCTCAATTCCACTTTTCGTTTTTGTTTTTTCCTATAATTAATGTCTAATTTCATTGACGTTTTAGCAGTTTAACAAAATAATACATATTCAATCTGCCTATCTATATACCAGTAATTTTTTGAAAACTTTGACATTTTGAATGAATTATTTCTATCAGAAAATTATTTAAGAACTAGTTTAACGCAAACAGCAGAAGCAAAACATATTTAAAAGGAAACTAACACTTAATTGTGTCCTCAAATAAATAGTTTCATCGCGAAATCTTTTCAAATCATTGTTACTTTTAGTTATTTGTTCATTCAGTTCTTCGATCTGAAAAAGATGCAAAATTGGAAACAGCAATACTTATATCCATACGCTGATCAAGAATTTTCCTTTCTAACATTAGTAAAATAAAAACTGTTTCTCACCAAAAGTTTTCACTACTTAAAAGACTTATTATCATGATAGGTATGGCCCTATGCCGAAATATCAGTTCAATGACATTTCCTAAAATGAATTATATGCATTCATATGTTATTAATAGTGCTTTGATAATTTCCGAGATTATCTCTTAGTAAAATGCTGCAGTTTAGAAGCCATCGCATCAAAAATATTATCACTTTTTAACGGAATTTAGCACATGTCACTGGAGTGTGATAACGTAAATCTAGTCGTTTCCAAAAAAAAAAAAAAAATTCCTGAGCAATAGCTAACTAATGAATTCTTCTTCGTTAATTCATCTAAGCATTCTGTTAATCGTAAATCCATATCACGATATTTTTTTAGTTCATCGGCAAGCTGAGTGTTCTGCAAAGTAAGCTTCCCGTTTTTCTCCTGCCATGCAGCCAATTCTTTTAGACCTTTGTTATCAGCTTCAAGTAATGCCTGCTTTTCATTTGACAGTGCCTTAAAGAAAAACAATTTTCAAAGACAGTTACTATTTCCTATTGGTCTCTAGAATAAACTATATAATATTCATCTAATTGTAAAGTCTGCAAATACGGAGAAATACATCTTTACTCTTACCTCTACTTAATCACTCTATTAAAAATCCCAACCCGAAGTACTGCTATCATCAAAACTGCTCGATACTCACCACGGTTACTAACTTAACGAAAAATCCCATTATCAATCCCTTAACATGAATATCAGCCTAATAGGATGATCAAAAAGCGCAATCCTGAAAATCCAATTTTGAAAAGATATTTAAAACAATTAACATAATTGGTAAGTGCAAGTTGCTCAATCCGTTTTTCGAGACCCAATTTTTCTTTCTGTAAATGTTCGCGTTCATTCTCCCATTTTTTCTTTTCTATTTCCAATTTCTGCTCCAACTCCGTGATTTTCGAGTCTTGTTCTTGTAAATGCTCAAACTTTTTCTCAGTGACAAATAATTGTTTCTCCAAATCAGCAACTTTTCTAGTACTTTCGTCATATAATCTTTTGAATTCGTTGCACTTCTCTTCGCAACTTTTTTTTTCCTTATTTAAGATGTTAATTTCGGCTCGTCTATTTTCTAATTTTTTTTCCAAATCATCCTTCATCTCGTATACTTGTACTATGTTATTTTCAGCGATACTATATTTCTTCATCCAGATTTCAGCATTTTTTTCTCCTTCCTGAAAAAAAAAAAAACAAGTAAACTGATAAAATAATTTTTAGAACACACAAGTTTCAAACCATTAACCCGTCAACTACTATAAAGTATTGTGTTTGACCAAATTTTTTTTTTTTTTGATAATTAGAGCAACAAAGAGCAACTGCAGATCCAACACTACATAACGATGGATTATATGTAATACATAATACAAATACGAAAAACAAAGAGCAACAGCAAAATAAATTGTAGTCTTTTTGAAAGATAGCTTTACGTCTTTTATAATAATAAGTTTCACATATTAAGCAATTCTGCTCTAACATCTTTGAATTACCTAACCATTAAAAGCTTTGAAAAGTACTTTGCCTTACCTTCCCTATTTCCAGCTCAAATTTAAGCTCTGAAATTTTTGCTTGCATTGCAGTATTTTCATCCTGCAACTTTCTCAGTATTTCTACATCAGGCACCTGTAAAATTCTCGTATTGTTTATAAAGTAGGAAGGCGACAAATTATTCCCATTTTAACAAAGTGAAATCTTATTTTAATCACAAATTCATGAAATATAAAGCAACAATTTGAATCATATAGGTTCCTTCTTACTGTGTTAAATATCTATCATTATCATTTTTATGGTAAAGAATAAACGACCTTATCTGCTTCTACATCAATCGAAATATTTTCTAAAAGTGCTAATTTCTGCTCGGCTATTCGTAATTGATGTTGGCATTCCACAAACTTTGATTCATTTTCTTCCGCAACTTCCTGAAACTTATAAAGCATCGTAAGTTTTGAATAATAAACTATATAACAACATGTTTCTAAACAACGAGTCTTAAATCAGAAGGAGTGAAGTATTAATCAGTCAAATAACTACCTTCAGTTTCTCCATTTCTTTGGCCAAAGTTGCAGCATGGTCCTTCGAGACGGAAACCTAAAGCTTCAACACCAAAACTCACAGTTTAGATTTTATCGTTGGTAAAGTCATTATATTCTAAAAATCAACTAGAATCAAAAGAATTTACTACCTTTCATGTTTTGAAAAAATATATAGCATAATGTTTAGAGCTTAGAGCAAATAGGCAGGATATTTACATCATATTTGTGTTGAACATGTGCCACATCCTTACCTGGTCTTGGAAATGATGATTTTCATTTGTAAGCCTTTCGATTAATTGTGACAACCGTTCATTCTCTCTCTCCAACCCAATACATTCCGAATGTTTGTCGCGCAGCATCACAGCCAAATCTGAAAATCTTTTAATAGCCAATTAAATGTATACAATCCAACCCAATACATTTCAAGCAAAACTGTGAATATCGAGAATGCTACCTAATTTAGTGTACTGCTTATCACCGACAAGTCCATTACTCGTTTCACCCTTCGAACAGTCTAAAACAGTTGTCGCGTCGCCATCTCCACATTTTACTTGTGGAACTGTTCGAATTGGTGATATCCCTGGGACGTGATGGGAAATTTGCTGATTTTGTGGTCTGATTGGCGTCGAAGTGTTTGTAGAAACCGACAGTGCCGGATACGATGCTATCAGAATACCAATTCCATTTACACCCTCATTTTCCTGAAACACAATTAAGCACAGCTTAATTATTCAATTTTGTTCATATCATAGTACAGCTTAAAAAATGTCAGAAAGAATGAACATTACCAGTCAAAATGAAAATTTTCGACTACTAAATAATTAGATGGAGGAATCATAAATCCAGCAGTAACCTCTGAACAATTTAGCACATGAACTTTGTTATCCACTTTTTCCGAACAAGAGTCATCACAAATTAAGGGTTAAGTTCTCTGATCAATTTAGTAAGATACACATTTTACGTGAAATAATAAATACAAAACGGATGGAGATATTAAAAAATTAAAATTAGTATGCTCTGAAGGCTTATATGATTTCAAAAAAGAAATCTAACTTGGACAACAGGATTACGATGTGATTCCTCGGCACTCTGAGCATCTCTTGGAGTATGTATTTCCGATCCGATACCATCATCACGATCCTCCATTTGTAATTGCAGAAGTTTTCCAACACCTAACGAAATTATTCAACAAAAGTAGCACTAATAATAGTTATCCTTCATATCAAATGATATTAATAGTGCAGTGACTAACTATTCAATTAAATTAGTGTAAATTAAAAAAGAAAAAGCTGTATAAGGAAAAAGAGTGGAATTGCATCTAATAAGCTAATTCAAATATTACTCAAGCACCACTGCATATCTCCAGAATTTTACTGCTGATCCAAATTGAAATATCTCCAGAATTTTACTGCCTGATCCAAATTGAAAAAAAAAAAAACTAAACAGATTAGTCCCCGCGATAACCATCCAAATTGTCTCCCTCAAAAATATTCAAATGAGAAAGCCGCGAATGAAAATCATTTTCCCAACGACAAATGTGACTACTCGTACGTTCAGTTATGTTGCGTTTACGTTGAAATATTTGAAAAGAATTGTAATTTCATTTGATATGGAAAGATTGTCTGGTGATAATTCGATGGAAAGCGTGATGTTCGAAAATTTATTCACCGGTATTCTCAATTCAAAAATAAACCTTGTCAGAACTGTGATCAAAATTAAGTCCATGCAGTACAGGTGGATATAAATTCTTTAAATGCATCTGATTTTTTAATTAATAGCCCGGAATAATGAACTTTTCACTCACTAATTCTTTATATATAAGAATAAACCAGAGTAGATGGCTCAGAAAATTATAAATCTCAATTTATGTTGATAAAATAGTTTACACGTACAGTCGAAATTACCGGTATCGCTATTATATTTAATATCATTCATATTACACCAAATATGAACTTCTCAATACCAAAAACAATTGGGAGTTAAAATTAAAGCTTGTTTTTTTTTTTGCCAATTCTGCAATTTTTTGCCAATTCTGCAATTTTTAGCCAATTCTGCAACTTTGGTATAGAATTTTGGAAAAAACATTTGGAAGTAATCAGTTGGTTAATTTTACCTGTTCTCACTGATTATATCGTTTCTTTTGTCTTTGTTAATAATTATGTATATATAGAGTGATTTGCCATATTTTCGTGTCATATGCCATATTGTATGAGGGCGTTGTAGACTAGAGAATGTTACTTATGCCTTACTCATTAGCCTTCTCTCTTCATTTCTTTCTTTTTCTGCTGAAAGTAAGGAATTTCTCATAAGTTACCAAACTGATAGATAAGTGACAAACTTCATGTAATGATAGTGCCTTAATTTATTTCTTCTTTTGAAATCCGTTGTCATAACTGGAAGTTTTTTATCTCTGATTTAAATACACTTCTTTTTTCAAAAAAATGTATAGAATAGTAACAGTGCATTCTGTTGAACTTTCAGTTTATATGTCTTTTCTTTCAATATTCCTTTTCTTTCCCTTTTATCAAAAAAATTAAAAAAAGAGAACTCAGGTGAGGGAATGAAGTAGGGGAAAAAAGGAAACAAACTGTTTAAGAAAGAAATTCCAAAATAATATTTCTTTTCCCTTAAGCAATAACATATCAAAAAAATAGAAAACAATGGAAGAGCTTGAAAATTATTTTTTGAAAAAAGAAAATAGAGAGCTAATAATGATAGCTATCTGGAAAATTAACAAAAATAAGCAGTTGTCCAGGAAAGAGCGAGATAAATATTGATCAAAAGAATGGGTTAACATGTGAAAAATAAGGAAGGAAAAGTAGCCAAACTTTAGGAACGTTTAGATATTCAGTATTATTACTCAAATAGTTTAAAACTAATTAAATATGAGAAAGACATTCATGCACCGCTTTACTGAATCATTTACTTTAATCTGGCTACTACTTAAGTTGTGGAAATTTGACAGAAAAAAGGAAAGGAAATAATATAAAATATGAATTCTATTTCGTTATATAGCATTATATTTTTTTCAGATTATGACAATACCATTAGCACTGCTAATCATTCAAGATAACCCAATTCTCCGTTGATTTTCATTAACTTCCTGTTCACGTTTATTTTCACAAGGTAATACAACAGGTACAATCTCGAATATTATCACGAATTAATCAAATTTGCGAGCTCGTAACTTTTTTTTTTCTTTTTAGGAATAATTCCAAATGGTTTCAATCGTTGCCTTATATTGTCATCTAGTAACTGTGGCTTTTTGCGAATTGATTTAATCTTGAACTTCATATCATGTATATCATTTTCCAACAGTGTACCTAAAAAGCAAACCTCTAAAATAAATATTGTAAATCCAATTCTTAAAGTATGATTTAGACACTATTAATGACTTTAGAATTCAGTTGACCTTTCAAGAGTGCGTATTATATGACATACCAGGTTCTTGTTTAACAGTAATACCATCATCATTCGTGAGAATTACAGCACTATTTAACAAATCAAGTTTCTCGTTCACTATCACAATTCCTTTCATCAAATTTGCTGAAATTTCATAACACTCCAAAAAAAACCTTATGAAACTCAATCTGGCATGAAAAAGGTGAGAAACTTAATCGTTAGTGACTTACTTACTTTTTCTGATCAATCCTCACAAATATGCAAATCAAACAGAGAGATATCATTTTGAGCTAAACTTCTGCAGTAGTGATACATATTGAATCTTTTTTCCTATTCCATCAAGGTAAGGTAACTGGGAAACAGAGTTACAAAACTGCCTGCTTTCGATTAATAATAAATGGAATTCATCAAAAGGAATCTCTCATCGTAAGCAAAAAAGGAAAAAAAAAACGAATTTCACTACAGAAAACTAACTGGCTTTAAGGGACATAGCATCCTTCTGAGTTCTAATACCAGCAATTGGAATATAAACATAGGGTAGAGTAAGATGATGGAAATGACAGTTCAGTGGTACCGCATCGGATCGAGATGGAATTGCAAGCCTTATCCGATTCTTTGCCTTGTGAGGAAATTTAATCGATGACAAATCACTCAATGGAACCTGCAATTAATACTACTTTGATTCCCTAAAATCTGCACAATCATTTTCTCTGATGACTTTCAAGTGCCAGAGTAACCGAATCCCGAACAAAGTCCAAAATACCAACTTCGACAATTGGTTACCCTATTAGTAGAATGAGCTAATTACCAGTATTAAGACTTGACGATTAGACAAAAATTCGTTCCCGTAAGAACGACTCTTAATGATTTGAAACAGCAAATCATTAACAGTTCATCAAACAAAAAACAAAAAAAAAAAGGCAAACCTTTGTCGGCTTCCTGACCAGCCAAACATCATATTCCTCTGTCCTTGCACCGCATAAATTAGCCGAAGGAACAGCATTCGAACTTGGCACAGTATCGCTCGAATCCGTCTCACCAAGAACTGAGTCACCATCAGGTTTCTTCTTTTTTCCCATGTCTAAGGTGAGAAAGAAATTAAGATTTTTTTCTAACTAACAATGAAAAAGTAAAAACGATCACTAAACCAACGCATATGTATTAAATTACCCAGTATTAATCTTCCAATACAGTATATTAAATCAACTGCTGCTAACCTAATGCCATCTAATACTACTTTTTGACTCCATTATAAAAGTTACAAAAAAAAAAAAAAAATTTACAAAAATAACCTTTCAAAACATTACATCACGAAAACATTACAAAAATATTTATTCTAAAAACAGTATCATGTAGGTCATATCGAACACATATTCTATTAATGAGATCGATATAATCCGAATAATGAATTATAATCGCATGAATAAAAATTTCGTAAAAAGTGAAAAACGGATTCAACAAACAGAAATATAAAAAAAGCAATGCACTAAAGAAGAAGCAAGTCAGGTTGGAATAGGTGATATTTTAAATAGAAAATTCAGAAAAATGAAATAAAAAAGCAAAATCGTATAGCAGGTCTAAATTTAGATTTATGAAGTAGGATATAAAAGCCGAAAAAAAAGTAGATGGCGTAAACTTTTCAGTTTTACAATCAGTCAATTGTTGCACCAGATAAGAAAACAGCAATACATCAATTATTTTCCTGTGTTGCGTTTTTCCTTATATATCGCTTCATCCGTAACTCTTCGTTCCATGACATAAAAGGTTCCAGAGTAAATGAATCTTTTGTTGTTGTGAAGAATTCTTCCAAATCTTAAACCGAATTGATGAAAAAAAAAAAGATTTAAAAAGATAAATCAACAATCAACATGCATACACTGTTGCAAATTTCGAACAACGTGACCCCGAAATAAATTATAATAATAATTTCGTGTAAAAATTAATCATCCAGACTGTATGAGTCATTTAATTAATTTCTCATTTAGTCAGTTTCTTATGTCCTTTCTTTGTTTACCTTGAATCTGACTAAATCCCTTTGTCTATAATGGTTATCAGAATCTAATATATATATACAACCTTTTAGTCAATTATATTGGATATAATTTAATATAGTTTTTTTTCTTGTTCACATAGCTATCTCTGTATTCGACAGGTTATATCAAGATATCGTAAACCATTCCCAACATGATAAATGTATATCAACCAATGATTAACATTACCCGAATTTCGACTGTCCAAACCTCTAAATCAATATATCCTACCATATATACTTTATGTGTACCTTTCCGGCTTGTTTTGGTTTCTATAAATTTGTCTTAAAGTGTCCGGACAGCATAAATCATAATTCATTATGTAATATCATCGTCCAATTTCTTTGCAGAAATATCACAAATTATTTAATGCACGATAGAATATTTTTACAAATATAAAATAACACAGACAAATTATTTGTTATAGTTCGGAATTACCAACACTGCCCAACTATTAGTACAATCAGTATTGTCCAGTACTTGGTGCAGCTTGAAAGTTTCATCTTAAATTTCTGTGGTGAATTTTAAAAAAAAGAAAAAATTGTTATATAAAAAAAGAATAAGTGAAGGATTCGTGTAAATACAGAATCATGCACACCCACCTATCCCGTATTTTTGTTCATAGTGAGAAGCTTGAACGACCATATCGAATTTATCCAAATGTTTAACAATTTTGGCTTCTTTAGTTTCATTGGCTTCATACTCCTGCCATAACGAATACCAGTCTTCACCAACTGTTGATGGTACCATCTCCGTGATTTTTTTCATAGCCTACACATGATAAAGTAATGATCAAAACTACAAATTAGCAAATAAAATGAAGATGGGTCAAATACTCATTTCTACACTAAATCTCTCGCAATGCGATGTTAAGTGGTAGAACAATGTTCTATCATCATCAAGACAGCAAGGATTAGTTATGACTTGCGAGTTCATACATTTGTGATCCATGATTTTAATCCAGGAAAACAAACCTCATCTTCCAATCGATGTTTCTCTGTAACCGAAATACCGCAGCGCGGAGTAATATCACCTATAATAGCTTCACCCAGATCATGTACCAATGTCATTCGGATACACTTAGCACGATCACAGTCATTATTATCTAGTAACATCGCAAGTACTGCCATACGATACATATGGCAAGCTACTGTTTCCGGTTCCGGAATCTAAAAATTGTTGACTATAAGAGAGCTAAACATTCCCAAATAACTCTTTCAATATGTTGTGTATCACAATGTGTTTTTCTTCTCTTTAAAAAATATTAAAAATCATATAGGGATAATACGCCTGTCTACCTTTTCCAGAAGCAATCCATAAAAACAATTTCGTTTGTAGTTTGTTGTTTGCAATTCGTTGTATTAAAAAATCATCAAAGGATACAGTAAAGTATTATAAAAAGTTTTTTTTTTTTTTTAAAGAAAAAGGAAAACAGAAACTTAACTAACATTGAATTTCACCCATCCAGTCCTTTTCAAATGCTTTAATTCATTCAACACATTCAATAAGTTGAAAATATCCCTCGTTTCTGTCAACTCAGCTTTCATTGATGACTCGATCTTAAGAAAAGAAGAAATTCATATGCGTCATTTATTTTACACAAAATAAAAACCTGCACATAAAACATTTTATTCAGCAGCACTTCTGCAATCCAACCGTAAATTCAACAGTTCCATCTAAACCTGCTTACACACAAATACGCTTTTTTATACCCGTTCGATTTGCTAGATCACGATGACTGTGGCTGTAGTGAAAATTTGTTGTTTAACTGGACATTTCCAATCTTATCTATAATTTGCACTTTATGGGATGAACTTCGAGTGAGTTCCTGGTACAATTATTTCGTAATGATAGACTTCAAGTTAGCTTCCTGATTCTATGGATTTGGATATATTTTAGACAGAAGTACGGATCATTTTGGAGGTATATTTCGAACGATGGCAACACCAATGAAGAAACGTCGAAAAACGTTAAAAATAGCATTCGATGTAGGAGAGCATTACTCAAAAGGTACAATCCACTTGTGACTCTCTTCTTCTTCTTCATTCTATTTTGCTTGCTGCAACCGAATGTTTTAGGTGGAAATGAGCATGAAAGTGCCAGCACGAAAGAATCACCATTATGGATGAAACATTTAGAAAATATTAAGCAAATGAGAAGTAATAAGGATGCACCGGTGGATAGTATGGGTTGTCATATGCTTGCTGATGCACTTGCTGAGCCAAAGGTATGATAATAGTTGTTGTTTTGGGACGTTAGGACACGTTACAAGAAATGTAACAATTTTCTTTTCTGCTTTTTTCTTACAAAAACTCTTCTGCAACTTTGTCTAGTTATATATCATTAAGGAGCTGTGTTCATGAAAACGCATGTTTCAACTTCTGATAAGATGAATATGGAATTTGACATAAGTCTTACTGTTGTTTTCTTTAAAATTTCCATTGATTACCCTTAGGATGATATATTACTGTAAGCTCTAAATAACAGTACTACATGACGGTTGCAAATATTTTCCTCAGTTGATTTTTAGGTATTTCGTTTTCAAACTCTGTTGTCGTTGATGCTATCAAGTCAAACAAAAGATCATATAACTGCTGCTGCAATGCATGTAAATCATAATTTATAGTTTGTTATCATGAATGTTCTTTACAAGAACCATTATCTATATTAGTCGGATGTAATATGTGTGTACATTTGCACTTACATACGTAGTTCTCCCATAAGTGTATATGCACACATTTCAGAGATATGTATGCGTATATTCGTCTTCCCAAAGACAACCGAATAACAAATAAAAAATAGATTTTTATAAGGCTTTATAAGGAATTTAAGCAATTAAGAAAATTAGTTCGTTTAATATAGGCATTTGTGCTAAATCAATAGTTGAATATGAATCACGTAAGATATATTCAAATGGAATATTTGTAAATTAAATTATATATGATACGCTTAATTTGCAGCGATTACGAGAACACGGATGTACAGTTGATGATTTAGTCTTAATTCCCACAGAAAAACTTCAGCAATTACTCATTCCGGTTGGTTTCTACAAGGTAAGAAATAATAACAGTAACGAACACATAGTTCCATCCTAAGACATGACAATGAAAATATAGGATGCAATATTCAAAAAAGAACAGTACCGTACTTTACTAATAGCTCAGATGAAAGCTGAGCATGCTGCTTCTTAATTTGATTTTTGGGAAGCATTGCCCTGTTGACGGATACGATCTCTTGTACTGAAAGTCATTCATTTCTTTGATACTATTCCCCTTTCTTGGGCAAATTAATTAGAGTGGATCTTATCTTGTTTTAGAAAAAAGCTGTATACATCAAAAAGGTAGCAGAAATTTTGAAAGAGCGCTATGATGGCGATATACCGAATACGGTTGAAGGGCTTTGTTCTCTCCCGGGTGTTGGCGAAAAGATGGCTTATCTTACGATGTGCACCGCTTGGAACCAGTTGGAAGGACTTGGTGTCGACACACATGTACATCGCATCAGCAACAGACTTGGATGGGTGCGTTTCTACTACGTAAATCAGTGATAAGTAAATGGGAAACAATATATTGTAGTAATTGTTTGAATTACTTCGACCATGAAATAAGTGAAGAGTATTCTTGAAAAGTTTGCTTCTTTATAGATAGTAAAATTCGAACCACTAAACTATAGTTAAGAGAGACCTTGTCTAAAAATTTTTGCAGATCAAAACATCAAACCCAAAAGAATCTCGGATGGCTTTGGAAGCGTTGGTTCCGCGTGAACAATGGCAAGAACTAAATAAATTGCTAGTTGGCTTTGGTCAACAAACATGTTTACCCGTTTTACCGAAATGTTCGGAGTGCTTGAATAAGAATATATGTGCCGCGATAGGAGTGAAGAAGAAACGCTGATCTTTCAAATTAGAATTTTTAATCAACAGAGTTTAGTATTCTCATATTTCATTCTTATTTCCCCTATTTTGTTATTGATCTCTTAGCTATATTCGGATAACTCTCAAACACCAGCTTTTCCTTTTAATTGTTTTTCCTGTTTATGTAAGTACATGTAAATTTAACTTCGTTCACTTCAGATGTTTGTATTCTTTTGAATACTTTCCCAGTATACAGTAATCTGTTCCTATATTCATGTATTATATACGCTTCTACGTCTTTACAATATTTCTGATTCATCCGGTCCAAAATATTTTCTATCGTCAGACTTTAAAATCTGTCAGAAGAAAAGTGTAAACATAACAAGGTAGTTGTCACCAAGTACGTCTATTCAGTTAGGGAAGTGCTGATTGGAGAAAACGTGAAATCTAAAATAAGCACAACCTTCCCTTCAGATATTAATCAGAAATATTGTTTTGCTGTAGGTCATTGTAGTCACAAACATCCAAGTTCCCTTCATCAAATAGGTTAGCAAAGATCGGACAGAATTTCTGGAATTCAAAAATGATTTTTAAGGCTATGCGAACTAATGGCTTACTGTAACTTTAATTAAAATTAAAGAAATACAAGAAGCAGCAACGAGCATCTTACAACAATAATGAACTGTTAAAAAGAAAACAATATGCACAAATATAACAATGGAAACCCGAAACGAAATCAATGCGGAACTTATTATTTGACCTTCATGTAGTTAACTCTGAACATTATATTATTTACAAATTTATTTTTCATTGGGCTTACCAGCTTATAAATACGACTTTTTGGAGAGTCATGTGTATCGCTTTACTGCTACTAGGTAAATAAAGCACTCCCAATCATGTTCACTTCTAACAGTGTTATCCCTAAGGCATTCTTGGTGATAAGACTGAAAATAACCGCTTCCAGAAGGCTATTTCCAGAAGAAATTCGTTTTGTCTTTAAAAATTACGAGAATATTTGCATTTACATTTTATGGAAAGGGATTCAAAAATTAATCGGGAAATGAAATGTTCTGAAAAACAATGGATAGTAGTGTTATCCTTTTTGTGAGAGACACTGAACGCACAACTTTATGCCAGACGTCAGCGTCTTATGACTTCTGATTCCAGTCATTTTATCATAATTTACCCATTGCATTAAGGGGATAGAATATAAAATGAATTATGCATTTCACAGAGATGCAAAATATTATAATTTCAAATTAAATTCAGGTGACTCAAAAATGGTGCTCATTTTAGATATTGTCAATTGTTTACCGTGGTCATAGAGTAATTTGAATAAACCAGTACCAATTGTGATTGGAGTACCAAGAATGATGCATTCGCTTACACCGCAAATCTTATCTTCCTGTGAGAAAAATGCCGCTTCGAAGAGATGATCAGCCGTTTTTTCAAATGATGCTAATAATAACACTGATTCTTTCATTTTCACCAAGCCGTTTCGCGTTATACCAAGCACTTCACCCCTAAATTGAATTTTTATTTCAGTGACTTCCAAATATCTTGAAATGTAGGAAAATGCAACAGAAAATTTTCATTTCTAAAATTTTTAATGAATAACCACTCATCAAATGAGAAAAGGTTGCTAACAACTCACAGCTGAATAAGCTCAGAGGACAAAAGAAAATAGATAAAAATTGGCGTACATCAGCTATAGTCTTCTAATTACAATACAAAAGACTGTAAAATGTATGTCAATTAACAGTTTTCTAAAGGATTTTTTCGACAAATCAAAAATCAAAAGGACCTGTAAGTCATTAAATCAGCAAGTAACATCACATGTCGTTGATCCAAGCCAATTCCATGCGAAGCCATTGTGGATAATATTTCCGAAATGATCGATGAACGTGCTGCTTCAATGCCAAGTACCTAAAATAGAAAGTTATGCTAGATTTCTTTAAAGAGCTTTCTCCCATCAGCATATCAGAGTTATGTGATTATTTAACATAATACAAGCTGAGCATAAGTACATCAGCGACGGTGAGTGCATTATTGAAATATGTTCGACGGCCATCGACACCAAGTGTTGCCATAACTTCACGATAATCTATCCCTTCCACTAGTAACTTATAAGAATCGCCCTTCTTTTCATCTGCATGAATCACGCAGCGTACAATGCCCGGAAGACCTGAAATTATTCTTATATAATGAATTTTCATACCAAAACAAATCAGTAATAATGTCACTAGATTGCACATTTAGTATAGAAAGGAACTACCAACATTATTAACTTTAACTAACACTTGAGCACTTAGATTAGATAAAAAATTGATTCTGAAATAATAAACTGAAACGAAATATGTTGCATACCTTTTACAACAACATTTCCAATATTATACTTCAGATATTGGATAGCCATCATTTTGGAGCATTTAGCCAATTCCGGCGGTCGAATTGTCATAATTGTCTTACCCAAAATTGTGATCTGGAAATTAATTTTTATACATAATAAGGTTCTGGTAAATTATTTAAACAACAGGTAAGGAAATTTACAGTGAAAGTCATCATAAACAGAGTCTGCTAGCAGATAAGATTGTTTGTGATGCAGATTTCATGCTCAGAAAGAAAGGTGAAAACAAGATATCCGGACAGCCATGCAACTTCATGCAGCAAATTGAAAAGTCGCAGCATGCGCAAAAATTGGAAAAGGTGCTTTTTTTATAATAGAATAATTAGGATGAGGTTGTGATAAAACTGTTATGTTTTAGTTTAGAAGTTAACCCAGCAAGTATTTCTATCGTGGAAAATATTCTTTTGTTAATAAAAAGATTTTCTCCTAATAATGAACCTGCGATATTTTTACTGGAACAGGTAATTTTGAAGTGCAAATAGATTGTGCAATTGATGACATTGTGATTTCAAGTTGAAGAAGTCGGACACGTTTTGCATTGATCTTTAACAGAATAAAGCAATCATCTGGCAAATAAACTTCTTCGATGTAATCACAGATCTCACCTGCAAACGGAAAATCAACAAGGAGTAATGTCGAGAATTTTTTAGTTTCTAATTGTTTCCATTTTTCCAATTTACCAACTTATCGACTTAATCATTTTTCTAACTTCAGCTCAATTTTTAGTTGTAATGCCATTATCTGGAAGCCTGAATTTTTAAAAGGAAAATCAAAGTGTAGACTATTTTAAGAAATAAAAAAGGGCAAACCAAGTGTCGTTTTCTCAATTCTTGCTTTCACTCGTCGCGCTAACTTTTCATCCTTTTCATTCGTCAGTGCAGCTGTGATTAATGGTGTTGAAATCAACTTAACACCATTAATGATTTCTTTAATTCGTGGTACACCCTTAAAATGATGTATGTTTTGAATCATAGTGAACGCAATGTCAAGAGATTATCAGAGTATGGCTTTTATGTCGAGCATGGCTTTAAGAAGCTGACACGTGGTTAGACTGTGCAATCCTACATGACGTGTTTTTACGGACCTATAAAGCTTAAATATGCACAAGCATTTCTAATAGTGATATCTAACCTTACTTAATTTAAAAGAAAAGCAGTTCAAAGCACAAGAAATCTGTTAATTCAACTCTATCAAAAAACATCTATGTTATTTCAACTCCATCAAAAATATACCTGAGTAATATTCATCGAAGCAACACCAGCGAAGTGAAATGTTTTTAGCGTCATTTGCGTTGACGGTTCACCTTGAAATGAATACCTTTCACTTGCCAATTAATAATAGCATGCAAAATATATAACTGGCAATTTAATGTCATTTAATAAACATGTAAAAATCATATCTAAAAGATCTGACAAATTACAAACATTTCTCCGCTAAATAACTTACCAATACTAGTAGCAGCAACTGCACCAACTGCTGTGCCTGGTTCACATATAGCACGCCTAAATTTTCTTAAGCAAAGCTTAATGAAGGCAACTGCTTGTGCACGTGACAAACAGTGAGATCTAATTTCGGTCTCTCGAAAGAACTTTTGATTCTTGCAATCATTACAATGTGTTGCTGATGGCATCCAGTTGCTGGAATAGTAGAGCAAAACAGTAAAAATTGTTAAATTGTTAATAAATGCTGGTAATATTTAAAAATCACTGTACTATAATTGTAAATTCAGAAGTTATATAAAGTAACCATGTAATGGAGACTATAGGTTAAGAATATACAGAATTAGCAAAGGATCGAAGAAAAGAGCAAAGCTCCGTGATAGATTAAGTTTCAATGCTATGGTAATTTGTAGACTTCTGCTAGTCAAAGTGGAGGGTAAATTATATCAATTCAATTTTTAAAATTTTCTGCATTTAAATCTCTTTTCCATAAGTGACTCATCCTACCATCACTTTATAAACAAGGAAGGATATCCCAAAGAATACTTATGCATAAAAAGAACTGAACAACTCAGTATTTGCGCTAGATAAAGCTTGTTAAATCTTCTATTTTCCACATTTTTAGAAAATTTCAAAATCTTGTATTAAATAATTCATTCCAGGCTTAACTGTCTCATCGAAGTCATAAAAACTTTTTCTAATCAAATACGATGAAAATAATAAACTATTATTTACTCCATATGTTTGGTGCAATTTTTTGGAAGTTTGTAGTATTTGTTTGTTCTTTTCAAGTATTCATTGATAAAAGACTCAAGCTGTTCTCGAAACATTGCGTGTCGTTTTCCAATTATTTCACTGATTGTATCTGCGACAACTTTTTGTAATTCATTGATGGTGGTATTAGCATCTTCTATCAAATGCCTATATTTGTGATTAATTACCACATCATTTTACTTTTGGAGTCCTATGCTAGAGTTACAACTTTGTAAAGAAAAAAAAAAAAAAACAATAAGAGTTTTCAACTGAAAAGATACTTTCAAGATCAAAATTCTGCCAGAAAGATAAACGAATCCATTAAAATGACCCAAAAATGATTTGATTTTCATGTATAAAAAAAAAGAAAAAAAAAATCATAACGTCAACTATACAGAGCAATACATTATTTTATTTGATATTCTTCCCGAACATTAAAACAGTAAACGTACGGTAATGTATTTCGAGTATGCTCCAATATATGTTTGAAATCTACGACGCCACCATCCTTTGCTTCCATTAAAGCAGGATCCAAGCCATCTTCGCCGAACGTAAATTCAATTACATCGCCTACCGAAGAACGTACTGTACCATCATAATTTACACACAGGTCCTAAAGAAAAAGACAGTTCAATAGTTCTCGAAAATAACAATAAAACCCAATAAAGTTAATTTTCATATAAATATTTTGACTTATGAATCATTGATCAAAATTTTCGAATATGAATGACTTGTGCAGTCACTATTTCTTCTAAATTAACAATATAAGCGTACTTCGAGACATTTAACCAGTCGTCGTTGCATGTAACCAGTTTCAGCAGTTTTTACTGCAGTATCGACAAGACCTTCACGACCACCCATAGTGTGAAAGAAAAATTCGGTAGGTGTTAAGCCAGAATAAAAACTGTTTTCTACAAAACCTTTCGCAGCTGGTGTTTTTTGACGTCTTTCGAAATGTGGCAAGGAACGATCCTGCAAAACTTACGGATGATGTAAGAAATCGTTAAATCTTGAATAACAATATGTCACAAAAACAAAAACTGCAATTCAATTTCTGAGTGTATCTTAAAAAATAATAAGATATAAGAAAATTCATCGAGCAGAATTTTCGAAGGACAGTCACTGACAAAGACTGTGCAATCAAAAATTCTTCAGTTCTAAGTTTAATAAAACAACATCAAAAAGCTTGTGCAAATAAAGTATTCTGTAAATTGAAATAAGCTGCTTGTAACAAACATTTAATGGTCAATGTAGTAATGTCATAAACATTATAAAATAAACTCTTGATATTTAAGACTTTCTACACGATATCTGTTAATAAAAACCAATGACACACCTCAAAACCATCTGGTGGTCTATGTCCAGAGATAGCTTGCTGACCCACGCATGCAATCATCTGTGAAATATTAATAAATGAACCCTTCGAACCACAAACAGCCATAGTTAGTGGGGCATTGTGTCTGAAAATTCAGATATAATAAAAGTCATTGAAAAAGACCACCTAATCTCAGAAGCTAAAATGAATAAAAATAACCTCGACAAATTGCGCAAACATGCTTGACCCGCGTGATCACGAATGGCAGAAAGTTCCTTCAAAATTAATGCCTCCAGTGTTTCATATTCCGTACAACCTGGCTGTGCTTTCAATCGTCCTTCTTTTAAGCTTTCAATATAATCATCGCATATTTTATAACCATTACTCAATAAATCACTTTTTTCTTTCAACAACGTCTTACTTGGTCTTACATCGCCTATCCCTGAAAATGCATTAACATCAACTGTAAGATACTTCTGAATAATTAATATACAGATTAAAAAACATTATTTACTACAGGCAGAAGAGTCGCCTTAATAACCATCAAAGTTTGAAGATATGTGCTATCTTAGTAATTATTATGTAATCATGTAAATTTACGAAATTTGAAACAATTAGCATTACCAATAGAGAAACCACGATTGCTGAGGAACACAGGAGCCATTCTGCCCAATCGCCACATCGCATCAACCGCTGCATCCTCACCAAAATCACGCAGAAGTATGTAAAATATGTTCGTTTTACTACCTGATCCTAATAATGCCTTATCCAATACTCCACACAGCAAGACACTATTCCGGATTATTACGTAGGAGTCCTGAAATGCTTGCATTAACTTATAACATTCTTATCGCTATAATAATAATGGAATAACTCTAATTTAAAATAGAACCAAACAAAACAACATGAAAAAAATCTACATTCGATTATTTAATTTGACAAACCTTGACGCAAAATTCTTCGTTGCCGGTATAACTTTTATTCTTTGTAGTTAAATTCAAACTGATTTTCGAATCCACATCTGGCCTTATAATTAATTCTACCAGCTGCAAAAGCAATAGTGAATTAAATTCCATTATGTTGAAACAATTAATTTCTCATTAACGAAACACCATTTCACATTTGCGGGATTATTTTTTCTACTACTCTCCTACGGGGTAAAGTTAGAATTCACTCCATTATTCAGCAAATAAATAGTAGTCATGCAACCTAGAAGAAACTGTCTTACTTGTTTTCCAGTCCAAAGTTCCACTGGTTTTAGAATTGCTGGTGGTGGTATTCGAATCCTTTGCTGCTTTTTCGAACTTGAGTCTATGATTGCTGCTGCAAAACGATGCACCTCCAAACGAGGGAAAAAGCTATCCTTGTGTGTTAGAAGATAAGTGCCAGTAATGAAATCCTACAAATTGCAATTAGGTTAGAAAAAACTGCGTGCTGAATCATATTTTATTTTAAAGAACAAAAAAGACCACTGATGTTTACAACCAAATCTTTTACTTTCGGTAAATCCATTCATTACTTTGTGCTATTACATTGGTTAATTTAGATGTTAATTTTTAAGATGACATTCTATAATATCGGATTTCCGGAAAGAATACCTAATCCGATTTTAGTGATTTTAGCACTTGCGATTTTAGCACATGGAAATACTTAACACACTGAGATTTTAGCACTTAGACGATGAATTTACCATTATAAATCCAAATATTTGATATTTAGAGCGTTGTTTAAATTCAAGAAATGTTAGAAGATAGTTCAAAAACACTGCGGCCTAATAAACATGCTTCCTCATGAAAAATTAATAATACAGAACAGATGAACCTGTATAGCAGCAATGAGTGGTTCACCGGATCTAGGCGTAATTAAGTTGCTTTTGACGCCCATTAACAGAGATGCTTCAGCACGTGCTTCATATGTTTGAGGAACATGTAAATTCATCTCATCACCATCAAAATCGGCATTGTATGGTGTGCATGCACATTCATTAAACCTAAATCAACTTAACTATAATCTGTATTTCAGATGGATTACCGAAATTAAGCCAAAATTAAAGTCAAAGAAACTGGACGAATGAAATTCTTGAACAATCAGATATTTCAAGGAAACCAAACCAGATCATCTCATTGTATCGTAGAAGTATCAACATTTTTGCAGTATTAAAGAAGATAAAAATTAAACAAAGACTGTCACATGCTGATTGAATAAAACCACCAACAATTTAATCACAGCGTATACTAAGGTAAACAATTAAATGAATAGTATCATTAGACTCATATTCTACAGAAAACTAATATGAGGTCTTAATAAAAAATGACATTTTAATTAATAATGCATGCTGCTGATTAACATTAATAATGGAAGAAAATTTATTTTTGGAACACAATATAACATTTTTAGTTTGGATAATCAAAATAAATTATACAGAAAAGAAAATTAGTAAGATAACATCAAAACGGATTAAATTATGACAGACCTGAATGTTCTTCCAGGAACGATTTTTGCTCTGTGAGACATGATAGAGATTTTATGCAGTGAAGGTTGCCTATTGAAAAGCACAACATCATTATCATCCAGATGCCGTTCAATTATGTCACCAACTTTTAATTGTGCAGCTGTGATTTCACGATTACCATACCTGCAATTGGTAGGACGACAGAAATGAAATTATTTAAATTTATAATGAGGTTGATATAAAATAAGTCAATTCTCAATAGAAAGGAAGTATCGACTTAATGAAGGTTCGACACGCACTTAAGGAAGCGTTTATTGCCTGTTGCTCTTTCCACAATATGATTTGCTCCTGGATGTATGTCATCACCATTCAGAATCAGTTTACGCATTCGTTCAATATTTGCTTTATTTACAATTTCTGGAAAAGTGAGGATCTTCGCTACATAAACAGGTACACCAACTTGATCAATCCTAAGATTTGGGTCCGGTGATATAACCTAAAACAAAAATTAGTATAATCTAAGTTGAATTTCGTACTGTCAAATATGTATGTTAGGTTAAAATAGATACATCCCTTCAGAATTCTGATATTTCTAAATCGAATAATCGTAAAAACCTCCTGATACTGAAATATATGTCATCAAGGAGATAAAATGATGCAGTTTTCTAGAGTGCAAAACATCACATTAGTAACATTAGTTTTATAAGTAGCTAATCCTAAGCTGAAATCTGGAATGTTTACCGTTCTCCCAGAGAAATCAACACGCTTTCCAGAAAGGTTTCCTCTGAATCTGCCTTGTTTTCCTTTTAATCGCTGTGTAAATCCACGTGTTGTTCTTTTAGGTTGCATATCAGGTGGTAATCCACTTAGTTCACTGTTTATATACAAGGCACATTGAACCTAAAGGAAAAAATCAACATCTAGATCGCTAGCAAACTGTGCCGCATTTATATAATGTACAGCCATCTTAAAATTAAACTAGTTAATAAAGTTTGCCCGAAAGTATTATACTCCTACAAAATAATATTATTTCACTTTATAATCACCTGCAAATGATCCCACGTTTCAGAAATAGTTTTGGTCGGAGAACCTTCCTTTTTGTGTTTTTCGATAACATCATTTATCAGCATAATTTCAGACAATTTCATTGTAATATCATCTTCGGTTGTTCCCGATTTCACCTATAACTCAATCGAAATCAGAAGAATAAGCAGAAATTGAACATTATTTGTAAACAGATCGATTGAACAATTTAATACTTTTAGTGAACTTTAATTTCATTCACTTTAATTAATGAACTACCTCAGACACAACAGAAGGTCGAATACAGCACGGTGGAACAGGTATTCTAGTCAAGATAACATCTGATGGATGTTTTGGCGTATCTGCCGAGCGCACCATCAATAGTGGTATATCCTGAAAAAAAAAATTTCCCCATAAACACTGCACAAAAATTGCTGGTTGACATCATTATTTACACATCAAGGAAAGTACATGAGGAGAAATGAATCACAGACTTCACTACTTCAATCTAAGATCAATCAATTAATGAGGCTCTAAAACCTTATCCTAAAAAATGTTTGACTAGGAAATGTGAAAAAAAAAAACGAAAAGAAAAAAAAAAAGGTGTATCTAGAGCGGCATCTTTTAGTGCATTAATAATCATATGCACCTCTTTTTCAATCTTATTAAATAAAATCTGCACTTGGAGTGGATCTAATAAAGTGAATTTCGTTTTCGGTAATAAATTTTGTAATTCTTTATTTTCCTGAGCAGCATAAACGTATTCGGAATAATTATCAGCAGGAATTACTTCTGCATGCGCTATTTTTAATACTGCACCAACTGCCTTCTTCACAATACCTAAATAATATACCATTTATCAGACAAAATTTTTGCTTTCTGACGTATTAAAGATTATTTTATCCAAAGTCTCCTTACGAGTATTAAAGTATGACTACATACAAACCAATATCAAAACAGACATACAACAGTTGCAAAACAAAACGTCTAGTTTTGAAGAGCTGAGATCTTTTCAAATCCCACACTTTTACGCTAATTTCATGAATTCACTATAGAAATACTAACCGTTTTTATGTCCACATCTATTACAAACAGTAATTTTTTTGCTGGCTGCAACGATACGCTTATGAAGCGCTTTTCGTCGTAAATAATCCAAATTTGGATTATTAACCTGATGCAAAAATGCTTTTTTTTGCTCGCCAGTAATCAACATTGCAGAACAGAACTGTAATTATTAAACTATCATATTCTTGCTATTGATGACTATATACATAGAATATAAAGGTACGTGGCTTTCTTGAAAGTAACTCATTTATACGATCGGCCATCAAGCCACTGGAAACGTTGCTATACTGGAGAAAGTTGTGATCAATTATTTCAAAAAATAAAACAGTAACTATACTTTACAGATGCACTGCAACATCTGTATTGTCAAGCGAAAGAAGCCAACATGGAAAACGGGTATTGCAAGATCAATATAACCAAAATGACCAACGCAATCAACCAAATTTTGTTTACAAGTTTGGCAGTCAGTATGTTTTTGACATGTCCCCTAAAAACAAGATAATTAATTTTAGAAGCAACAGAAGAACTGTTATAGATATAAATGATAACGATTCCTACAAGAAATATCAACTGTATTCCGACAAACAACAACAGTTGGAATTAATTATGATTTGCAATCAATGAGACTTACAACACTGCAGAATTTCAAATAAATGCTAGCGTATGAAGTTTAAAAATAAGAGAAGATGATGGCTTTGTAGTGCTAACAATGTAATGCAAGAGTGCAATGAGTGCTGTTTGAAAAATGGATAATGTGGTGAACTGTGTATACTCATTAATGCATACTCATTACATAACAAACTAGTAAAAGTGTATTAAAATTGTATCAGAAATACTCTATCATACTGCAATATTTAGCTAAAATGTTTGCTATAAGTTTTTTTAATAGTAACAGTTTCTTCATGAAAATTTCGCTTGATTGGCCATATCAAAACAGTTACATATAATAGCATCTAAAACCAATAAAATTGAACTTTAACCAATTTTATTAATGTTTTTCATTACTGCATATTTTAGATACTTTAAAAACATTTATCATTTTTAACGGAAGAAATGAAAAACCATACTAATCGTGGATCAAGTGGTCCATGAGCAACCGGAATCCATCGACCGGGATTTTCATCATACAATTTACTATTGAAGATCGGGATATGTGCCACCTGCCTCATTGATTCTGCATTACCAGCCGTAAACTGTACATGGCTTCTAAAAAAAAAACAAAAGTAGAAGAAAATGGGAATTGAACTGAAGAAAAAACTGAGAAAAGAAACGAAAATTAAACTCTGGAAATAAATGGAACTAACACTTTGCGTGCCAAATCTGATTCACGATATTGTTCTTTACCCATACTGATCAGGAAAAGAAGTAAAATCGTCAACTAATTTTTTAAGAAAAGTCTGGAAAAGTCATCCGATGTAAAAATTGCAAGAATTGAAGTCTGAAAGAATTTAGGCAATAGTGGAAATATTAAGCCCTACTGAAATGAATTAATAGACCAATTAAATAAATCTTATTTCATAGTTATAGTTTAATGTAGCCAGGTATATTTCTGGAAGTTTCAAAACTACAGGACAGCTAGATAATGCGAATTATCAGAGAACGATTCTCATTAATTGATTTATATATCCGAACTTGTTTAGCAACTGGCACACAAGTTTTTTTTTCCTTTTTTTGCAAAAAACAACTGCAAGACCGGAAAAAAATAATTCTGTTTATCAAAATATTGTTTATGAGCCTATTTAACAAATAATCTATTATTTACATATCAGACATGCTTCGATTCATAGATTCATATATTTTCTCGCTAAAATAATCCGTAATTCTGTACTTTTTAAATGCAAAATGGAAATCGTACTTACGTAGACTATTACCTCTCCAAATTATAATTATGTTTATGACACATAAAATCTTGCCAAATATAGTGGACAAATTCAGATAAATGACATTTAATGTGTTAACATTTATAGATTCCTATTCTAAACGAATGTATTCTAAGTAGCATTTTCCAGAGAAAAGGATGAAGAGGAGAAATAAGGAAGAAAACGGAGGGGAAAAGAGGATAAAGGGACCCAGAGATTAGGCAGTAGAAAAACAGAGAGAGGAAATCTGATGAAAAAAAGGGGGAATGTTAATAGCATATTAAATTATTACATATGACCGTCACTTTTACGTCACTTCATTTTAATGCTCCATTTTTGATATATGTTAGTGTGAGAAGAGAAGAAAGGACAAAAGTGAGTCTTGACCCAACCGTACTTATGCTTAATTTAACAGAAGTTAATGAAACCTGACTCTGCCACCTATATTAATCTTTGCTATTCCAGGCTGACCGAACCAGGAATTACCTATAGGCAGCCACATTTGGTTTACAGTTGTTAAAGGCTTTAGATTTGATGCAAAGATAAGGTAGTTGAAGAGATGCTGTAGGGGACTTGCGTAATACTTGAGACATTGACGTTAAAGTTTTAATAAAGAAGACAAATAGTATAAGGATTCTACGTGCATATGTGTTCCTTCACTGTGACTAAATATATGAATTTGAAAAAATGCGTTAAATATTTGTTTACTTATACTTAAAATATGTACTAAAAATTTCCTCAGTTTCTTCACATGTATTGAAATCATACGGCTTTTCAGGATTGAGACTAGGAAATTACTAAAAGCATAAGTTGTAGTAGCAGTAATATTGATAAACATATGAACAGCTCAATTAACGGTATTATTGGAAATTTGGGCAGTAGTGGTGATGGAAATTTGACTGTTCAGATGCCGGGGAATAGTGGACACCAACAACAACAGCAGCAACAACAGCAACAATCTGTAAATTGTTGCTTTTGTTTTTGAGTCTATTAGTTCAGCTGGATTTGTTCGTAATGTGCCATCTTTTTTTCTTTCTTTTACATTTAATTAAAAATTTAAACAAAGTGGTTTTATCGTTAACGCTCTAAATATCTTCCGTAAAGTTTGTAACAGTGTAATAATTCTTTGTTTTTCAAATCATACTCCTTGAACAACATTTGAAATGTTCGAACTTAAACCCTTCCTTAAAATCTTGCTTGTGGTGATGCTTGAAGTGAAATACCTTTCAGGATATTTGAAAATCGACATTTCATTGTCTGTAGAAACACTTTAAGACACTTATTTTTTGTCTTTTACTGCTGTGTTTTTATATGTTGCATAATTTATAAATGCAAGAAATGATGGAAGTTGTTACAGAAAATCGAAAGTGCTCAAGGAGATGGTAATAGCAGAGCAATCTATGATAGTCAGAAAACAAGTACACCTAATGGCACTAGCACGACGAATATGCCGTCTGCTGCGGTAATTTCATCTAAGGAATAAGTGAAAATGCCACTTAGCAACTTTGCAGTCATTTTTTGTTCTCTTTGTTTTATGTCGCTTTATAGGTTCCAAATTATGACATTAAATATATATTATCTGGTCATACGAAAGCCGTATCGTCTGTCAAATTCAGCGCTGATGGTTCATTGTTAGCTAGCTCTAGTGCTGATAAGACAATCAAAGTGTGGAATACTCAGGATGGTAAAATTGAAAAAACGATTACCGGTCATAAACTTGGGATCTCGGATATTTGTTGGTCCTCGGACCATCGACTGATAACATCTTGTTCAGATGATAAAACGTTGAAGATATGGGATGTTATGAGCGTATGTTTGTTCCTTTTTATTTTCTTTTTGTTAAGGGTTACATTTACGGATAATCTACTCAAATTTTTGGCACTATTAATAGACCATTTTTATATTTGAAAATGCATTAATATTTAACTTATGCTGGGTGATTTTTTAAGTTGTAGAACTAATAAAATAGGAATGAGAAATATTTTTTGTGGACACATCTACTAAATTTTCATTTCCACTCCTTAATTTGACCTTTATCGCAAAGAGTATGATTGTAATGGGACATTGCAGAGTAAATGTTTGAAAACATTGAAAGGTCACACTAATTATGTTTTCTGCTGCAATTTCAATCCTCAGTCATCTTTGGTCGTGTCAGGCTCCTTCGATGAAAGTGTTCGAGTTTGGGATGTAAAAACAGGCTCGTGCATTAAAACTCTTCCTGCACATTCCGATCCAGTTTCTGCAGTTTCTTTCAATCGGTAAACGTTGTGATATGTTGCTCAACACTAGTTTAAAGCAGAAACATGCAGTACATCATATATAATGGAGCATATTTAGGTTTTTTTAAGCTACAAAAGATGTAAAAAAGTCGATATTGTTTCCTTGTGATCTCTTATTTTAGCAGTCGCTTGGCTTTTGTGTGTTTATTAATTGTACCTGTTTATTTACTGATAAATATTCATTAAAAAAAGGATCCATAAATATTCGGCATGATGTTTTAAGCAAATGATTTCAGCATTTAATAGATAGCTAAAAATTATGTTATTTACCTTTAGAGATGGAACACTGATTTGTTCAAGTAGCTATGATGGGCTTGTTCGAATTTGGGATACTGCAAATGGACAGTGTGTCAAAACTCTTGTTGGTAAAATTTGATACTGTTACTGTCTTCAGAGTATAGAGTGATTCTTTATTCTAAAATATTTCATGATGCGGATTGGAAGTTAATATTAAAGGAAAAGATAACGATCAAGTTTATCCAAACCTTATTTTTATCGCTGATGTATATATTGATGTTATTTTTTGCATAATACTTATTAGTATCAACATATTGCAGATGATGATAATCCTCCAGTTTCCTTCGTGAAATTTTCGCCAAATGGCAAATATATATTAGCTGCTACTTTAGACAGGTTGAGTGATATTTGTCTTTACAGATAATGCATCTACAAAAGTAGCGTTTGAAAAATTCTGATGATCATGCGTCTTTTCCACCGATTATTCCGATAGAGTTCTTTTGGCTTTCGTTTTACGTTTGAAAAACTTTACATAGTTGTAGAAATACTTGTATGTAGGATATTTTCCCGAAAGGCGTGCAGTATGCATAGTCATTCGTTTGGTGTGAGTTACAGATCGTAGTTTTCTCATGCCAGCTGAAGCAACTTATCATTTTAAATGTGTATGAATTGTGATTTCATTTTTAATTTGTTGCTATTTGACGGAATATAAAAAGGAAATTTCTATTCAGCACACTGAAACTTTGGGATTTCAACAAAGGCAAATGCTTGAAGACTTATACTGGACATAAAAATGAAAAATACTGTATCTTCGCGAATTTTTCTGTCACTGGTGGCAAGGTAATTTAGTTTCATTATTTCTGGTTTGGCTTACAATTGTTTGGTTTGTTGTGTGTTATAAATTTTGGGTTGAAATTTCTGTTGATATAAGAAGGTTGCACAGTATGCTATCAACTTTCTGAAGAATTACTCGCAATTAGTTTTCAGTGGATAGTCAGTGGTTCGGAGGATAATCGTGTCTACATATGGAATTTACAGTCCAAAGAGATTGTACAAACACTTGAAGGCCATACAGGTAAGCATTTGTTTAACGAGATCTGATTTCCAATTTTATTATCCCAGATTAATGTTTTGAGGTTTTCACGAAATTTTTTGTTTATATGGCATATTCTTTTGCGTTTTATAAATGTTATATCCTTGAAAATAAAATGCCTTAACCGATATGAAGTAGTTTTTTGCGTATCAGTATCTGCTTTAAAATTTACAGTAGTACCGAGAGCAGTTATGAATGTTTAGTAAAAACAATAGAGGAACGATGATTTTTATTTTTATATGCGTTAACAAAAAATAAAATTTTTTATAGACGTGGTACTGTGCACTGATTGTCATCCAACACAAAATGTCATTGCATCAGCAGCGCTCGAAAACGACCGTACAATTCGCTTGTGGAAATCTGATTTTTAATTTCTTATATATGTCTGAGAATAAATGATACCGTTAGCTATGACAGTATTTTAGATAAGGATTGTCTTGATGTTATCTCAGTGAATTTTCGAAGTCCTGAAATAAGTTTCAGAAAGTTATCTGGATAAGCTCTTATTGATTTTTAATGTATAGTTTATTTGTGCATCTTGCGTGTGTTGAGTATGTCATTATTGTAGGTGCCTACCTCCACTCTAGGTACTAAAAGTATTTCTGAAGGAAATATAAAAAAATATCTCAGGATAAATTTTACGATTTTCAGGTGTGAGAACTAATCATCTCGGATCACTTTGCATTGTGAATTTAGTATCAATGTTTTGTCAAATATTTTTCATCCATCCCTTTGTATTTTTTCATATTTATTTTCGACGAAATTAGTGTTATTCGTCAAGAAAATAATTGTTTTTCAACAGCATATTTCTCAATTTATTTTTGATACTCATCATGTTTGACATTTTTACACAGGTAACGATAAAAAAATCGCTGATCATTCTATTAAAATTTCTGATGTAATTATTGAGATCAGTTGAGTATGATTAGGTGAAAACTGCACCAATGAAAAAAATCTTACTTAACATCAAAGTTCTCAGAAATGATTTCACGTTGCTATCGGAAAGGGGAACTCATACAAATTAGCCCGTTGAGTTTATCGTTTTTCATTCGTAATTATGTGGGATGTTCGGTAACAACATGAAATCATTTATGTGAATTCTAATGTTAAATGAATGAATAACGATAAAACAGAATTTATCAAATTTTAACGATAACGGAAAAGACGAGATACGGTATAAATTTCATTTTTTGTCAGGATCTAGAACTTCCAAAGTATTTTCTCCTGCTAAACCGGTTGTTTCACTTCCACCAATAGATTCTTCTGATTCTACAGATTCATCCACCAAACGGCCCGTGTTCGTATCTCCTATCTGCAATAACTTTTCATTATAACATGTTTCCTGCAGTTAATAGACTTCCTAAGAATAATTTCATTAAGGAATTCGAGTGAAATATGAGTGGTTTTCGGGATTTTGGATTGTTGGCTAAATTAATTTTTCATTTAAGGTTTTCACACATTTATTATTATTATATTATTAATAGTTATTATTATTATTGTAATGAAATCTTCGTCTAAGTAAAAGAACTAAGTAAGAAATAAAGTTGGATTCTAGCTGATTAAAAAAATAAAAAAAAAAGTAATATTAAGGGATTTTACCTTATCAATTTCAACCTTAACATCCTTTTCATTTTCATGAGCAACACTGGCTTCTTGTTTCAAGAGACCTTTTTCATTCCATTCAAATGGATCTGATCTGTTAATAAGAATGGATGTCACTGTTAACTAATCAAGTTTACGAATTGTCATTCATTCTCCGTCACTTTTAATTTTCAAATTTACCTAATTTTCATATATAAATTGTTTCATTCATTTCTCTTCAATTCCCACATTAGATTTCAATTTAAATTTTCAGATCAAATAAAATTTCAGACAAAACTTTTATTCTAATAATAATTGCAAGGAAATAAATGATCCAAAGGATGAGGATTTCTATTCATTGAAAACACTAATTGATTATGCATTTGTACGGGAGGAAACTGAAAACGTTACGGTTTGATTTTTAATTTATTAAGTTCTTTTGTGAATTTTGACTGAAACATTGCATAATTTGGTGTGTCAATGTAAGTGAGACTTTTGAGATGATTGTTTATATCAGCAAAGCAATCCGGACATCCCTGAAAGTTCTTTTTTTCTTTTTGAATTGCCAATTCATAATTAATTATCGAGTTGTCGAAAAATTAACCCATAAAATTATTGATTTAGATTATTAGTGATAATCAATGAAACAGAAAATGAAAGTGTTTTTTCTGAGTGCAATTTAAGTTTTCTTATTATCAATTTTTAATTAAATTTGAAATCGATTATCCATAGCAAATTTATAAATTTGTCAATTCAAATTATTGATAAATGAATGAATAAATGAAACACTTGCAGCTAGTAATACACGATCAGAAACTGTTTGCTTGATATGAGCACTATCTTTTCGTGCCATACCTTTCCATGGTAATGTCGATGATAATAATTCAATTAGCATATAGAACATACCTGTTGCAATAATGTTTCTCGTTAGTTCTTCAATAACTTGTAATCATTTTGGAGATTTATAAATTTAAAGAAAAAAAAAAACACTAATTTGCACTGTAAACAGACAATTTTATATTTCATTGTTACATTTTACTTAAGTTAGAAAATTACATTTCAAAATTACAACTAAAAATAAGTATTTTAGAAAAAAAATCAAATTATAAAATTTAAATTATATTTTGCTTTATTTTAAATGTATTTTTTTTTTTCGCCTTTTGAACAAAATGTTGAAAAATGTTGCTAAGAGCATTATATAAAACAATTTTCACTTTTGCTAAATATTTCATTGTTTTATTTAAATGAATATTTTTCAAGAATGAAAAAAATATTAATCATTGTATTCTGCTTCATTTTAAATGTAATCTTTCTAATTAAAAAAAATTTTTTAAATGTTATCTTACTCCATAGATCATCATGTCTTCCTTGTTCTCTATACAAATGTACATTTAATGAACAATAACGGACTGTACCACGAAATGCTACCTAAAATTGATAAATTTTGAAATATAATTTACTCAATTAATTAATTTTTACATAATCAACTTCTTTCTAAATAAGGCAAACAATTCCGCAGAATCATTTTCAAATTTAATGAAATGCAACAAATTTTAAGCGATTTGAAAATGATATTTTAATTTGTTACATTAGAAAAATAAACACTATTAGTTGCTGCAATATTATATGCAGAAGTTTTCATGTGCAATAAAGTTTTCTGCTTTTTTTATTTTTAGTTATATTCAATTTTATACATTTAAGTATACCTTCCTGATAATCTTCTCGGTTGTTCTGAAATCATCAAATGATTTTTTTCTCCTTTTTATTATTGAACTCCTGCGGAATGTGTTTGAAACTTTTAAAAGTATTTGCAACTTTGTCAAAATTTTGCTAAATTTTTTGCAAAAAATTTTTGCTGATTACTTAAAAACTTGCTTCTATTAAATTAGTCTTCCAGAAATTAACCAAGCAATTCCAACATAACCGATAGAAACATCTTTAAAATAATTTTACCCTGACTCAAAAGCGATGCAATTCTAACTGTTTCTTATTTAATTTGTAATATTTCAACTTGAAGTATTAAATCATCTAACAAACTTGAAATTAATTGAACTACTTCGCGATTTACTTTAATATCTTGAATTAATTTTTCTTAATATTATTTATAAACATGAATTGCTTCTAGTACTGATTTTTCTTTTTCTTTTTTTTTTTACATTCACATTTTTAACTAAAAAAGAAAAAAGAAATATTAAAAAGAATTTTTTAAACCTTTTTCCTAGCTTCACGAAGCTTAAGTTTTCCATCTTTATCAGGAAACAAAATTTGTCGTGCTAGGCCAAAATCAAACATAAATACAATATTAGCCTTCTCATCTCGACCCATTGCAAAATTGCTTGGTTTAATATCACGATGTACAAAGCCAACTTTATGTAAATCATGTATTGCCTGTATTTCATTTATTTTGTCTTTAATCATTTCCACTCATTCAATTTCAGTTTCAATTCCAATTCATCCTAATCAATTTACATGTTTAATCCTTAAGTTAGTTTTGGTAAAGGAATGATTTAATTCATTATATCTCATTTTAATTTAATAATTCGTTTCTTTTTTCACATCATCATTTCTACAGATGAAATAATATTTTTCTTCCTACAGCAATTTTTTTTTTTTTAACACCAATTCTTAAAACATTTTGAATAAGGAAATATTTTTATTACCGTTGTTGATTGTATCCCAATTTTCAAAACACTTCCAATAGACATTTTACGATCATGTAATCGTCTTCTAATATCCGATAGTTCTTTTCCCAACAGCGACATTATTAAAAAACTTAACAGCTAACGTAAATTGAAGTATTTTTAGGAATTAATTGAAACAAATTAAATTTAGTTGGAAATAAAAAATGGAATAATTGGAAAAAAAATGGTAATTAATTGAAATAAAGAACTGAAATAAATTTCGAAATTGAAATATTTAAAAATAAGTATTGGGCATTTGTTTTTATTTTCTTTTCGCTCATTTTTATTCTCTTTTAAATGTCATCCCATAAGACACAAATCATATTAAATTTGGAAAAGTTAATTATTCTCAAAGTTTGAACTATTAAAAATTTGCTGAAATTAATAAAACATTTGTGTGAAATTCTCAATATTACTGAACACTCAACTACAGCAATGACAAACTTTTCTTCCTTCTGATTCACAATTTCTCTCTCTCTCCCTTGCTCTCTTCTATTGCCTTTTCTTTATTTTCAATTTAATTCTTTTTGAAGAATTTATTTTGAAAATAAAAATCTGTTAATGTTATGATATTTTCTTTCTCTTTCTGATTCATTTTTCTTTTCTTCACTACCTCTCCTTTTCTCTTTTATTCCGATTTTTCCCTCCATTCAGCATTTTATACTTTCTCTTTACACTAGTTAATATGAATGAAGCATAAATCTTCGTCAGATTGCATTAACAGAACATTTTTAGTTTAAAATTTTTATTTTTAGATTGAAATTTTGATGAAATTTCTACCTTAAAATTTGAATTATAATTTCATTTTTGATATTTCTATAAAAAATTGATGAAAAATCCAGTGTTATATGTTGACTTGTTAATAATAATACTACTTAATAATCATAATGTATCATTTCATTGATTGCATTGACACGGTGTATAATATTAGCTTATCAGGGACAAAATTTACCTTTATAATGAATTTGTTTTCCCACATGGGAATAAATATTACTTGAAGCTTATATATATATATATATATGTGAATTAAGGAAATGATGAAATGAAAATTTAAACAATGCTTGAATTCACTAACATTTAGTATACTGTTCAAAATTAAAAAAAAAAAA